AAATGGGCAGCTGTTGAATTAATACTTTATTTTATTATTACCAATACAAGTATCTGGACATAGTTGGGATTTTATGGAGGGGGGAAACGGGGAACTGTAATCGATTGCATGTCTGTTCCTATATTCAAAATTTTTCTATCCCACATACCTAGCATTCTCAATTAATATTCTGGATGCTGTAATTATCACCCTTCTTCTGACATGCCACCAAATATAGACATTTTGGAAGCTCATAGACTGTTGGGGTAGGTTTCAAATCAAGTGCTCGGGAAATGTCAATTTCCCATCTTACCTGCTTAACTATTTCTGGTTGCAATCCAGAACATCTAAATGAGAGGAGAGGGGGGGAAATACTTAATTTTAAAGATCTCCCTTACCTAAAATAATTGCTTGCCGCTGCTAGAACCACTCGGTGGCATGAGAATTTCATGTTGCCCACACACAGGGTAACGTCTGTGAGAGAGTTTTCCAGTCGGAGGTTCTCCAAGCCGTTCTGCAGCACCATGGATAGGCCTGTGTCATCAAACTTAACCCTTTCACTGATGGAGACCTCCACAAGCTCTCCCATGTTCCTGGAGCACTCATTTTCCAAAGGCAACGGAGATTCCTCCTCCAAGTTCTTCTTCACTATGTCTCCCATGTTTCGATCAGCAGCAGCACATCATGCCATTGATACTTCAATCTAAGATGGTTCCTGAGCTTCAGACAAGTCATGCTGCAGAAGCAAGACGGATTTCCTGTTTGGGCCTCCCCACTTATCTACAGCTGTCACACATGCATAACAGGAAGCCTTGCACTTTCTCATCCTGTTAACACAAACAAAGTCAGTGGGGTTGTGTTGTTATTTTTTAATTCCACACATTTCCAAGCAGTTTTACTATACCTAAAGAAGACTTTAAAGTGCCTTTGAATATGGGATTATAACAAATGCCAAAGACCTCTAAAACTGTTCTGAAATCACCATTCTGCTGCATAACATATATGTATATGTTCCATCCAGATATACTTGATGAGCATGATGGGAGACCTATGGGGTTATAATTTTAACAACCAGCATTTTGAAAGAATGCCTAGAGTAAAAATAAGCTTTGCATGCATGCATGCATGTATTTATGTATTGCGTGGTAACAACTGGCAATTGTATTGGCTTTGAGAGGCATTACTCACCAGTTTGGGAGTATCAACAATATCATTTTCTAGCTGCCTGCACTGACTATCTCTGTACCTGCACTTTATATATATTTTTACACACTATACACAGCTCAATGAGGAATTCAGTACAGGGATGGTCTGAATGAACCAAAGCTAAGTTTGGCTAAGTTTGCCATTTTGGATGGCACTTAAAAAATAAATTTTAAAAGCTCCCAAATAACAACCTCCCTCTCATAAGTTAATGCTGAGATACATGGTATAATTAGTTAATTAAAATGCAATTTCTAGGGATGCAGAGTTTCCCAAATATGACACGACAGTGTTCTCAATGCAAAATGTGAGCAACAAGCATACAATTTCACCTGACCACATTATTATTATTATTATTATTATTATTATTATTATTCCCCATCAATCTGGGCTAGATCTTTAGAAGCATGACATGGATCAGATGCCAGCCATATCACAGACAGCATAATGGCAAGCATTATATGCATTATATTGATTAGCAGCAGCAGGAAAAAACAGATCTGCTAAGCTCTGTGCTGGAGTGACTCCAACGGCTGAGTCACCTTTATGATGTCTTGGGAATGGAGGCTTCTGTGAGATAACACTTAACTCTCTTCACTCTGGCCTTACAGTCTACTGCAGTTTATCACATAGATTCTCAGAATTGCATAGAAAGTTTCCATGCTTCGGCCTGACATCCAGGAATAGTTGGCACAGGTGTAGAAACTTTCCACATGACTGGAAGGATCAACATGATAAACACTGTTAACTTCCAGCCACCATGAATACTGTACAGTCACCATGCAGTAGTCTCTTGTCATAGGGATAAAGCTGCCCTTGATTATATTTCAAGAGGCTTAATCCATATGCTTCTTTTGTTTCCATTTTTAAAATTATATTTACCCTAGATCCCACCAACGCTTTGTCCCTTGTCTTTCACTTGCTGTTTTAGGAGTAACTTTAGATGGCATTTTGTCACAGGACTAGCAAATCAGGATGAATGTTCATTGTTGTATAACCTCCCCACCAACAAATCAGAACAAAGCATTAATAAAGATTGAGCATAGTCTAACTTCCGCATAAGCTTTTATGCAAGCAAATACAGTGGTACCTCAGGTTACATACGCTTTAGGTTACATACGCTTCAGGTTACAGACTCCACTAACCCAGAAATAGTACCTCGGGTTAAGAACTTTGCTTCAGGATGAGAACAGAAATCGTGCTCTGGCGGCGAGGCAGCAGCGGGAGGCCCCATTAGCTAAAGTGGTGCTTCAGGTTAAGAACAGTTTCAGGTTAAGAATGGACCTCCGGAACGAATTAAGTACTTAACCCGAGGTACCACTGTAAGAATAAATGCTCTCTAAACAAGTCATCTGGAGGAGCCCACTTACCACTCTTATTAGTAGCACTGGCTATAAAATTCTCCATAATTCAAATGGACCCCCACCCACCCACAAAAAGGTTAATTTGTGATATAAACTACCACCTTGACTAGTAACAACTGCCACAATTTGGTATTGCCTATATGAAACAATTGGGCAAGTTTTTCTGGAAATGTTGAATTATGAATCCTGGGAACTGTCATTTACCCCTCACAGAGCTACAATTCCCAGCACCCTTAGCAAACTACAGTCCCTGGGATTCTTTGGAGTAAGTCATGTGCTTTAAATGTATGGTGCATACACAGGCTTTGTCTCCTGGACCATTTGTTCATATTCTTCTCTTTCACATTTTTTCTTTTGAAAGACTAAGTGTTACAGCCTGGTTCCATCCAGGGTGCAGGGTTATTCATACATTTGTTTACATTTGTTTACCCCCTTTCTGTCATGGCAGTTTACCATTTTATTTGCATTTCTTGCCCACTTCAAGGCTCCTAGTGTGGTGTACATGGTTCTCCTTTTTTATCCTCACAGCAACCCTGCGAGACAGATTAGGCTGAGACAGTGACTAAGGCCACCCAAGAGAGCTTCATGGATGACTGGGAATTTGAACCCTGGTCTCCCAGGTCCTAGCTAAGCAGTCTAAAACAAATTCACAAGAGCAAATGCAGACCTAGCACTGAAGGCAAGAGGAAGAAAGTGCTCAGCTCTGCCCCTCTGGGGCAACGCGGCATTGCATCGCAAACCGTGAACTACATCTCCCAAGAACGTTTGCAGCCGGCCCGCCTCTCATTGGCCTGCACGTCCGTGACATCATGTGTTTTGGCTCTGGGAGGTCACATGTTTCGGGGTCTCCTTTGTTTTGAGTTGAGCTCGAACTTGAAGCAGACAAAAAGAGAGAGCGCGAGAGCGGAGGAGACGCGGAGCCGTTGCGCGGCTCCTTCTGATCGGCAGAAAACTGTGATTGACAGGTAAATGGCTTGGCTAAACTCAGCGGCTAAGTTGCAGGAGGCCAAAAGTATAATTGGGGTCCGGTGGCCGGCGCAGGAGTTATTTCCATTCGAAAAGGAGCATCAAGAGGTGCATAACCATAATAATACCTACAATCGTAATGGCTTCGAATGCAGGGCTCGTGGTGACTCCACGTACAGTAATAATTACAAACAGAAAAATCTGTCCTCCCTTAACATTTATCTTTTCACCCCACCCCAGTCCGGCTTTTCTAGGAAACTTCGTATGAAATGAATTTCAGCGAAGATTAAATTGCGTCTGGATTCTGCTATGGTGTTCTGTTTTGGGATCAGTTGTGTCAGATTTGCAAGGGAGAGAAAATGCCGTTAATATGTCTAGCCGTTGTTATGTAGGCAGGGCAGAGATAATTTGCCCTGGCGCAATTTCCTTCTTTATCCTCCTGGCTAGTATTGAACACGCAGCGAAGCACAACGCCGTTAATACTGTCGAGCGCCTTGTTGGTGCGCAGAGAAAGGAAGTAGAGTTCAGCTGGAGGTGGAAAACAATGTGCGTGGCGCCTGGCGGAGGGGGTGGGAGAGCTCGTCTCTTTCCTAGGTCGGTACTTAAGAACACGTAAATTCCGGGTTTGCACTGCCGTTCGGCGAGGGGGAGCAATACTGCAAGTTCTTGATTTCGAATTGTAAAGTTGCCAGGCCTCTTGTTACATTAAGGAAGGTTTCGTGCTTCGGCACCCAAGGATTTCGGGTGGAATTTTTCCTCTCCTCCCTACTTTTTTCCTCTCTCCTCTAAACAGTCCACCCAGTTGGACATCGGATTGGCCAGGCATTTGTGTTTCAGGCCGGCACTAGAAAGCTGGATTGGCCAGAGAATGTTGACAGATCTGGATCAATCTCGCGAGCATCTGGAAAGTGTTCCATTCCTTCCCCCCCCCCCATCTTTTCAATGTTCCTGCGTTTTGATATGGACGGTCACCCTGGTCTAAATTTGGTGGCTGTTTTATGCTTATGGGAATAGGCTGCTTCGTGCACTCCCGTCTTCGCTGGCGCATCATATTCCCATTGGGGTGAATCCTAGTAGCTGGAGCTCCCCCCGCCCTTGAGGTACTTGGCGAAGAGGCTGCGTTGGCTGCCAGTTCCTCTGGACCAGACCACTTTTTCAGGAGGGGGGAGGGAGGCCTCGCAAGGAGCTGTTGGAACACGCAGGCCTTTGTGAGGAAGTGGAAATGCTGCTCCGACGCTTTGGCTTAGGACCCGAACCGCGAAGAAGCGTCGGGAGGCGGAGTCGCCTGAGGCCCAAAATATAATAGGGACCGGGTGACCACCCCCTAGCGCGTTATGGTTGGTTCTCCGCTCCCTTCTTCGGGACAGCTGGAGGAGAGAAAGGCGGGGGGGGAGCGCTGGGAGAGTCGCGCTCTCTAATTGGACATAAAAGGTGGGGGCGGGGCTTGCCTCCGGGGCTGTTCAGGGTGAAGGTGAACTGGAGGATGTGCTCGCGCGCGCGCGCGGGTCCGAGGCGTTGCTCGGGTTCGAGCCGAGGCCGCTTGTATAACGGCTGGAACCGGACGCTCACTTCAGGTTGACGCGAGAAGGCCGTTATTTTGCCTCAAGTGCTTTGAAGTGACGCCTGCCTTTCAGTCACGCGCATGCTTTTACCCGAAGAGTTTGATTTCTCACATAACACAGTTCGAATGTGACTTAAGTCAAATGAACACCTTTCCTCCCGCTCAGTTAATACTGGGCTGTTTACATGTTCTTCATAGGGCCCGTTGATGCAGGAATCCCAAAGCGGGTCTCGCAGCAAAGCATACCTCTCCTCAGTAGAATGGGAAATAACGAAATCCCAGAAGAATGACGAGTGTTAGCCATAGTGACATTTCTTTTTACAGAGCAAACAAAACACCCACACCCACACACCGTAAAGGGTGGAAGGAGACTTGTGTAATTTCGAGATGATCTGGAAAGGAAAGAGGAAAATGTTGTCAGGCACTATTTGTCAGGTACCTTGGCTCTGCTGTCTTTTTTTTTTTTAATGTTTTAAAGGAATTATCTGGAATGGAAAGAGGTGAACCTTTGCAACTGGCTAATAAGTAGCATCATAATGTTGACATTGACTTGCATTTCACTGGCGAGTTAAGCAGAATTATTAGTTGATCGTATCTGTCCAAAGAGAACATTTTATGGAACGTTACGATTTCCTGGTAGTATTTACATTCTCAGATTTCAGCCCTGGGGTGGTGGGGCACATAGGGAGTAGAATATGGTGAAGTGAGGGAGGTGAACACAAGGAAATACAGTTAGGCATCTTGGGTCTTAAGGAAGTCAATATCAGTGTCCTGTTTCTGCTATGTTATCTGATCTCAGGTTAATTATAAGAAATTTGTTATAGCTGTGCATAAGTTACAATTCAGCCTCACCTACTCAGAACTGTTGTCAGGAAAGGTCAAGCTATATTTACACTGTATTTACCAAGAGCTAAGGAGATAGTAAAAAGACTGAACTGCGAACCATACCTAAAACCTTACTTTAGCCATGGAATCATTTTGATGGCCTTAGGTGAACCATTCTTTTCTCTTAAAGGCATAAGAACAGCCCTGCTAGGTCATGCCGAAGTCCCATCTAGTTCACTTTTCTGCTTTCACAGTGGTCTGCCAGATGCTTATGGGAAACCTGCAAGCAAGACCTGAATGCTCTCTCCAGAGCCCTCCATCTGTAATATGAGAATAATCATACTTACCTATATTACTGATCTTATTTTATTATTTACTCTCTATCTCACCCTTTCTCCAGGGCAGCAAATACATCACAACAAAACAACTTTAAAAAAATACCTGTAAAACACGTCAGATCATTCAACAGTGATCTCAGGGTTGTCAGGAACAGTGCTTTCAGCCATTAAATGACTGGGTAAACAGGAATATTTTTAATCTCCTCCTAAAAGTCAGTAATGAGGAAGGGAGACACACCTACCCAGAGGGGGCATTCCACAAACAAGGAACTACTTCTGAATTGACCCCCATCATGAGTCACTGCCAATCAGACAGCCTCCAGTGTTGGCACCTATATGCAAAGTGGTCCCCAGCAGCAACACCAGTATCAAAGTGTAGTATACAAAAGGCAGATACAGTCACGGTAAAAAAAACAACTTATTAATAACCTAAAATACTGTAAAACAGCCAGGAATATTTAAAAGCAGGAGTAGAATAAAAGTACATTTAAAGGTGGCCCTATACCAAGGCGGTCTGGAACTAGATGGTTTTCAAAGTCTGCCAAAAAAATAGATGAAGAGGACATGTACATGTGCCTCTCTTGGGAGGTCATCCTAAATTTGGGTGCCTTAGCAAAAGAGGCCATATTTCTCATCGCCACCTGCTTCATGTCTGTTGATGGGAGGACAGAAGGAACAGTCACAGAGACAGAATAAAGTTCCTGGAGAGATTCACATGGGAGGAGATGATTCCCAAAAATACCCTAGGCCCCAGACACTTGGGATTTAATGAGAAAAACAAGTACCTTAAATTGAGGCTGGAGGCAAACTGACAACCAGCAAAACTGGTAGGTGAACTGTATATACTCCAGTCTACTGACTCCAGGGGAATCTGGCAATAATAATAATAATAATAATTTATTATTTATACCCCGCCCATCTGGCTGGGCCTCCCCAGCCACTCTGGGTGGCTTCCATAGAAACCAAAAATACAGTAAAATATCACACGTTAAAAACTTCCCTGAACAGGGCTGCCTTAAGATGTCTTCTGAATGTCAGGTAGTTGTTTATCGCATTGACATCTGCTGGAAGGGCGTTCCACAGGGCGGGCGCCACTACCGAAAAGGCCCTCTGCCTGGTTCCCTGTAGCTTTGCTTCTCGCAATGAGGGAACCGCCAGAAGGCCCTCGGCGCTGGTCCTCAGCGTCCGGGCAGAATGATGGGGGTGGAGACGCTCCTTCAGGTATACTGGACCGAAGCCGTTTAGGGCTTTAAAGGTCAGCACCAACACTTTTAATTGTGCTCAGAAACGTACTGGGAGCCAATGTAGGTCTTTCAAGACCGGTGTTATATGGTATCGGTGGCCTCCCCCAGTCACCAGTCTAGCTGCCGCATTCTGGATTAGTTGTAGTTTCCGAGTCACCTTCAAAGGTAGCCCCACGTAGAGTGCATTGCAGTAGTCCAAGCGGGAGATAACCAGAGCATGCACCACTCTGGCGAGACAGTCCGCACGCAGATAGGGTCTCAGCCTACGTACCAGATGGAGCTGGTAAACAGCTGCCCTGGACACAGATTTGACCTGTGTCTCCATGGACAGCTGTGAGTCCAAAATGACTCCCAGGCTGCGCACCTGGTCCTTCAGGGGCACAGTTACCCCATTCAGGACCAGGGAATCCTCCACACCTGCCCGCCTCCTGTCCCCCAAAAACAGTACTTCTGTCTTGTCAGGATTCAACCTCAATCTGTTAGCCGCCATCCATCCTCCAACCGCCTCCAGACACTCACACAGGACCTTCACCGCCCTCACTGGTTCTGATTTAAAAGAGAGGTAGAGCTGGGTATCATCCGCATACTGATGAACACCCAGCCCAAACCTCCTGATGATCTCTCCCAGCGGCTGCATGTAAATGTTGAAAAGCATGGGGGAGAGGACAGAACCCTGAGGCACCCCACAAGTGAGAGCCCAGGGGTCTTAACACTCATCCCCTACCACCACTTTCTGAACACGGCCCAGGAGGAAGGAGCGGAACCACTGTATGACAGTGCCTCCAGCTCCCAGCCCCTGAAGACGGTCCAGAAGGATGTTATGTTCGATGGTATCAAACGCCGCTGAGAGATCCAGCAGAACTAGGAAACAGCTCTCACCTTTGTCCCTAGCCCGCCGGAGATCATCAACCAGTGCGACCAAGGCAGTTTCAGTCCCATGATGAGGCCTGAATCCCGACTGGAAGGGATCCAAATGGTCCGCTTCTTCCAGGCGTGCCTGGAGTTGTTCAGCAACCACTCGCTCAATCACCTTGCCCAAGAATGGAAGATTTGAGACTGGGCGATAGTTGGCCATCGTGGCCGCATCTAAAGATGGTTTTTTAAGAAGCGGTTTAATAACCACCTCTTTCAGCGGGTCTGGGAAGGCTCCCTCACGGAGGGAAGCATTCACCACCCCCGAAGCCCATCGCCCAGTCCTTCCCGGCTAGCTTTTATAAGCCAGGATGGGCAAGGATCCAGAAGACAGGTGGTTGGTTTCACTCGTCCAAGCAGCCTGTCCACATCCTCGGAGGTAACAGATTGGAATTGATCCCACTCAACTTGACTAGACAGAACTCTAGCACTCTCCCGCCCCGGCCCTGCTCCCACGGTGGAGTCTACTTCTGCCCGAATCTGAGCGATTTTATCTGCAAAAAACTTTGCAAAATCATTGCAGGAGAACATGTGGGCCCCGATGTTGCAGGTGGTTCCGCTAAATTGTGAACCACCTGAAAAAGTCTCCTGCTGCTGTTTTCTGCAGATGCAATAGAGGCGGTGAAGAAATTCTTCTTCGCCGTCGCTATCGCCACTTGGTAGGCTCGACGTTGAGCTCTAACCTGTGTCCGGTCAGATTCGGAATGAGTTATCCGCCACCGGCCCTCTAGCCGTCTCAACGATTGTTTCATTGCCCTCAGATCCGTGGAAAACCACGGGGCTGTCCGGGCTCCATGCAATCGGAGAGGGCGCTTCGGTGCCAAACAGTCAATAGCCCTGGTTAACTCCACATTCCAGCGGGCCACCAGGGAATCAGCTGAAAGGCCATCAACATGGGATAAAGCATCCCCTACCACTCTCTGGAAACCATTTGGATCCATTAAGTGGCGGGGGCGGACCATCCGAATTGGTCCCACCTCCCTGCAGAGGGGATGGGTCGCAGAGAAGTCCAGTTGCACCAGGAAGTGATCTGACAATGGCACTTCTTTCGTTTCGCTTTTACTTAGTGTCAGATCACCAACATCCATAGAGGTAAACACCAGGTCCAAGGCATGTCCGCGGCTATGGGTTGGGCCAGACTTATTCAGGGACAGCCCCATGGAGGCCATGCTTTCCACGAAGTCCCGAGCGGCCCCTTGTAAGGTCGTGTCGGCATGGATGTTAAAATCCCCTAGGACGACCAAGCTAGGTGTCTCCAGGAGAACATCCACCACGACCTGAAGCAGCTCGGGCAGGGAATCCTTGGTGCAGCGGGGAGGTCGGTACACCAAAAGGAATCCTGTACTGCTCCTATTGCCAAACTTCCAGAACATGCACTCAGAAAACTGGGTCTTCCCAATAGGATGCCTGGTGCAAACTAATGACTTCCTAAAAATCACTGCAACCCCCCCTCCCCGCCCACATGACCTGGGTTGCTGTGCGTAAGAGAAACCTGGTGGGCAAGCAGCGGCAAGGACAGGCCCATCTGCTTCATCCAACCAAGTCTCTGTTACACATGCCAGGTCAAGTCCTCCATCCATGATCAAGTCATGGATGGCAGTGGTCTTATGAATCATTGACCTGGCATTGCACAGCAGCACCTTCAGGTCATATGGGTATCCCTTGCTGATTCTAGTATCCATCCGGTCAGGACCAGACCCGGAGGCAGGAATAGTCCTCGGACAACGACTAAACCTGCCTCCTCTGTAATGACATGGTCTGGTCTTAGCGTAACTCCTCCTCCTACCCGTGATCACTGAGATCGGTTGCCCCAGTGCACACCCCCCCCCCCCCGTGGGACATGCCCCAGCCATTTTGTGGGCTGAGGCCCACTCCCCGGCAGCCCTGACCCCTCCCCCTAAGAACAAAATAAGACCTTAAACAAACAAACAAAACCAATAAAACAATACAAACAAAAAATGTAAAAATTACAAACACATCAAAATAAAAAATAATTCCCCAAGCAAAACCAAACATCCATCCCACCCCCACCCCCCACATACAAAAAATCCAAAAGAAATTTTTTAAAAAAACATTTTAAAAACACTCTATGTACCCTCCGGCAGTAACAACTGTCCTAGTGGGGCCTCACTCAGGGGAGTCCTCCTGGGCAGCAGGCAGCAAGCAGCACGCAGTCCTTATGAGGCTTCAGGCCCCGCCCCAGGCCAGATGGTAAGTGGCAGGAAGGAGCAGGGCCCTCAAGCACTCACTCAGGGGAGTCCTCCTGGGCAGCAGGCAGCAAGCGGCACGCAGTCCTTATGAGGCTTCAGGCCCCGCCCCAGGCCAGATGGTAAGTGGCAGGAAGGAGCAGGGCCCTCAGGCACTCACTCAGGGGAGTCCTCCTGGGCAGCAGGCAGCAAGCAGCACGCAGTCCTTATGAGGCTTCAGGCCCCACCCCAGGCCAGATGGTAAGTGGCAGGAAGGAGGGCCCTCAAGCACTCACTCAGGGGAGTCCTCCTGGGCAGCAGCAGCAAGCGGCACACAGTCCTTATGAGGCTTCAGGACCCACCCCAGGCCAGATGGTAAGTGGCAGGAAGGAGCAGGGCCCTCAGGCACTCACTCAGGGGAGTCCTCCTGGGCAGCAGGCAGCAAGCGGCACGCAGTCCTTATGAGGCTTCAGGCCCCGCCCCAGGCCAGATGGTAAGTGGCAGGAAGGAGCAGGGCCCTCAGGCACTCACTCAGGGGAGTCCTCCTGGGCAGCAGGCAGCAAGCAGCACGCAGTCCTTATGAGGCTTCAGGCCCCACCCCAGGCCAGATGGTAAGTGGCAAGAGGAGGGCCCTCAAGCACTCACTCAGGGGAGTCCTCCTGGGCAGCAGGCAGCAAGCAGCACGCAGTCCTTATGAGGCTTCAGGCCCCGCCCCGGGCCAGATGGTAAGTGGCAAGAGCAGGGCCCTCAAGCACTCACTCAGGGGAGTCCTCCTGGGCAGCAGGCAGCAAGCAGCATGCAGTCCTTATGAGGCTTCAGGCCCCGCCCCAGGCCAGATGGTAAGTGGCAAGAGCAGGGCCCTCAGGCACTCACTCAGGGGAGTCCTCCTGGACAGCAGGCAAGCAGCACGCAGTCCTTATGAGGCTTCAGGCCCCACCCCAGGCCAGATGGTAAGTGGCAAGAGGAGGGCCCTCAAGCACTCACTCAGGGGAGTCCTCCTGGGCAGCAAGCAGCACGCAGTCCTTATGAGGCTTCAGGCCCCGCCCCGGGCCAGATGGTAAATGGCAGGAAGGAGCAGGGCCCTCAGGCACTCACTCAGGGGAGTCCTCCTGGGCAGCAGGCACTCACTCAGGGGAGTCCTCCTGGGCAACCACATTTTGCACCAATTGGAGTTTCCAAACTGTCTTCAAGGTTATTTCCAAAGAAAATGCATTACAGAAATCCAACTTGGAACTAACTAGCTCGGAAACAAACTTAGCTAGGGCCAGACTCCGCTTATCCAGAAGAAAGTACGACTGAAGAACTAAATAAAAATATACTACAGCTACCTGTATATCTAAGAATACGCTAAACTGTGAACCTACTGCTTCAGGGGGAGTATGACCCCACCCAAAACCATCTATACACTTCCTCCAGGTTGTTGTAAAGATTATTGATATAGTAGATGTGAATCACTTTGTTCTAAAATGCTGTACAAATATATTTATTGCTATAATGGCTTAACTATTGAGTCTCTGAATCACATATTAAACATTTAATGTCTAGAATAACAATCAAATTGTTTTAAGATGACTTTTTATGTCTAGTATTAAATATGGGTGTGATTGAGCAAAAGCAATGAAACTTAAGTGCTATTTAAATTAAAGAGACAGCTTGAATGCTAGCAACTTATGTATAGTTATCTAAAGTGGACAAGACCAAAGTGAGTTGGTTCTCTCTGCAGGAGTCATATGCCTCTAGAGATTGGAAACACACCTGGTAAATTCAGTCCGTTGATTTGTGTGAGATAATGCATGCATGCATAACTAATATATTCAGGGGGGAATTTGGTTGTACAAGTGTAAATTGTTGCACTGATAGAACCAGTTAGTTGAATACCATCCTTTATTTTTTAAGCAAAGTTTTGACTGTAGACAAAAGCTAAGACAAGGAAGGTAGGAGCTAAAAATAAGGCTGCCCAAGAGAGATGCAGATGTTTTCAGGGACCGAAAGGGTTTATACAAATACAGCCAAATCCTCCCTTTGCTGTACACTAGCTGAACTACAAGATACACCTGTTGCCTCATCCTCCCAACTAGATCCATGTTCCCAACTAGAGTTATGGTCAAGTCTACTTGTAGCCAAGCAAGCACTCCTCCACTGATTCTGTATCTTACACTGGGTCTGTGTTCATATTAGTTCCTGGTGGGTGAAGGGGAAGAGACTGGATCCATGGTATGATGTAGGAGGTTATCCAAAGCCCCAGGTGAGGTATTCAAGTAACTTGGCCGGTCAAGCTGTTTAACGTGTTTTTCAGGTGTGCTAGGGTTTTCTCTGGGGCCCCAAGCATCTTTATTGCATTATGTTCTCCCAGGATATTGATTACTCAGCCAATAGGGGCCCCAGATTCTAAACTTACATTTTAAAAACAGTCTCTGACCCTCCTAGAAGAAAGCTCTGAAACAAAATGTGCAGATGCGCTTCAAAGTGATTCCTAACCTCCCTTGGTGGGTTATGAGTGCTCTTTCCCTTATGCTTTGATGGTTGTGGGAATGAGGTTGCAGTCAGCAAGCGTAGTGGCTGGTGAAGCTTTAGCCTCTTTCTCTTTCAAGGTCCTTCATGGTATAGGACTGAAAAGTTCAGTATGAAACATGAGCATAGTTGGTATATGGGTGGCACTTCACTCATAAGGACATTCAGATGTCCTTGCATTGTGACTCAGTGATGTTATATGCATGACATCTTGGAGCCGGATGTTTAGAGAACCAAACCTAGTTACTATCATAATGTAATTGATGGCATTTGCAATTTGAACTAATACTTTGAAATTATTTTTTATCTTTAGCACCCAAAAGACGACACTCATCAATAATTTCTCCATGATATTATAAAGAGTTGATATAACAATGGTACTAATAATGTTGGGACGCAGATTGAACAGAGGGGAGAGCCGAGCTCAGGAATCCCCGGTCACGAAGCGTAAAGTTTTTGAAATGGACCCAAAGTCTTTATCAGGCCACGAGTTCTTTGATTTCTCTTCTGGCTCATCCCATGCTGAAAGCATACTGCAAATCTTCAATGAATTTCGCGACAGCCGCTTGTTCACAGATGTAATAATCTGTGTTGAAGGCAGGGAATTTCCTTGTCATCGAGCTGTTCTTTCAGCGTGCAGCAGCTACTTCCGAGCTATGTTTTGCAACGATCACCGAGAAAGCAGGGAGATGTTGGTAGAAATCAATGGAATTTTTGCGGAAGCTATGGATTGTTTTTTACAATATGTGTATACAGGCAAGGTTAAAATCACAACAGATAATGTGCAGTACCTCTTTGAAACATCAAGTCTCTTCCAGATAAGTGTTCTGCGTGATGCTTGCGCTAAGTTCCTGGAAGAGCAACTGGATCCTTGCAACTGCCTAGGAATCCAGCGTTTTGCCGATACACATTCACTGAAAACACTATTTACCAAATGCAGAAATTTTGCACTGCAGAATTTTGAGGATGTGGCCCAGCATGAAGAATTTCTTGAACTTGGAAAAGATGAACTCATTGATTATATTTGCAGCGATGAACTGGTAATTGGTAAAGAAGAAATGGTTTTTGAAGCCGTTATGCGCTGGGTTTATCGGGCTGTTGAACTCAGACGCTCAGTGCTACAGGAAATTCTCACACATGTGAGATTGCCCTTGTTACACCCCAACTACTTTGTTCAGACAGTGGAAGTGGACCAGTTGATCCAAAACTCTCCTGACTGCTATCAGCTGCTGCATGAAGCAAGACGGTACCACGTACTTGGAAACGAAATGATGTCCCCAAGAACTCGGCCACGGAGGTGAGAGGGCTGGGTTGATTTTTGTTGTTGTTACATTTCGAATAAATAATTCATTATAGTGATAGCTTTTGTTTGAAACATTCAGTCTATTAAAAAACATTTAACCAATTGACCAGTTAACAGACTGTATTTTGTATCACCTCAGTAAAGATGTGATTTGCTTTTTATCTTTAGGCTTCTTTGGGTTGAAAAATTAAGGAACAATATGAGACAGAGTGTGCGGGAGGGAGTACATCACTACCACGCAATAAATGTTAAACACATTTGAGTGCTTTATATATCAGTTACTTCAGTTGTTATGTCTTGAAAGTTTCTGAAGGCTAGTTGTTTTTTTACTGAAACAGAGAAACATGACACCCCCCTGAAAATGTGACTTGCAGTGCAATCCTAACCATGTTGGGATTTGGGGGAGGGCTCAGTGGTAGAACATCTGCTTTGTATGTAGAAGGTCCTGGGTCCAATCGCCAGGTAGGGCTGGAAGAGACCCCTGCCTGAAACCCTGGAGTGCTGCTGCCATTCAGTGCAGATAGTACAGTGGAACCTTGGTTCTTGAACTTAATCAGTTCCGGAAGTTCATTCAACTCCTGAAAACCAAGGTGCGGTTTCCGATTGGCTGCAGGAGCTTCCTGCACTCAAGCGGAAGCCACGTTGGACTTTCAGCTTCCGAAAAACGTTTGAACACCAGAACACTTCCGGGTTTTCGGCATTTGGGAGCCAATTTGTTCGTCAACTAAGCCATATGAGAACCAAAGTTCCACTGTACTAAATTAGATAGACTGGTCTGAGTCAGTGCAAGGCAGTTTCTTATGCCTACTCAGAATTAAGTCCAGTGGGGCTTTTCTCCAAATAATGGGCTTTGAATTGCAGCTTTTTAAGCATGTCTGGATTTCTATAGTATGTGCCTATAGACTAGGGATAACTTTTCCTGCTTCATGTGAACTCTGGTCCATTAAAGCTAGTATCTAGTGGATTTGTTACTCTTTAAGGTGCCACAAGACTTTGTTTTAGTAAACTTGTGGATTTATTTATTTATTTTGGAAATAATAAAAAAATGTTCTAAGAATACGAAAAAAGTATTTACTACTTTCAATTAATTAAGGACAGATGAATTGACTTTCGTTTTTCATGTTTTCTTCAAACCTCACCCCTGGTTAACTTCCAAATATTGTAACTTTCAGATTCTGGTTTATTTATTAGGTTTTTCAATAAACTACTTTGGTTTTTCTGTTTCTAGGTCAACTGGCTATTCTGAAGTGATAGTTGTTGTTGGAGGCTGCGAAAGAGTTGGGGGATTTAATTTGCCCTATACAGAATGTTACGACCCCATGACAGGAGAGTGGAAATCACTGGCTAAATTACCAGAATTTACAAAGTCTGAGTATGCAGTTTGTGCTTTGAGGAATGATATCCTCGTTTCAGGTAAACAATTTATATTACACACAAAAGTACTGTGGTGAGAATACTATTATCATCAGTTTATGGAAGTCTTGTGGGAAATGGAGAAGTGGACTTAGTGCTACTTTTGCACATTGTCAGAAGCACTGAAAAGTGAATGCACAAATTACTTAGGCACCCACTTTTGGATAGCATTCGAAGATGTGATTTACATTACCACAGCTAAGTTATATGTGAAATGCACTTTACCACTGAGCACAAGTTTTCCCCAGCTAGGTAAACAGACACAGCATCCGAAGTGTAAACTACTCCAGAAAAAACTACATTGGTGAAAAGAGGTATTGCTTTAATTGCCCAGTGGAAAAGAATTCTAGGAAGTGTTTTCATACATTGGATTGTTGTGAACTTTATTTTCAGAAATGTACTTTTATCATGATATGCTTTTTTTTTTTTAATAACAGCCAAATTCCTGTCTTTTCTTTTCTTTCAAATGAGGTGGAAGAATCAACAGCCGTGATGTGTGGATTTATAATTCTCAGCTTAACATTTGGATCAGAGTTGCCTCTCTAAATAAAGGGAGATGGCGTCATAAGATGGCTGTTCTTCTTGGTAAAGTAAGAGATATTTGTTATTATCTAATAACATGGTTGAAATGCACAACAAATATCTAGAAATCAGACTGCATTATCTCAATTCATTGCACCACTTTTAAAATTGAAATGGATGTCACCTCAATTCTGATTTTTAGTCTGTACTATATAGAACTACACATTTTGCCAGTAAAAAAACCATAATTAGAGAAAATGGCTAAATAAAATAGTTTGTTTAGGAAGCCTCAGTTGTAAGCATGCACAATATGTGAGACTGTATATTATCTTTACAGTTCACACAGTGTGGAAATTCAGGAAGGAGCCTTAATTTCCAATATCCATGCTTTTTGGTGTATGTGAATTTGTAACTGTGTTAACTCCCTTTTCTTAAACTGCAGGAGGGGAGGGGTCGTTCCTAAAATACATAAATACATTTTCACAACTCATCGGGTCAAAGATGAAAACACTGAAGCTTTGTGTAATGCCACACCTAGGTTTGCTAAAGTAGCCAAGCAGTAAGCATATTCTGGCAACATTCTCTCTTTACTTTTAAAGGTATATGTGGTTGGAGGATACGACGGACAAAGCCGACTGAGCAGCGTAGAATGTTATGACTCATTTTCCAATCGATGGACAGAGGTAGCATCTCTTAAAGAAGCAGTGAGTTCTCCTGCAGTTACCAGCTGCGTGGGCAAACTGTTTGTGATAGGCGGAGGTCCTGATGACAACACATGCTCTGATAAGGTTGGGTAATTGTATTCACTTTCTTTTCTCTATTTTAGTAACATTCAAAATGAATAATATATAAAAATTACTAGTAATTGAAAACCAGCGAGAACCTACAATAACATGTTGCAAGATATTCCCAACTCCTGTTCTAGGCTCCAGCAAACCTGAAACAGGAGCCTCATAGTTCTGTTCTGTGTTTTGGGTGGGGAGCCTCCAGGAGACATAAAAGGAAAATAGATACTTGTGGGGGCAGGGGGTTAATATTTATCCACCCTCCTAAAGCCTTTCCATGCTGTGCTATATAGAGCTCAGGCATTCAGTTTGCAGAGTGGGCTTCCCTTTCCAGAGCATTTTATTGCTTTGTAGTGGGAAGGAATGTGGTTTTTCATTCCCCATCTCCTAAAACCTTGCTTTATAATATGTATTCCAACAACCCTAATCCCTACGTCCAGGCTTGTGTAAGCTAGGGGTATGAACCACCACCCACTGCCAGTATTTCTATTGTTCCTGGAGACAAGGCAGCTCATAGTATGCAGTCCTTATCAGGCTGTTTGGCGTGGAGGTTATCTTCTCTTTTTTGCAATGTGTTAAATAATAATACCTAACAAGTCCCCTAGGTTTGCAGAAATCGCTACATTGTTTGTGGGTGGCCTGATTTTACTGCCAAACCAATAGGCACAGGACCACCAAAGTTATTTTAGAGCCCTGCCTTGCTTGGCATCTCTGGAGGGGGTTTCATTGCCTTTCATCCAAGCTTAGAGGAGAGTATCTGAACTGGCACAGGATAGGCTGACAAAAAACAAATGGTCAATAAGTGGCATGAGGTATGCATGAGTGCTGAGTCCTCTACCTTTCTTATTGTGTTAGGGAAATTTTTGACGCTTTGCAATGGGGTGGGATGGGGTAATTTTAATATTTCATATTCCCCCAGGAATGGTGAAACCTCACTTTTGTTTGTGGGTTGCCCTGGCTTGTCTTCAAAGTGATTGGGGAGCAACAGAATTTTACTATTGGAAGGAATTATTATATAAAACGGTTGCATTACTAATGTTTTGTCCCATGACATGAAGTTCTTATAGAGTCTCACTTGCTAATTGGGTTGGCATGAAAAGTTCTTTGATAATTTGCAATTACACAGTTGACTTGCTCAGCCATTTAAAGATATCATTCAATCAGTATTAACAACTCAGGGAAGCTGAAACCATATCAAGTTAGACTAGAGGAGCTTTGAAAGTAAAATGTGTTTGTTACTTTTCAGGTTCAATCTTACGATCCTGATACTAATTCTTGGCTACTCCGTGCAACAATCCCCATTGCAAAGAGATGTATAACAGCTGTATCACTAAACAATCTCATCTATGTTGCGGGAGGGCTCACAAAGGCAATTTATTGCTATGATCCAGTTGAAGATTATTGGATGCATGTGCAGAATACATTCAGTCGACAGGTAACAACAAAGAACTAGCAAAGTTGCTCCTTTCTACATTGTATTTATCAAAATTCTAAACACATTGTGTTAGATCCAGATAAAAGCACATCTAATGAGGCTGACAAAAGCTAACTTTCTCCCCCGGTCCACAGCCTCATGAAAAGGTTTCTTCAAAGCATCTAACAATACAATATTTGAAAACGGTTCAAGCAATCCCCAAACGAAATTAAACTGGGGATGCTTTCATACTGTTGCTATTTTGGAGTGGATTCACTCCTATACCAGGTTGCACAATTATATGGTTTTTTTGCAACAAACCTTTTTCCCCCTCCCCCCAAATGTGGTGAAAGTGATGGGGAAACATATCAAGATGAAAGCTGAATAAACAGGTATTCTGGAAGTGAACTAGTTTAAGCCATATTGAACTAGTGAGAAATGAACATGTAAATGTACAGAAATTTAGAACTGAATAATGGGTGGAATTCACTGACAGACCACACCAGTACAGCTATGGGTCAGGATACTCTTTTACACAATACCATGATTTCACTTTAGACAACGATGCACATGCTATTTTAGGTGCTACTTTATACTTGTCAGTCAAAGATTCACCTTGGACTCCTATACCCTAAGAAGCAATGAAACAGGCTGATGCTAATGTTTCTTGGTCTGAATCTGATGAATGGCTCATTGCATACAGTAGAGCTTTCCAAACTTTTCATGTTGGTAAAACACTTTTTAGACATGCATCATATCGCGACACAGTAATTCAGTTTTACTAGCTACCCAGAGATTAAACTAACCCCTTTCCAGTCCTAGGAGCAGCACGGGGAGCACTTGCCCCACACAAACACACACACTGCAGCCAACACACTAACGTTGCAACAGCTTGGAAAGCTCTGGCCTACAACAGAATGCCTAACACTTAGTAGAATCACACAAACCCTACTGCTAGAAAATGGTTTATCATTTTGCTACAATACTTTTGTACCACATTTACAAAACCCATAAATAAGCATACTCTGGGGGTACCTGCCTCTGCTTATCCTATGTTTTTACTCCTGATTTTCCTCTCATCTGTTTTGTGTAGTATCCAATATCATTTTTGTCTGTTGTTTTGTAGTTTTCCATTCTTTCCAAAGTGTTTTTCTACCTATTATTTAAGACAACTCACAACTCTTCTGCTTGTACTCCTTTTCAAATATTTCAGCATATTCCCTCATTTGCTGCCAGTTGTCTATCTTAATTTTGCTTTCCTCTTCCCATCATTCCATCATTCCTCTTTTCTTATATAGTACTGTGCATCCGTTTTCTTAAATTTAAACTTACTTGATACTTATCTAGCTTTTTCCCAGCACAGTTGGCCAAGGATGGAATCCACCATCAACTATTGGGCCAAGATTAACAAAATGCTACAAAATTATTGTGCTGTCCAAATCCAAGCCCAAACTGAGGAAATAGTTTATTGTAGCCTAGCACATCTACTGTATTTTAGGGTGCATCAGGATCAGCTGAGGAAATAGTAGCCTAGCACATCTATTTTAGGATGCTTCAGGATGAGCATAACATACTAATAATCACAGCTATAAATGTTTTAATTATCAATTTTCTTCATGTATTTGATGAACAGGAAAACTGTGGCATGTCTGTGTGTAATGGCAAAATCTACATCCTTGGTGGGAGGCGAGAAAATGGAGAAGCTACAGATACCATTCTTTGTTATGATCCTGCCACCAGCATCATCACAGGAGTAGCAGCAATGCCCAGGCCAGTCTCATACCATGGCTGTGTGACTATTCACAGATACAATGAAAAGCACTTTAAACTCTAAAAAAGAGGAGAGTCTGTAAATACAAATGAGTGGCATATTACAATCAGGATTTGAAAGCTGCCTTTTCCAAAGTATCATCTGCAAAGATAAAAGATTGTACTTTTTGCTTTTACAATTTTGAAAGTGATTCCGAATGTAATTGTTAAATGTTTTCAATAACCACAGTTCAGTAATTTTTCCCAGAGCAATCCTAACCCTTGATCTGTACTGCTGGTGGGGTAAAAGATGGGCTCCCTCTGTTGGAATCAGCTGGCACCGGGCTCTGCTGCCACAATGTCCCCCATTGTGCCCACTGAAAGTGCAACAGAGCAACACTAACACAGGCAGTGACTGCCATAAGAACCCAAAATGGGTATGGCGGAACAGGGCCAGCAATGGATCTGCTAAATCCAAAGCAGATCCATTTCATGGCAAGGAGCCTGATTTGGGCTTCTCAGCTACATGAACATGGAGCTAGTGGAGCAAGAATGTTGGAAACTACTATCCCTGCTTTCTCCCCCTTGTCAGCCCAAGTGCAGATGTCGTAGTGACTCTTCTGTTCCACCCTGCTGTACCCTGGCCACAGTTAGGATTGCTCTGTCGTAACATGTTCTGGTTTGAAAACTGTATCAATTTACATTAGTAATTAGATCTTGTTCACTTCTATGTTATCTGTAAAACAAAACACCTTGGATTGTGAGTGTATAGCAGTGCCTTTGGAAGTATTCATCCCTATTTTATATGAAGCATTATCTGCATATTTTCATACCTTATTTGTGGTAAGCACTGTTAACAACTTTACTGTTGCAAGTATGTGGGCGTTAGAATTGGAATAATGTCTGAAGATCTAAATAGCTTCAAAATATTGCATTGGCCTTTGGTAACACGATAGACCCCTCATCAGTGAGCAGTGTATGCACAAGGACATTCAGTGAGGTAAGCACACACAAATCACACATGGTTATTTGAATATAATCATGGGATTGCTTTAAAACTTGCTTCTACACCAAGTCTGAGAAGCTAATGATTCTCCCTTGAGTGTACAGAATTCCCACTTGAAGGCTATCTGAGCTCAAATCACAAGTACCCACTAGAAATGTTCTGTAGAACTTACGAAGATTTTCTCTGATTAAGATTAAATTTGTGCTCATGTTCAGTATTGTTTACTGTTCTCAGATAGCAAGTCAATAGATCTTAGGGGTAGGGAGTTCTTGATTGATTATGATAATACCTTTAGAACTAATAAGTAAAAAAAAACCTGTTGATTAATACCAGGTTGTCTTAGTTTTATTTTTTTAATGGAATAGGGCAGGCAATGCAGCTATTCTTGAAAATTTGGCAGAGATCCACACCTTGTGCTATGAATCATCATCTGAGTTACTATATTTTACTGTAGCACTCCTTATACAGCATAAGTAAACCTGTTATACTTATCCATGTCTCCATGAAAGAACTCTGTTATACCTGGTCACTGAATTAGTAAGTGAACATGTAATTGTCACTGCACTTAATTTATGCTGTATTTTGTTAATGATCAGTGGCCTATGATAGACACAGCACAATATTTAATTTGCTGCAAATGATAAAAAACTGACGCAGCTACACAGAGCTGACAAAATTAATTATGCAAACATGTCTAATACAAGAAAAGTCCATTATGCCATATCAAACTGTAATTTTAATTTGTACTTTTATGTCAGTTTCCTGAGCCTTACTTTGACAAGTTTCCTAACTCTAATATATGACAAAGTTTGTACTCACAGTGTTTACGTTGCTCTGAATACTATTCTGTTTAGGACACTGCATATGATGCTTATGTAAGCCAATCCATACCCTCTCTTTTTTATGCATTTCCATTTTACATTGTCCATCCAACGTATACTAGCTTTATGGGACTGCAAGGTTTATTCTTTCTTAAATTGACATTTTAGTTTTATGTAAAAATAGATTGTGAAGCAGTGAATGAAACAATGGTCCTTACAACTGCTTAATCTGGCACATTCCAATGAATGCAATTATTGAGCAGTAAGTCTGAGTTGTGTGGCCTTAGTATCTCTTATTTAATAGATCTGTTTTGTTAGGTGGTTGTTGAACCAATTTTTGTTTTCAAAAAAAATATAGCTCAAATGATCCACTGAGTGCTTTCTCATATGATATGACTCTGTTGAGTCTTTCATGTTCTGACTATGGATGCAACTACATAGTAGTATTATTGCCTGTGCTTCTATCATTGAGTAGATTGTGCTACTACTATTTTCTAGATGAAGCATCTTATATAGTGAGTATTCAATATTAGCTGTATGAATGAGCAATACTGTATCTTAACCAAAGATTGCATTTCTCTAATCAATATTTCTTCTTCAAAAAATGACATAAAAATTAATGCATGAAGTGTATATCACTTTGTATGCTTCTATAAAGAAAAAAAGGATGAAGTGGATCCTCATGCCATTATTCTTTTGAATGGGTATACATTTTAAAGAAGTAGTTCACAAGTGGCAGATATTAGACAATTTACTGGATGATACCCAATACCAATTTTTTCATGGCTACTCTTTTGAAGCCAACATTAAGCTTGGCTCCCATTGATATTGGGCCATGCACAGACTACAATGTCTGCATTTTTCCTTTGCTGATTTCTTTTGACTTTGGGTAACACCACAATCACTGCAACCTTAGAACTTCAAGTTTAAACAAACTTATCTGGGAAAAGGCCCCATTTCTTTTGAATATACAGTACATGTATAGGATTGCACTGCAAATCATCTGTGTAACATCAATTATTTGAGACACTTAAATGATGCTAGTTTAAAAAACCTATTTGTAGATGCAAATAAATCCAACTGCTTTTAGCTATTTGAAAATGGTACTTACGTATCTGCTTGTAGTTTGGCATATGTCAGGATAATCTTTGCTTTATGAAGGAAATTAACCTTCTTTACAAACTTTATATATAGTTTATTCTACCCTAATTTACTTGCATGCTCACTCTCCCTCCTTAGAGTCGACTTAAGTGGAATTCACATGGAAAAATTGATTAAGGGGGAAACAGCTGCATGTTTTACAGTGATTTGCATCCTTCAGCATGAATCTTTATGGAATATATTATTTCACTTTAACTCACCTAAGTTCACCTTTGCTGTACTGTGCTGGGTCCCTCTTTTTTTGACTAGCCTCTGGTCTGTGCTTTGATGCTGCCACATAGCTTAGCCTCCAGGCAACCTGATACTCTGCATCAGTGCCTTTTTTCTGGGGTTACACAAGGGTACGCAGTACCGGCACCTTTTTTTCTAGAAGAAAAGCACTATTTAAAAGTGTGGCACTTACTGTAACAACTTAATGGTGAGTACTGGCACCTTTTTTTTCTAAAAGAAAAGCACTGCTCTGCATGTTTGTTCAGTCCCAAGAAGCAAAAGGGGGTGACTTCTCATTTAAGGGATTACAGCCTTACTATACTAGCTGCAGCCTTGATCCTCAATCTGTGTTTACTGTGCCTTAAACCTGATCCTGGTTGTGATCCAGCTGTGGACACAATAAGGCCAACCACTGCCTAATTCTGATTAAACCACATTCATTTGTGGAATGGGCACACAAGTCATCTGTAAACCTCAGTAGTTTAATTGTATTTTTGTAGCCTCATCAAGCCTGCAGATTCTACCTCCTCAGTCATGCAATCTGGGTGCATATCCCATTCCTGGGAGAAAATACATTTGCTTTGACTTTTTCTTTCTCAACACTGCTTGCACTAGTATTTTGACTTTTGATATGCAGAAGTAAAATACAAAGTGGGGTATTCAACTCCAAGTAGACACATTGTAATTAATGAACATGACTAAGTTAGGTCCGTTAATTTCAATAGGTCTATTCTGAGTTTGCTTATTTGAGTACCTTCCTAAAACTGGTGAAAATATGATAAAACAATGAAAGCAGAATATTTTACATGATGAAGCGATCTCAGGAATCACATTTCATTTTCTAATTGAAATCAAATATATATCTAATCCAGTGATAACAAGTAGAAAGTTACTGATCCAAGTGTCCTAAGAAAGAAAATATTTGTGGAAAAGAATGAGATTTGGCAAACCAAAAGTTCTCATTCCTATGAATAAGAACCATTGCCAGACAACACTTGAAATATACTACACTTTGCTTTTGTACTCATGTAGCGAATAACTGTATAGTCATTGTCAGGAAATATGGCAATTAACTATGACCTAATGAAGTTCTGGGTGTGTTTTTTTATGTTGTACAGTACATATATAATGTTTGTGTTTACGGTTCCTTCTGAATTGCATGTATAAAGTCAGGCCTGCTTTGTAAATACACTCAGCTTTTTATGGTTGTGAAGCACCATCCCAGATATATATTGGATTTCATCTTGAAGTTGTTGGTTTTGGGTTGCTGGGTTTTTTTTTACCATTTTAGAGGTCTTTTTCAGTTGATTAAAGTTGATACAGACAATTATCAGTAAACAGTTAACACATATAGTTAAAATTGCAATATATATTTAGGCAATAATGCTTTTTTAAAAGTGAGCAATTTATTTACTAGACAAAATAGATTTACAGTGTAAGCCTATATGTGTCTATGCAGAAGTAGGTTACTGAGTTCAATGGGGCTTACTCCTAGCTAAGTAGGTATAGGATTGCAGCCTTAGTTTTAGCTATAGCCCCTTGTGAGAAAACAGTTGCTGAACATATAACATAGAATCATATATCTTGCAAAAGATACCTGTTCAGCAACATTTCTTGGACTCTTGTAAACAAACTTCAAGAGCAATTCAAAAACTGACTTGTTGAAACATAGGAAAATGTTATCTGCATGCAAAATGAAGATATCTATTTGCATTTGGTGAGCTCAATAAATATTCACAGTGGTTTCAAAAAGTGAAATGTATTCATATTTGGTCACTGAGTTGTGCTTGCTGCAATTTTTTAAACTTGCCCAAGATTGTATATTAACACTACCAGTTGCATGAAAGAAGTAGTGAAGGAATGGGTGTTAACAATTTTGATATTGAAATGAAACATTTGTTAAGGATTTTGTTTTGAAAGAATTTAGTTTTCTACCTGTGCTTCCATTTCTCTAAAACTAGCAGACCAGGAAATAACTTTGATTTTATTATTGCAATCTAATCCTTAGAAAAACGGCATTGTTTCAATCAGCTTCTTTAAAAATATTGCACCCAAAATTTGAGATGAGTGCCTTCTAGACTTGCCTCCTTGGCAAGTCTAGTACATTCTGTTTTACATAATATCATGTACACCGCAGGAAGGTAGACTCCAGACTTGTGAGATGTACTGTACTTTGTTTTTACTAGAATATCAAGATCCTTACACCACAGCCAGATACAAGATACAGTGATAGTTTGGAATGGGGCTAGTTTGAGAAATGTACACCTAGAATTAAGGAACAGGGCACCTTGAACACATGCTCAGCCCCGTAATTCGTTCTCAGTACCAGAACTGAACTCACTGTTTTTTCACAGAAAATTCTATGCCCAGTTTCCTCTAAAGCTTTCTTATTCTTGACAGTCCAATTTTGAAAGAGTGAAAAGCCTTCTATGTTGGCGTTATTACTATTGAAAAGCAGAAAGCCTTGCTGATATACTGCAAATAGTCAAGAGATCTACTTGCAGATCCTGATCTATTTCCATATCCATCCAGAAACTCTCTCACTTTTAAGTATCCTGAAAAGGTTGCTTTTGCAAGATTTTCAGATTTAGCAGTTTGACTTGGGTATACGGTGAGTTAACTTGGTACGTTTCAAATCAGATTCTTACATGAGATTTGTCCTCCTAATATAATTGAGAAGTACGTTGCTTAATATTTTTCTTACCAATGAAAAACTCAAATAGGCCAACATTCCTTTTCAGTTCAGTTACAGCGCTTTCTGAATACAGTAATTATGTCAGTACTGCAGGATAAATGGCAGCTAAACATATAAAACTCATCATGTGAAATCTTACAGTTGTAACTCAAGGATATCATCTAGTGACAGCAGTTTTAACAATTATCACTCATTTATGTGCTTTATGAATGCATTGCCGTACCTAAGTCTGTTCTCAGAATTATGTTAACACTTAGTTTGTATTCTTGTAATACTCAAATGATTCAGACAATATTTTAACGTTTTGTGTATGTATTTATAGGTATGTGTGATTTGTTCTTGTAATCATTTTATAATATCAAAGATGATTATTTAGAAATTATACATTTAAAGCTACTGTGTAATGATATGTAGCAGTATTTAAGTGTGTGTGAAAAGCATGTGATTTTAGCTTCTTTTGTATAATTAATCCAAAGAATAGAGAATCTGTATGTTTGTAAACAAATCTATTCTTGGTGTAATCTTTGCCAAAAACATCAAATTCTGAATAAATATTGCTAATTTGCATAATTTTTGCCTTTTTTCTTGTTTTTTTTTCTCATTGAGAATTTTATCCAGCCAGAGTTTGGAAAACACAGATTCGTAAAGATTGGCCATATGATTCCCATGCTTGTATACTCTGACTAAACCTCCTTTGTTTTTCACTGCCACGTGTATGTTGCTTTTCACTTCTTGCAGATGGAAATATTTATTTTCCCTGTGCTCAGAAATACAGTTTACTATTGCTGGGAAGATACCATTTTACACAGCAAGCACTGCTATTTTCTGAGTTTTATGTCATGCTGGCTCAGGCCAAGTCTTGGTCTGTTCACAAGCCAGGATATACTTAAAGATGAAAATTCAGATTCTGCAATAGATTCGGTACAAGGCTATATGCTACTGAGCTTATATAATCATGCTTATAACTGCATCTGTCAGCATGAAAATCTCCATTACTTAGTGCCCTTAGTCTGGTGTCCAGTTGGCAAGTTCCTTGCATACTTGTAACTCAGTAAAAGATCACAGCCTTGGCACTGTAGGTCCTTTTATACACACAGTTTTAAAGTATCAAATCTGAGACTAGTTTATAATACTTTGGTGTGCTGCTCCTTATTCAGTTTAGAGTTGCAGATAGGAACTAGGATATGAAAAATACTGTGTGCTGAAATACCGTAAGTTCAGAGCCACCTCAAAGCATGTCACTGGTGCCTACTTCACTATATCTACCACCTTATCACATTCAACATTGCAGATAACTTGGTTGTTATAATTCCTCCTCTAAACACTACCAATATAATTTTTGAACTCGCGAGATCCAAAATGGTGGTCAACCAAAATTCTTCTCCCAAGTAGCAATTTCCACAACAAGCTTTCCATCAACCTACACTGTCTGAATTATTACCGGGGGGCGGGGGGGTAGGCCCTGTTCCCTAGACTATTAACTTAGCTAAGCATCAAAAATGCCACCCATTTTCACTACTGTTTGTGCACTTAGAGCCACTGGTTCACATGGTGAACAGGACTGACAGCGAAATTACTTATAACCATGGGCAAAGCCAAGGGGGGCAGGAAGGGGCAGCTGCCCCCCTAGATCAAGTAAAACAATAGAAATACTTAACTTACTGACCAATCACGACAGTTCTGGCCCCCTAACAAAACTTCTGGCCCCCCAACAAAGTCCTGCCCCCCAATAACAAAAATCCTGCCTACACCCATGCTTATAACTGTAAAGTTATCAACAACAAAAAACCCATTACATATCACCATGTTCACAGAGAACACTGCCCTATTTATATCCAACCTGAATAATTAGATCCCCATGTTAATGTTGTTGATGAAGAGTTATGGGAACCTGGCGAAAGAGTTTGGGAGCATCATTTATCTCAGGAGAGGATTCGTCAAGCCTGGAAAAAAGGTGGGCAGCAGATACGTGAAGACGAGGAATTCCCCCCTCTTCTTTCTTTTGGACTCCCTGTTCGTGAGAGATCAGCTGAGAGATCTCGTCCTTTCCGGTTGCATGTGATCTATATACTAAAGGGCATCCCATTGCCCAAAATTAGCTTAAGGAGCCGTTCAAAAATCTACCACTACATTGGTTCTAGGTTCATTTTAAATTTAGCCCGATTTGGGGGGGTGCTGCTCTATAACGGACCAGCTTCCCAAATTCTAACCCCTAATACTGTATTACAAACTAGCAGTCCCTTTTTTATTATTATTGTGGGGCCCGAATTGCTACGGGTCAAAAACAATATTGCAAAAAGCAATTAAAAATCGCCAACGACCAAGGCAACAGGAGATAAAACATTGGTCAAAAGAAGAAAGGAAAAGCACTTTTAAAAAAAACTTTCCCAGGGGAATAATAATAATAATAAAAAGAAACCAGAGCCTCGGGCTCCTGGGATCCTGCAGCCTCTGGGCTTTAGGACGCAGCAGATGCTTCGTTGAGCGCCAGCCGCCTCTGCAAAGAGAGCGCCCTGCCGGCGGCGCCCCCTCGCGAAACGGGCTTCTCCCAATGCCCGCCCCTTCTCCGCTCTCCGCCTGCGCAGCCGCGCCCCGCCGTCGCCGTGACGGGCAGGCGAGAGGGGACGGAGTTGATGGCGGCTGCGCGGTAGAGACGCTGGCCTCGCTGGAGCGCAGGGCTGGGCGGAGGCGAAAGGGACTGGCGGCGGCGGCGGCCCGTCGGGACGTCTTCGGCGCAGGCGGGTGAGTTGCGCGGCCCCGAGTCGGGGCTCCGCTTCCCGCCCGCGGGGCTGAGGAGGAGCGGGGCGTTTGCGCGCGGGGAGGAGAGCGCCCCCCTCTGGCGCGGGGCCTCGACTCTGGCGGCAGGCGCGGGGGTCCCCTTCGCAAGAAGAGGGTGTCGAGGCGCTCGCCTCCGCGGGAGTCCCCGAAGTTTGCTCGCTCGTGCAACTCGGTCGGCGCGGCAGCCGAAAAGTCCCATCTCGCACCCCGATCCTGGCCGTGCTTACTTGCTGCTGGAAGTAGCTTATGGTTAACTTTACTCCAAGTTAGCCCTCTGGGAGCTGCAGTCTTGCAGACGGATCCTAAGCGCGTTTACTTGCGGGCACGTGCAGCCCCAGTCCCGCGTCGAGTTTGCTACATGTCCCGCGGATTGCAACTGGTTCGCCTAACGCTGCAAAGGATCGGGCTGTTAAAGAGGGCAGTCCGATTTTATGGCCACCTGGAAACAAGTTGCCAGGCACACATAGGACCAGAGCATTGTTGTTTCTCAAAGGGGTCTTCCCAAAGGCCACCCTACTAAGTTTTGCTGGGGATTATTGTTATGATGGGTGAACATCCTGCTAGGAGCCATCCTTGGTGTGTTTTTCCTTGATGCTCCGGCAGTCATTCAGGCTTGTTCTGAAGACCCTCGCAAAGTTGGCTCCTAATAGCACAAATGGCTCCTTTGCAAACTAGCATGCCACAGTGACTCACTGTTCCTGTGCCAGCTTCCTTGTAGCCCCATCATGACTTGCTTTCCAGTGCAATCTTATATTCCTACATCTATTCTGAAGTAAGCCCCATTGTGTTTAGTAGGACTTACTCCCGCTCAAATGAGCTTTTAAGTCCCACGGTGTTTGGTAGTAATGCACCGAAGCAGCATTTTGTAATGCCTAATAATAGCTTGAGCTATCAACTTGTTTTGCTTTGGTCACTCGTAGTTGTGATTTGGTAAATTCAGTTGGAAATTGAAATACTATTCTGCTTGTAATAGAACATGCTGGGAAACTTGAGCTTCAAGAAAACGATTGCTTTCACTTGTCTAAAAGAGTTTTTATTCAACAGGGGTCACTGAAAAGGAAACTGAACAGCCTTCAACAGAGATACGGTGACATTTGAAGGAAAACAGATTCTGCCTTTTTGACACATCTGAGGTAAAATATTGCAGAAAGGGTTTTTCCATTCATAATGTCCTTTCATTTTCTTTCTGTGCAAGTCATTCACCGAAGACATCTATGTATTCACTCACATGTCTTTGCACATAACTTTGCTAAGGAGAATGAACAGCAAAAGGAAGGTTTCGACAATGTATGAAGAAATAATTGTGCAGCATTAGGGGCTTTGTTGGCGGCTGCTCACACATTCGCCCTCTCTAGGCATTCTGATGCCAGGTAGAAGAATAATCCAAGGGGGGCACAGGCGGTAGCTCTGTCCCCCCTTGTTGCCATTCTCTTCACCCCCTCATGAGTAGTAATGTGAAGAATATCTGTCTGGTGTTGCACGCAACAAAATGAAAATAGTTCATCATAATAGCAGATTATGCAGTATTAGTAGCCCTCAGGTGTTCTGATGCTGTGTAGATAAATTATTGCAATAGATGCACACACACAGGGATGGGTATGCTGCTTTGTCCTTTGTCATTCTCTTCACCCTCCAAGTTAGAGGACAATTGGGAGCCTTCTGAACTCACGACACATTTTAGAGCCCCGGAAAACACTCTGCTGGAGCGTGAACATAATAATAAGTCTGAATACCTTGATCATCCCTATGGGGTTCCCTCATTGTAGTTGCTCTCCATAGCTTCAGAATGCCTGACTAACACTACTGTTACTGCAAAATCTGTTGGACTGGACTCTCTTCACTTTGTTATTTGAGGCTCCATGAGGATGATAACTTTTCAGAGATTTGGAGGCTGTATAGTGGAACTGTCTTTGCCTGTGGTCCTGCGGTTTATTTCTAATTTTTTAATATCTTGTTTATCCTGTCATGGTCATTGGTCACCTTGATTTAGTTTTGTAGCATTTCGGATGGTATGTCCCAAAAAACCAAGAGAAACTCGTAGAAATGTAGCCAGCAATAGATGTGCGAATGTGTTTTTGTGTAACTATTGCTTATGATAGTTCAAAGAAAAACAAGGTACTTACTCTGATTCCTAGACCAAAAGAGCTTTTTTTAAAAGAGGAAAATAAGAAAAAAGAAAAATAGGACAGGTTTGGTGGAGTTTTGGGAAGCTGTTGAGACAGAAGCTCAGTTCACGTATTACTTGTGTGTAGGTACTCAAGATTTCAAGCTGATGCAGGGCTGCATTTCTCCTGATATTGTGGTGTTCTGCTAGCTCTACTATCTGACGTCTGCAAGTTGAACTGCTTGTGTTTAATTGCACAGGGTTCCTAATCCTGCAGAGCCCCTAATTGTTAGCAGTTGTTCATGTGTAGGGGTTCCTTCGGAGGCAACCATGTTTCAATGTGCCATCATCATCAGAGAGTAGATATAGCAAGACACTGTGAGATGAAAAGTGTGGTCTTGTTCTGGATTGAAACTATGAGTGCCCTACATGCAAGTAGCATATAAATAGATCTGTATTCTTCCTCCCAGTTGGAAGGTTTACTTCTTCTGCAATGTGACATAAATGGAAAGATGTTCTCAGATGTTTGAATTCACTGTTTGTCCCCCCCCCCCTTTCCCTCTAGTGAAGTCGCCAAACATGTCAGGAATCAAAAGAACTATAGAAGAGATGGACCCAGACTACGAGGAGATCTCGCATGTACCTACAAATAAACGTCATAAAGCAGTTGAGCAGTCAGGTAAAAAATAAATAAATTGAGAAATTGAAGTGGGACAGAGATAAGAGGAGAAGGATATAGTCTGTCTATAGGTATTGGTTTGTGTTAGATTTCTAAAATATGCAGAACACTGCTGTTTTTCTTTCACTCTAATAGAATTGGTTTCAATATTTCTTTGTGTGAAATTCAAGAGCTTGACTGATGGATCAAGTGCCACCATTTCCCATTTAATTTTATTAAAAACTTAAATTGCTATAGCCAGACTGTACCTGAACTGCAATAATACTTGATATTACAACACTCTTCTCACATGTTCTGTGGCAGTGGATTATTTAAAAAAAAACAACAAAAAACACCACCTGCACCACAGCTATGATCTTAATTATTCTCTCTCTCTCTCTCTCTCTCTCACACACACACACACACACACACACACACACTTATATAAAAATATAAAACATTTGGGTCCAAGCTATGCATTTAACCAAATGTGTAGTTTGGTCCATGTATGGATTGCTGAATTTATGTGTCCAACTAGGCTTTTGATGAAGATCTCCTGAAATGGATTGAGAGATTGACTGTAAGAGCTTTCTTTCACCAGTCTTCAGATTTTGGAGCTGTCATTCATATATCAGTTATTGTATTGTGGTTCTTTAAAATATTGCATATTGTTCTTGTACATGGATGCACACACACATACAAACAAATAAGAATGGCGTACTTTTTTCATTTCTTCATACTTTGCCTGGTCATTTTGATACTAAAATGCAAGCAAAAAGTAAGCCAGAACGTCTTCCAGGCATGGAGGACTGTGTTGTTGCAAATGGCCTTAACTTTCTTGCCCGTAAGAATATTCTTCTTCTTTGTGGACTCTTCCTGAACAGCACGAGATGCTGCAGTACAGAAGATTGAGGCAATTATTAAAGAGCAGTTTTCTGTAGAAATGAAGAATAAAGAACATGAGATTGAAGTCATAGATCAGGTATACAGATTTCAAGCTCAATATTCTGTGGGAAGGGTTACAGTCACTCTACTTCATAACAGGACTTTCATCGTCTCTCCCCTTTTCATAGCGCTTGATTGAAGCAAGAAGAATGATGGATAAACTGCGAGCCTGCATTGTTGCAAACTACTATGCTTCTGCTGGTCTTCTTAAAGTCGGAGAGGTAAAACTGATAGTAATGGAGCATGTGACTTTTTGAAAGAAAGAAAATTGCATTTACAAAAAAGGAAAACTGCCAGATGTTTGGTGTTCTGCAACCTCCAAGGAAGCCATGGTCAGATGGGTGCTTCCGCTACACTCTGCAAGTGTTTATCAGCACAATATATACTTTGATCAGGTGGACATGTTACTTTCTGTTATAACTTTAATTCTGAGCAAAATTGAGACGTGCTGCCTCCTTTGTTGTTTCAGGGAACCAAGACCTGTGATCCTATGGTTTTTAACCATCCATCTATCAAGAGATTTTTGGAATCTCCCTCCAGATCATCATCTCCTGCTAATCAGGGGTCAGAAACTCTGTCAGTTAACCATTCAGAGAGCGAATCATCCCAGCACATGGAGTATTTGATGGGAAAGGACAATGGCAGCCTGGATGTAGAAGAGCGATTATCAAACAAGCTTGACCAGAGGCTGAGCAAGAATTCTGGGCAGGTAAAATGAACCCGAGGTGTTAAAACAAGGCAGGAAGAAGGGGAGGAAATAGTCTTCTTTTGTATTCAAAGGCAGACATGGCAAATATATTCCTGACTTCTGCTGTGCCTTCTGAAACCCACAGAGATGTTTTCATCTTCAACACCCCTCATTAGCACTGTTGTAGAAAGGGGTCAATTACAGGTCTCATTATATTGCTTTTTGCTGCCTGTTTTCTGCTGATGTAGCACTATGTGCAGCGATAATTTCTTAACTTTATTTTTCAGCTTCTAAAAATATATAGAACAAATAATCCCTATATACACCTCTCCAAGAAATGTTCCATGCATATACAATTCAAATAATACAGTCAAACATTAAGTTTGTAGATAATTTAGAAGTGATTACATCGGTTAGGTGCTTTCTAGTCCATGTCTTGGCAGATTGTCTCAGAGTGAGACATTAATAACATTACATGGCTCAAAGTTAGTTCAGTTTCTACAACACGTTTGGAGAGGGCAGAGAAATGGGTTTTTTCATCTTAGTTTTATTAATGTGAGAGAATTACGGTCCCTGTCCCTCAGAGGAGTGAAAAGAAATTTAATCCCCAGTATTGGCAGACCTAGCCCTTTACGTGATGAGGCAGAATTTTTTTTTCATGGAATGTACCTAAATTGACCTTTTTTTTGTGTTCTGCAGCAGCTCCGTGTCTCCCTACTCTTGCTTAGATTTGCAAATGTGCTAAATGCCTTTAAAACGGGTATTTTAAAATATGCTGGTCGTTTTATCATTTTCAGGGTTGTTCTCTATTGACCTTTTACTGCAGACAGGTGTATGTCCTTTTTGCAACTTAAACAGTAGCTGCATTTTCCTTGCAGGGGGATAAAATTAGACTAAATGTGTGCATAAGCAGATTTCTAAACAGATTTCTATTTTGTCCCCAGGGCACTTCTGGTGTTGCTAGAGGTCACAAAGGGGGCCTGAGAAATGCTGGTCACTCAAATGATGAACATTCGCGGCTGTTTGTGAAGAAAACCATAGTAGTTGGCAATGTCTCCAAGTTAGTACCTAAAGTCTTGTTCTTGTGTGTTCTTTGACTGTTTGCCTGGAATGTGGATCGCACATAGAGAAATGGCTAAACAATGTGCGGTTTAATATTTCAAAATGTTTGTAGTGGAATTGATTTAAGTGATTATTTCCCCCCAGGTACATTCCTCCTGACAAGAGAGAAGAGAATGACCAGTCCACTCATAAATGGATGGTATATGTACGAGGTTCCCGAAGAGAACCCAGCATTGATCACTTTGTTAAGAAAGTCTGGTTCTTCCTTCATCCCAGCTACAAACCTAACGATCTTGTCGAAGTCAGGTAACAGCACTTTCGGTGAAACTTCCAACTTGCCCCAACTGACTGACAGATTTTCAGAACCTCAGTGATTTTTACTTAGGGGTGGTGTTCCAGTACTCTGGGGAGGGGGTTAAAATCCTCTCTGGCTGATATGTGGCATCATATGCCCAAGAAGGTAAATGCAGAAGAGTGCATAACCCTTCCCCTACCTGCTGTTTTTCAGTCAAGATCTTGTGCATGAGTAAGCCTGTATCTGGAGCCCAGCAGAAACAAAAGGCATACTGAGCAGAAAACAGATGGCAGAGATTGTGTGAAGCAGCTCAGCTCCTCACCCCATCTGTGTGTCTTCTCAGAATTTCAGCTTTCTGTCTGTTTTTCTAAGCATGGTGCTGAGATGTGTATTTAGCTATATCGCAGCTGGGGAACCCGGGGTTCTTCAGATGTTGTTGGCCTCCAGCCAGCTCCCACTAGCCCCAGCCAACATGGCCAATGGACAACGATGATGATTATTACAATTTATTACTCTCCCTTCACCCTAAGGTTCCAGGGCAGGTTAATAGGTAAAAATGTAAAGGAGCCCTGGACAGTTAAGTCCAGTCAGAGGCGACTGTGGGATGCGGCATTCAACTCACTTCAGGCTGAGGGTGCCGGCGTTTGTCCACAGACAGCTTTCCGGGTCATGTTGCCAGCATGAATAAACCGCTTCTGGTGCAACAGGACATCGTGACGAGTGCCAGAGTGCATGGAAATGTTGTTTGCCTTCCTGCCACAGCAGTATCTATTTATCTACTTGCACTTGTGTGCTTTCAAACTGCCAGGGTGGCAAAAGCTGGGGCAGAGCAACGGGAGCGGGTTACTAAATGAGGAACACAACATTAATATTAAAACACAATATTAAACAGCACTCCAAACAATTTAAAACAACTCAACATTACAAAAATTAGATCGGTCCTAAAAATATACATCTCAAGTGTCAAAATCCAGGATAAAGAGTCTTTAGCATTTGCCCAAAGCTGTGTAATGAAGGTACCAGACACCTCTGAGGGGAACTGTCATACAACATAGGGAGGACAACAGATTATAAAACCTTTCTAAAGTCAAATAGCCAAGACTGCAAATATTAGGGAGGCTTGAAAAATTTGAGTAGTGTGTTTGGTACTTAAGATCCTTAAAATTCTTTGGCATTGTCTCGAATACTTGAATATCACCATGGTAACTCTTTGCTGGTCTTCCACCTTATGTGGGCCTTGTTGCTTGTTCTGCACCTCCAAATCCCAAGCTCAGAAGTATCTTGTATGTAGTGGAAGACTTTTGTTTTGAAAAATGATCCTTATTTCTAGAGAGCCTCCTTTCCACCTGACTAGACGGGGCTGGGGAGAGTTTCCTGTCAGGGTTCAGATTCATTTCAAAGACAGCCGGAACAAAAGAATTGATATCATACACCATCTGAAGGTAACTTCGCTGCAATGATAATGCATAGATGAAAATACTCTCTTTGTATTTTTATTGTTTTGCTCTCACAAGAAATAACACAGTGAACTCTGTATTCCATGCTAGTCTTTTTATGGTTCAGAATAGTTGTGTCTTCTGTGATGCAATGCCCTTCTCAGGGAAATAAGTATGGCTCCCTCTTGCTTGGCTTTTAGAAGAGTCCTAACTTTTTTCTTATTATAGTTTGCTTTGGGGTGATTTCAGGGCACTGTGTTTTATTTACTGGTTTTATTTTATTTAACAAAGTTTATATACTACTTGATTGTAATGAAATCTCTGAACCTAAAACAGAACAGCAAATAGCCCTCAATGCTCACACAAGTCAAAGTGCATAGTATCCAATGCCAGTCATTCTGGCATCTGAGACAGAAAACCCCACATGCATCTCTTCCCCACCCCTACCCTCTGCAGTGAAAATACAAAAATAAGAAATTAAAAAGTCAACAACTTTCTGGCATTTTGTGGTACCCCAAACCAACTGCATGGGGCAAAACCTCACTCTGCCTATTGGCAGGGCCAGTTCTGTTTATTGCTTTAAGTTTTGTGTATGTGTGTATATTTGCTCATATTTGTGACAAAGACACCTAAACTTTTCCTTTCCTAATTGTTTCGTACAGTTGGATAGGACATACACAGGTCTACAGACGCTAGGTGCTGAAACGGTATGATTTTTAAAAAGTTTTCTCAGGCTTTTCTTGTAAACTGTAGAATGGAAACAGTGATCACTTTCTTTGGCCATCTCCGCCCTGTCCCCCAAAGTATGAGCAGTAAAAATAGTTATCAAGCAGTTTACATGTTGAAAGTACACTCTGTAAATTGTGTGCTGCTCTTGACAGGTAACTGGGTTGGCCATCAGTCTCTGCTTAGTATTGACATGAGATGCACATGCTTTCTGCTCTTGGTCTTAGGCAGGATTTTCTGTGACTTCTTAAGGCAGGCATGGGAAGCCTCTGGCCTGCAGGCCAAATTAGGCCTGACAGGCGACCCTATCTGGTCGAGGCAATTTTATTCCAGTTGCACCCACCAGTCACTCATCTGAAGTCATATGTGAGGTGTGTGTCACGTAAAATTGCATCTGCAAATGGAGCATTGCAATTGGAAGCCTTGGAGTGGACTCATGATTGTTCCTTTTGCAAGTAAAGCATTTAAATTCAGTGCTGAATACAAGTTGCACAGCTGGGGTCAAGTTCACTCAGGAGATCCCAACTGGATTTGATGTTTGCTGAAAGCAGACCTGGGAACAGCTTCCCTAGCAGATTGGCAGCATGGCTTGCATTTGATGGCAGATTTTAAACAATGCTGAATGCTGGTTCAGATGGGGAACAGATCCACCTGATGTCATATGACTAGCTGATGTTCTCTGAGCAGTACCTGCTTCTGTGGTTGGTCGCTTAACTATTAGGTTACTTGAACTTGAGTTCAGGTGGACTTTAAGCAAACCAACACAATTCCCCCAAACCAGGAGCTTCTGTTGATGGGTGCAAAAGGTTTAGTAACTGGTGTCCTTTGTATCTTAAGTATGCAGTGAAGTCCCTCTCTGCACACTTAAAAAAATGTATTGTCATCAGTTGCCTTACCATAGTTGTTTTTCTCTTGAAAGGTGGTGGATGTTGAATTGCACCGGCATTCTTTTAGAGAAGAGTATGTCTTCTCCCAGTCTTCAGATTCTGATCTTTCTGATGCCCCCACCTCGTTGCATTTGCCATTAAATATGCCAGCACCTGTAAAAGCATCCTCACCAATAAAGCAGATGCATGAATCCATTACGCATACTTCTGTTGAGAAAGGTAAAATAAAAACACCGACGTTACTTCAGTTGGCCCTTCTGTTGTTAACAGTTGCGTTTGTGTTTATTAACTAAAAATAAAATTCAGTAAAAATATTAACAAGGGGGGGGGGGAGGTCAACATAATATGTGTGTGTCTTAGAGTTGGAGGAGAATTTGACCCAGCCTGGAAATTGGCTGATCTGTCCATCCATAGTATGTATCCACCCTAACATATATTGGGAAGGGCCATAGCTCTTGCATGCCAAAGGTCCCAAGTTTAGTCCTTGACCATCTCTAGGTAGGGCTGGGAAAACCCTGGAGAGCTATTGCCAATTAGTGTAGACTCTATGGACCAATAGTCCAGCTAGGTATAAGGCCGTTTCCTTTGTTGTAAACAGTGTTATGTTGTAGAGTACATTATGATGAATAAATTCTGATACTGGAACTTATTGGAGACACATCCTAGTTGGTGTGCAGTTTCCATGGGTGTGCAAAGAGAAACTTTTTACGGAATAAATAGTCTGATTAGGAAAACACTACACTGCTTTTGAGATGGCGGCCTTTCAGATATTGAGAGCTCATTCTGAGGGAGAGAAATAAGTTGTTTTTAACATTTTGATTTGTCTGCCTAGAAACACTTCATAACACTTTAAAAAACAACAACTTTTATTCATCAGGGTTCAGATCTGAAGCCGAAAGACATACGACCTTCTATTCCTTGCCATCGTCTTTAGAACGGACTCCCACAAAGCTGGCTTCACAGAAAGTTACTTTTGGTTCTCACGGCAACTCAGCTTTTCAGCCAATTGCTGCTAGTTGCAAAATAGTGCCTCAGGGTCGAATCCCAAGCCCTGCTGAGTCTCCGGGCAAGTCTTTTCAGCCCATCACCATGAGTTGCAAGATTGTGTCAGGTATGGCTTGGTTTATGCATCAAATTGTGTTGTACAGCGAGATAAGAATAAACTTGCTGCTCTTGCACTGAGTACAGTTACAATCTTGTATGTTGTGAGGAGGGGTGGGGGAGTGCCACACAAGTCAAGCCTGAAGCATGAGATGGTGACACTCAAGGAGACGCTATGTCACATATGCAGCCTCCACACTTAGGAGTAGTTTTGCTCCTAGTCTACTGAGCCCCTGTCTTCCAGGTTGTAAACTCCATAGTTCGTAGGTCATAAGGGGCAAAATGCTAAGAAGCATTGCAAAATGTTGAATGCTACTGGGGATGAACAATGTTTGTCCAAGAAGAAGCCCACAGCCTTATAGGCACATAGGGCCAGATTCTGTTAATGAGCCCTGCTATAGTGTCCCGCAAATTGGCTTGGAGGTTGTTGGGGGAAAGGGAAATTGAGGGGAGATTTTTCCATCTGATGGAGCAATCTCCTTAGCACTACCTTGATAATTCCTTCCATAGTCCTCTATAGAAGGACTGTAGAAGTTGTGATGGAAAAAAGTAGCATCTTCCAGTGCTCTAAGGAAGGCTTTTTCTAAAGGAAACACAGTAGGTGCCTGATTTTCATGGAGCTGCTTCTATGCTTGCAGTAGAATTGATTCTGCAAATTGCTTCTATTGTTGTTGTCATCACTACGCTACCTTCACTTTGGATATCTGTCTGACATGTGCAATGGAGAATTCCTTTCTGTTTCCTTAGGATCTCCAATATCGACCCCAAGTCCTTCTCCACTACCTCGAACTCCAACTTCCACTCCAGTGCATATGAAGCAAGGGGCTACCACCCCTGTAGTCAATAACCCTTACGTTATTGTGGACAAGCCTGGTCAACCGGTTGGGGCAGCAGCCACCAGCACAGGTGTGGACTAGATGCGGGTGGGGAAGAATGTGGCCTCCTTTCCAGAGCCTTTGCAGTGTGTGCCTTGATTTGCCTCAGAGGCAGAATGCTCAGAATAACCCCTAACCCCTTGTGTTCTGTGCTCATGTCTTAAATTTCATTGCTGGATACTGGTGGAACAGCCATCTCCCTCACTAACTTTTGTTTTGTTTGTGAAAGGTATTTTCCTAAGACTCCTTACTCCACAAACCTTACAACAGCCTTCAGCCCTCTGGATATTTTGGTCTACAACAAAACATCCCTCCAAAACATCTTGCAGACGCTGGGTTGATGAAGGCTGCCTTATAGCGTGCTTTGTTACCCTCATTCGCTTCCATCCTCTTTGATCAGTTTGCCAGGGACAAGCGGTTGTTGTAAAGCAAATTTACAACAGCTTGTTGCAGGTTTAGACAGACCATCATATATTAGTCAACTGCAAACATACTTCACTGCAGGCAGTTCCCTGTCAAAGTGATTGTGTTCTGTGCATGCTAAGAACATAGGAAGGTATCTTACACTGAGTCAGACCAGTGGTCCATCTAGTTGTCTAAACTGACTGGCAGCAGCTCTCCAGGGTTTCAGCAGGGAGTCGCTCACAGCTCTACCTAGACATGCTGGGACTTGAACCTGGCATCTTCTCCATGCAAGGCAGATGCTCTGCCATTGAGCTACTGCTCTTCACTTTTCCTACCTGTGCTTCTCTGTTCTACAGTGTAACACGGGCTTCCTCAACCTCGGCCCTCCAGATGTTTTTGGCCTACAACTCCCATGATAAACTAGCTAGCAGGACCAGTGGTCAGGGATGCTGGGAATTGTAGTCTCAACACATCTGGAGGGCTGAGGTTGAGGAAGCCTGGTGTAGCATGTAGAAGGTGGGGAGGAGAACTTTCGCACCCAGAACTTTTCAGCTCAGAGACACTGCTGAGAGATGGGGAAAGTGTGTAGGAAATGGTGGCAACCATCTCTCACGTGATTTGTGCGCCGTCCTGGCAGAGCTGTAGATTCTCTGGGGCTGCATTCAGCATATGGGCACAGAAGAGGTGTATTGCTTTCTAGCAAAATGGGAATGTGACAGTGTCCCCCTCTGCCTGTGAACCGCCTGCCGTGTTGCCTTCCTTGCAAGCGGGCAGCGGTTCTTCCATTCCGCCAGTTGTCCAGCAAGGAAAAGGTGATTCTCTTCAGAGAGCTGTAATGTGACAGTTGTTAGAACACACTGAAGCTACACCAGGATGGCCAAATGTGTTCTGTTGTATTTCTCAATATATAGGTAGCCCTGGAAGTAAGGCTTCAAGTGTTTCTCAAGGGACAGCATCTCCAGTATCAAAGATCCCTGGGAGCAGTTTGGTAACCTCCGCTGTCAAGGTAACATTCGTTTGTTTGGCTTTTCTGTTTTTGTTTTGTTTTTAGAAACTTGTTCAGGTGGAGTATTTTGTCTTTTATTCTTTGATATTCCATGGCAGTGTAGTCCCTTTTTCTGGAAACTGTTCGTAGAGTTCTGGTTCATTTTATTTATTCATTAAATTTATATCCTACTGCTCCTCCCAGGGTGGCAAGCAGTAAGCGATAAAACATCTTAAAAACATGGTTAAGTTTTTTATTTCTGCATCCAAAACATCTCGTGTTGGGTCTGCTTTTGAATGTCTCTCAAGTGCTCTATCCTTAGTGTTCTCCCACCAAAACCACAATTTTCTCCGTATTTCACGGCCCTGTTTTTCAGTGGTGTTTGGAGAAGCCAAAATGCCTATTTGCAACGCTGTCGTGTGTCTCTCTATTTCTAAGTAAGTCCTACTGAATTCAATAGAGCTGACATCCTAGGTAAGCATGCATAGGATTAGGGACTTGGGCAATTTTTCCCTCCAGGGTAAGGCAGTGAATTTGCCTTCACCAGCCAGAGAAAAAAATGGTTCACTGGGGTAGTCTGGGCATGGCCTATTTATAAATTACATTGGTGGAAGACACATGATCTCCGTAGTTGCAACATGTTTCACATTTCCAAAAATCAACAAGTAAGCTGAGGCTATTGAGTGCATTTCTTGTTAAGCATGGTGTCGTCTTCTGTCTAGGCACAAATTTTGTATTTAGGGAAAACAGAAGTAGCACTTGACAACTTTATAAGCTACCATTGCCAAAATAATATTTATGTAAACATTTGGGGTGAGGGAAAGAGATTCCAAAGAGCCAGTGGTGATTGGGAACCTCGCCAGTAGAGAAGCACTGGGAGCAATTCATTTGGCTTTTTAAGCTGACACAGACGAATAATGTTAGTATACTTCTGGGCTGGGGAAGAAGTCTCAAAGGTACAGAGCTAGATTGTTGCTGATAAATGGTACTTCAGAAGGTGATGGATTTGTAGCAGAATTTAGAACTTGCTTTTATTACTGCTTACAAAAGCTTGTTGTGTGTTTCAATAGACTGCTTCTAGCATTTAAAATGAGATAAGTTTTGTCTAGAATTGTTTCCTATGCAACTTGGGTGTTAATGCAAAAGTAGTAGAGAAAGCCATTCCTTTGTCACTTATGAAAGTATCTCCACGTAGCAAGTTCTGTGCCATTTTAACCAAACTTGGCCCAGGTTAATGATGGTGATTTGTATTGAACAACATGCGTTCAGTAACAAGCTCATTGTATTTGGGAATATTTTAATGAATTGAAGCCCTCCTAAAAGCGAGGATCTCTATTTCTGTACCTAACTAGGGCTGCTAACCAGCTAAATGCACTAAACATTATTTTTGCACCTGTCATTTTAACTGTTCAGTTGAGTACATTTATTACCAAAAGTTCAGTATTTAAAGGAGGACAGCATAACGTATGATACAATAAACAAAGGTATGATTGTTAGAAGTTTAGATTCTCTTTCATTTTAGAATCACAACTGAACCAACGGCTTTAAGGTAATAAAACTTTGTGTCGTTAACTCCCCATGAAACCCAGAACTTTTTGCAGGCCCGGGTTGGCTTATGTTCCTTGTCTTGAATAAGCTCATTTCTTGTATCATAGTGCTTAAAAAATAATAATTGCATAGTTAACTTAATTATCTGCTTTGTATAATTCTAGCAAGAAGACTCTCTCTTTGCAACCATGCCGCCTCTGTGTCCAATTGGGAGTCACTCCAAGGTACAAAGTCCTAAATCTGTGACCGGAGGATTTGGAACATTTACAAAGGTATTGGAAGTCTTATTATTCTCTTTGCAATGTGTAGCAGCAGTGTAAGCAGCATTTAACAGTGCAATTTGTCATAAAGCATTCCAAATGTGTGCTTCTAACATTTGCGATTTTTGTTATTGCTTGATCAAGTAGATAGATAGAAACTTTATTTGCATTAGCTACTAGCCAATGCAAACTTACCCAAGTATTGAAAGAACCCATTCTGAATTTTGTTTCGCTCTTTCCATAGTGTCTAGGGAACATAATGACCTGAAAAAATTACCTTACCACCTTTTCCTTCTTTTTTATCATTACACAAGCAGCTGACTTTCTTTGGGGGAAGATAATGTTAATATACAAGTAATATGTGTGGTGCTTGGTCTTTATATATCAGTAAATATTTTGCAACTGGTCTGCCCAGAGCTGAGATTGAGCTCTGATACTATACAGTCGTACCTTGGATCCCAAATGCCTTGCGAGTCGAACGTTTTGGCTCCTGAACGCCATAAACCTGAAAGTCAGTGTTCCGGTTTGCGAACATTCTTAGGAACCAGAATATCTGACGGGGCTTCCGTGGCTTCTGATTGGCTGCAGGAGCTTCCTGCAGCCAATCAGAAGCTGCACCTTGGTTTCCGAACATTTTGGAAATCGAACGGACTTCCGGAACGGATTCCGTTTGACTTCTGAGGTACCGCTGTACCGCTTCAGGGCAAACCAGACATGTTTCAGATATTTTTGCAAATGTACTCCTCTTCTGGTAACTTCTCTCAGAAGCTGTTCTTACCGTTTCCCCTGGTTTTAGGATACACATGCAACTATGAACTTTTGAGGGACAGTCATATATGAATTACTTAGCGCTCAATCAAGCAACCTATTTGTTTCTTGTGAAAAAAATAGACAGCCATGGTGTGAGAGCTTTTATGGGTTTTTTTTAGTAGAGATTGAATTCTTCCCTTCCACTTGATTTATTTGAAGGTAATAATCAAGCAAGAGCCTGGAGAACCGCCCCAGCAGTCTCCAGCACCAGTGACTGGGACAACCTCTCAGACCTCAGTGCAGCAATACGTTACGGTGAAAGGAAGTCACATGATTTCTTTGTCACCCCAGAAGCAGATTGTGAGCACTGGAGAGGGATCCACATCATCTAAGGTAAAATGGTTTCCATTTCTTTTTATTTTCTTCGGCTGTTTTCACCTGGCTGTAGGTCATCCCAACCTATTTTCAAGCTGTGGTGTGCAGATGTAGATTCGAACCTGGATTTAGTTGCCTGCTGTGCTCCGCTGCTGAAATGTTTTAATTGATTTCATTTATATGTTTGTTTAAAACTTTTTTGGTGGATGAATGAAAGTATAGAAGTGCCTAAATTAAATAAATGCATCTGTCTCTACTAAAGACACAGTCAGTGCTTTGGAAGTGTGGAAAAACGCCAGTTCAGAAACCATATAGTTTCTTTGTAAACCTGCATTTTGCATCTGGGTAGCATGTCCTGCATTTGTTCTACACAGCTGCCACTTCAGGCCCAGTTTGTGCAGCTGACTTTTTTGCATTTTAAAAATCCCATTGCAGTAATATTCTATTTGTTATCCATAGATACGTCTTGGTTTGTGATGGGCTTTTAAGTGGTATAAACTGAGTTAATTGATGATTGCTATGTTTTGAGTCCGTATTGTTTTTCATGTTTTCCTGCTCTCTAATGGGCCAGTTTAATTAACAGATGGCCACAATCTGTTTTACTGTAGGTCATTGGTGTTCCAGTCGGGTCTGCTTTACCCAAGCAAGCTGTGGCTATCGGTGGCGGGCAGATACTAGTAGCAAAATCCAGCCCTTCAGTCACAAAGGCCATTGGTGGAAAGCAAGTTGTAACGCAAGGAGTTGCAAAAGCAATTGTGAGTGGCGGTGGAGGGACCATCGTGGCTCAGCCTGTGCAGACTTTAACAAAAGCTCAGGTGCCCTCAGGAGCTCCCAAAAGTGGAACTCAAGGACCAGGTAAAGCTATCTTATTTGCAGACACCTTCAGAAACAATTACATGGAACCAGTTAATTAATATGCAGTTCTGGAAAATTGTGGTAACCTTCTAAATCCAGCTGAGGTGCGGCATGCATAAATTTACCAAGCAGGACTGTAGAAAAAGCATTTTTAGTGCTAGTTTGTGCCATTGTAACCCATGTCTAGGCACTGAAGGGAGGTTGAAAGCTCTCTGTAAATAAAGGGTTTGCCTCTTCCTTGCTGTGTGAAGTGACTTGAACTTGAATCCCAGTATGAAGAAAAAAACTATGGTTGCAGTCACAGTGGAAGTCATTGGCTCACCATCTCCAAAAAAAGTACTCTGGAAATAAATAAAAATGATACAGAAAAAGATTATTGCTGATTTTGTCTGTTCCTGTTTGAAATAGTGTGTGGCAAAAGACGGTCTTTGTAAAGCTGGGTGATCTTCATTTTTGTTTCTGCTTTTCCTTTCAGTGATGGCAACATTGCAACTTCCAGCCACGAATCTGGCCAACTTGGCAAATCTGCCCCCCGGGACTAAGCTGTACCTTACCACAAACAGCAAGAACCCTTCTGGGAAAGGAAAGCTGCTGCTTATACCTCAAGGAGCCATTCTGCGAGCCACAAATAATGCCAGTTAGTGTTAAACGGGTTGAATCTAATGTGCTTGGTGTAGTGATTCCGTAACACACATGAGTGGAGTAGACGCTGCTACCCTAGTCTGGCCACGCGGCGTTCCCCTAAAGGCAACAACTGTTAAACGGTGCCTCCTTGAAGCTTGTTAAAATGCATCATGGGGCTAGGCTGCCCTGCATATGTGATTGTTTTGTTTGTTCCAGATCTGCAGTCAGGCTCTTCAGCAAGTGGAGGTGGGGCAGCCCAAAGCACAAGTACTGGCTTATCACAGCATCTTACCTACACGTCCTACATCCTCAAGCAAACACCACAGGTCAGTCATAATACAGTTTTCTGGGATGAAGGCTCATCACATGGGCCCATGGTTCCAGCTGTCATCCAAAAAAAAGGAAATGCACTCAGAGTTGCAGGAAGTAGGCATGACCAGTTCTCTTCATCCGCATTCCATTTCTTGCAGTCACTGTGGTCTTTGTTTTGGAGTTGGGGGTGGGGGTTTCTCCATGAGTTTTGCCACTCCCTTCTATTGATCTCTGCTGTTGCTGGATGCTAGATAAAACATGAGTGGCTCTAGGTTAGGTCACTAATACAATTGGTTAGAGCAGGGAAAGCCCATGTGTTTGCTGGACTCCAGTTTCCACCCTTCCTAACCACTGGCCATGCAAGTTCTGGCTGATGGTTGTTGGGAATCCCAACAATATGTGGAGGGCACTACGTTGTTGATATACTCCTGGGTTAGAGTATGCCTTATATTGGAGCCTAAAGGCTTATGAAGCAGGAATCGGCTTACTAGGAGCTCTTATATTGAGAAAGCACAGTCTCTGTGAATCTGCGCTGACATTTTTTCTTGTCTCCATAGCAAATATGTAATAATGATAGTTGTGCAGGAGGCAATTGCATTATGTAGTACACCAGTGGCCAGGCTGAATTCAATGAAACAAACAGTGAGGAAGAAGTGTTTTATGCACATCTGAAACCGTTTGACAGGATAATGTATAAACAAAAATAAAATTTATTCATAATTCGCCTTCCCCAGCCTATCGCCTTCCAGATATTGTTGGACTCCCAGCTCTCTCCCATAAGTCCCCGCCAGCGTGGGCCATGGCCAGGAATGAGGAGAGTTGGGAGGCCATCAACATCAGGTTGGGGGAAGTTGTTGAGTTTCTTAACTGAGATAAGGTGGTATCCCCCAGATAAATGGTATTGTTAGAGCAAAACAGTTTGCCTGTCAAAAAATCAAACCTGAGAGGGCCAGAATTTGCAGTAGGACTTCTTCTTTAGAGAGGTTTCTCTTTGGTGATGGTGGTGGGAGCAGAGTCCTTGGGGCACTCACTGTAGCAGTTTCCTTCTTTGGTCCAGGGCACCTTTTTAGTTGGCCAGCCTTCTCACCAGAGTTCTGCGAAACAAGCAACATCTGGAACAGTTGTGCAAGGGAACGCAAGTGCCGGGACACCATCTGCACAAGGACACCAGGCGTTGAAAGTGATAACGGGACACAAAACGGCAGCTCTGTTTGCACAGGTAACTGCCATGTTTAGGGCTTTGATTGGGATTGAAAGAGCACACACACAACTGGTCCAAGGGGGCTTTGGGCTTGCGTGTACTGTGAAACAGTAGCCCTTTCAGTATGCCTACATATCATTTAACTTCTGAAATGGGAGGGGGCTTTCAAAAGGTGCTTGTGATATGACATGGGGCTGGCGAGGTCAGTTATCCAAATGAAATAGTTGGAAATGCCCCTGGGCATGCCCAAGTCCTTGGGGATGTCTAAAGTAGCTCCCTGGATCTCAGCCTTTATTGCAGGCTTTTGTTATCAAAGGAAAAATTCAACACTATAAAAAGGTTCTCGACTTCCTCATCAGAATAGTGGGATTGGGAGTGGGGAAGTAGAAACAAGGAATTACTTTCACTTGCTTTCCAAAACAGTAACTGTATTGATCTGTTGTACAGAAAAAGAAAAGTAATCCCATCAAACCCAGTGGGACTTTCTTCTTGGTATTCCGTGTTTCCAGGCCCATCCCAAGGCATTTAAAAACAGATTGGGAGGAATGTCTGCTTGTTTTCATCACATTTTTTGCAAACCTTTGATTCACAGGAAGTTGCGGTTTCCACTTAAATTTTTATTTTAATTTCAAAGGCAGCTTCCAGTGGACAAGCATCACTGATGAAAATATCCGATAATACACTGAAAACCTTGCCAGCATCGTCACAGCTCTCGAAACCTGGCACCACTGTGCTAAGAGTATCTGGTGGAGTGATCACTGCAGCGACAACGTCGTCCGTGACTCTGCCAACAAATGGAGTTGCACAGGTGAGGTCAAGTGGTGTGTCAGGTTTCTAGTGCAAGTGCAACCGCTCAGGAAAGTATGGCTTCTGCACATGAAGCCTATGAAATTAGAATCTTCTACTTCATCAGTTTTGATTCCCTTGAAGTAAAGGGTATTTTAAATTTTCAGAAACTGTCCTGCTTGCTACTAGCTTTACATAAAAAGAAAAGAAATTGTTGTTTAGTCATTTAGTCGTGTCCGACTCTTCGTGACCCCATGGACCAGAGCACTCCAGGCACTCCTGTCTTCCACTGCCTCCTGCAGTTTGGTCAGACTCATGCTGGTAGCTTCGAGAACACTGTCCAACCATCTTGTCCTCTGTCCTCCCCTTCTCCTTGTGCCCTCCATCTTTCCCAACATCAGGGTCTTTTCCAGGGAGTCTTCTCTTCTCATGAGGTGGCCAAAGTACTGGAGCCTCAGCTTCAGGGTCTGTCATTCCAGTGAGCACTCAGGGCAGATTTCCTTAAGAATGGAGAGGTTTGATCTTCTTGCAGTCCATGGGACTCTCAAGAGTCTCCTCCAGCACCAGAAATTACTTGGTGCAATTTGATATTGAGATGAATTACTTGGTGCAATTTGATATTTTGGCTTGGCTTATTCACCCAAACTACTGAGATGAATTTTAGTTCAATATTTGTGGTTGCCTCTGACCCCTGACTCCTCCAGTTCTGCGGCATTTGCAAAGAAATTTGCAGAATGTTTTTGTTACATGTACACCTCTCCTGCCTCCCACAGTGGAGCTCCAGGCAGCCTACAGATCCCAGGCTAGATCAGCAGGCAGAGGAGAGCTTAAGCAGCTCTCCTGTTCACTCTGTAATTCTCTCCTTCAGATTGTTATTACTGTTCATTAAATTTGTATATTGCCCTTCATCCAAAGATCTCGGGGCACTTCACAGAGGCCCCCACATAATCTTGGTTATGTGCATGTCTAAAAGCACAAGTTTGCGAAGGTAATGTGTACTTCCACATTAAGTTCGTAGGGGATGAATGAATTTGTATTTCGTGCTGGCTGGTGTTCTTCAACCCAATATTCAATCATTTTAACACAGCAAGCGGACAGTGCAAGTTCTAGCTCATCTCCAGCGGCAGGCCCTGTAGTGAAGGCGTCTGGACAGCAGCCACAAGTTTCTGCCAACCAGGGGCAAGCAGCATCGGCTGTGCCTAATAAAACAAATGCATCTGCGGTTGTAAGCATTGCTTCTTGGGTGGCTGCCCCAGCCCCAACCTCTGGGAAAACTGCAGTATCAGGTAAGGAAAATTCCCTTTCCTTTGCTCCTTCTACCTTTTCAATCTAGACCTATAATGCATTGTTATTTTGGGCGCTGAAATGGCAGAATTGGGAGCACCTAACTAGGCCACTGTTGGGACGCGGATGGTGCTGTGGGTTAAACCGCAGAGCCTAGGGCTTGCCGATCAGAAGGTCGGCGGTTCGAATCGTCACAACGGGGTGAGCTCCCGTTGCTCGGTCTCAGCTCCTGCCCACCTAGCAGTTCGAAAGCACGTCAAAGTGCAAGTAGATAAATAGGTACCGCTCCGGCGGGAAGGTAAACGGCATTTCTGTGCGCTGTTCTGGTTCACCAGAAGCGGCTTAGTCATGCTGGCCACATGACCCGGAAGCTGTACTTGGCTCCCTTCGGCCAACAAAGCGAGATGAGCGCCGCAACCCCAGAGTCGGTCACGACTGGACCTAATGGTCAGGGGTCCCTTTACCTTTTAACTAGGCCACTGTATTTGTGGCCTGACCTCTTTCAAAAGAAAATCAAAAGTGCTGGTGTTTGGTCTGCCTCTAGGCATTAGGTTTGAAGTATCTTGAGGTCAGCCTTCACACGTATGCATCAGCTTTGAGTAGCATCTGCTCTTTGACCCAGTATTAATAAAGTGCCAATTGGCGAGTTCCGAGGATGCGGCCTTTTTAATGGTGGCAACACTCTTGCCGAATCTTCTCCCAGGAAAGTCCACCAACTTTCCCCTCTTCTGGGGGAAAAAAACAACTTTATTTCTGTCAGACAGTTTTAAAATCTGCTGCTGCTGTGCTTTTCTGCTTGTTTCCCTTGGTTTATTTAATCTGTGTTTTTATTGTTTTTATTTATGGGGGAGGGGGTTTGTATGCCACTTTGTGGGGAATTTTATTTAGATATGGGATATAAGCAGTTATAGTAAATACTTCGAGGTGGCAGCAAGTGGTTTAATTTTTTTTATGTAAGTAACTATTTGGAAAAGTTACGGTGCAGCTAAACTCCGCAACTGTAACCGCTAAAAGGGTGCGGAGTTCTTAAACTCCTGCACTGCTTCCAGAAGATGCGCAGATAGGCAAAAACCTATGTTTTCAAGGGAAAGGAGTTCCACAGCTGAGGGTCTGTTGCTGAGAACCCCTCTCTGTGTCCCCTTGCAATCCTAGAGAGGTATGTGGATGTTTGACTTAGAGGGCCTTCACAACACACAACTAGACTTAATGTGGACAATATGTGATCAAGAGCTCCTGATGGTTATTTCAATTGCCAATCTGATTTGGCTCCCCTGCAGCTGCTACTATTCTTCTTCTTCTTCTCTCTTTTGATATCTTTAATTTATAATTTCCTCTATCACAAGAATGAAGTGTGTTTTCTTCAACATAATTTACCTGCTCAACTCCATTTCTAAATAACAGAATTTTATTCCGAATAGGCAGTATTTATCAGTGGTACATCGCTGCATCACTGCTTTAGAAACACTACCTTTGCAGTAACAACTATATTATTATTTTTTTGTAATTATGACTTTTCAATTGTAGCTGCAAATTGACTGTTTAATTGTCAGACTTCCTTAGTGATGGTTTTCAGTTGATGCTTGATTCTGTTTTTATCAGCATCTCTCCCCTTTTTGTTGTTGCTGTTGACAGAAGAGCTGATTTCATAGTCTCTTGTGCAGAAAGGAGCAAGAGCTCTCTTTAAGCATGTCTTCTCTTCCAGGATTGTTAAAGATCCACTCCAGTCAAAATAGTCCCCAGCAAGCTATTTTGACGGTTCCCAGCCAACTCAAGCAACTTGGTGTGAGTGCTGCCTCTGGAGGAGTCCAAACAATATTGATGCCCGTGAACAAAGGTAAAATGCAGTTTGGCAAGACTACAAGTGTGTACAGATGCTTTTGATGAGAGTATTTGGACAATTTAGGTAACCATATATTAGCTTAAGAAACTAAGATATGGATTGTGCAAAAAACTAACTGACCAATTATGAAGTCTGTTTACTATAAGTTTCCCATTACATCTTAACCAGGAAACTATAGTTATGAGCTTTGCAACAATCCAGGTTATTAAGCCAACTTCAAACTAGAATAGCCTGAATTGTTCCAAAGCTGATAACCATATTTTCCTGGTTTAGATGAAATGGGAAACTATGGTCAGGTGGATACTTCCTGGTTTGTTTGCCAACTTGTACAAAGTGGATCTGTGCACAGACTCAAAAGGCTTGTTCATATCTTAACATATTAAGCCAAGGCATGATCATCCAAGTGCGGTTATTTATTATGTGATACATAACACACACTACTGACACTAACGCTAGACTTAAGCTACTATAGACAAATTTCAGTTTCTGTGCCAAAATACTATAAACAATTGATCTGGCATCTCCACTAAGGATTAGTAAAATAATTGATCAATACAATTGTCTAGCAGTTTGTTTGTTTGTTTGTTTGTTTGATGAAAATATCTACATATCAATGTGAAATCAGTATTTTTCTTTTCTCTCAGTGATACAATCACTTTCATCCAGCAAAGTATCTGCTGTTACACCCGTAACCTCAACAAATGCAGTTGTTCCAAGCCCTTCTGCAGTGTCTGTTGCAAAAGGTACAATTATTTGTTATTGTGATCAGACCTTGCCCCTGCTCACCTGTGGAAAATCACTGACACCATTATTGGTGGTTGTAATATAATTCATTTTATGTTTGATTTTTCATGTGTACATTTTTACCAGGATCTGACTTGGATACAAAGACTTGCCAGCCTGATACTTTTATGGCAAATGTACATGCAGAAATGTGGCTCTGAGCTTAGTAAAACTGAGTGGTAACGGGGGGGGGGTGTGTGAAGTGGGCACATTGGTTTTCTTCTTCTTTTGTCCCAGCAGATCTCCCATTTTCTAACATTCTCTCCTTGTTGACAGATAGGTAGCCGTGTTGGTCTGCCATAGTCAAAACAAAAAAAATTCCTTCCAGTAGCACCTTAAAGACCAACTAAGTTAGTTCTTGGTATGAGCTTTCGTGTGCATGCACACTTCTTGAGATATCTGAAGAAGTATGCATGCACACGAAAGCTCATACCAAGAACTAACTTAGTTGGTCTTTAAGGTGCTACTGGAAGGAATTTTTTTTTGTTTCTCCTTGTTGAAACCAGTGGGGAAGAGAATTAACTACACTAGCTCCAGGCATAGCTGATAGGCCTGATCCCAGGAGTGGCAGGTCAGGTCTCTGGATCCAGCCCCATCCCTCAAGTGCCCTGGTTTGACCCCTAACCCCAACTACCTCTGACACTAATACTATCAACAGTAGGTCCATGCCTCCAGAGAATTCTGTGGCAGACAAGCCCCACTCCCCCACCAGCAAAGCTGTTTCCCACCATTGTAGAGGTACCTCCGCCCCATCAAGACAGCAGGACTGAGAGCGTGGATCACTCTGTTAGCTTAATAAATAAGTCTGCAGTAGAGTAGAACAATGCTACAAGATACTCAGAAGGCGCCGATATGTCCGTGGTCAAATTCCTTTATGCATGAGAACTAAAAGTGCATGCAAAGACACATACTGCTGAGGCATAACAATATGGGTGCATTTTTCTCTGTAAGCAGTATCCTGAAATGTGGTTAATTAAAAAATGCTTTTCAGCAGCTCAAGAAGTACAGCAGTGGTTTCACTTGGGAGTCTTAGGGATAGTGCTAATGAGCTTTTAATATATTCCTCCCATAAGAAGCTGCTGGTCTCAGCTGAAATATTTTCCAAAATAACAGAACAGAAATATTCTTCTGTGGAAAATGAAACTTCAGGTCATTATCTTCCAAAAGAAAATTCTTTCAATATTCTAGACGGTGCTGTTGACTTCAATTCCACCACCGACACTGCTACCATCTCCTTTTCCTCATTATTCTTTTTTTCTGTGAATTGGATGGGGACTTTTCAGGAGAGCATGGATATTTTAAAACCGTTTGGATGAATTGCAGGATTTTACACATATTTTAGAGGACAAGCAGGGACCTTGTTGCTCCAGCAACAAATTCCCTGGAGTAACCAGCCAGCATCATCTCAAGGTCTTTTTCTTGTCCTATAAATATATAAAAATTGCAGTTAGTGAGTTATAAATAACAGCTTTGACTCCTTTATTAGCTAATTGGCAGGTTCAAGGCTAGGCAAACATATTTTTCTACAGATGTCTTTAAAATTTTTAACAGGTGTATTTATTTTAATTATTCTTTTATCTTCTGAAGTTAAGCTGGAGCCTGATTCAGCAGGGCAGAGCTGCAGTTCGCTTGTCTCCCAAGATGGTCAGGTGACAGTGAAAGCAGAGGAAAGCTCTGAACTTGGAAACTATGTCATTGGGTAATTATTCTTGCCAAGTTAAAACTTCATGAGTTGCAATAGGGATATTGCTCACTGGGGGCCATATTTGGGGGGGAGGTACCTAAAAGCGATAATATAAAACGTGCTCTCTTGATTTTTTACAGGACAGAGTATTTGGACAACCTCCAGCAACTTTTGACAGCAATAGTAAAGAAAGTGCCATTGATTGCTGAGAGAAGTAAGAACCTGCAGAAAAACACAAACACACACACACAATTTTATTTATTTGTCACCTTTCCATATTCAAACCATGCTCAAGGCACCTTACAACATGAAAAAATTACCTAATTATAAACATAACAAAAGTAGTCATAATCAGTAGATGAAAGATTTAAAAGTACACAACCAAATTGAACAATTTCTTTGCCAGTGAACCATGACCTCTGTTGCCATTTAACTTTGAGATTTCATCATGGAAAAGAGCAAAAGAACTCAAGAAGCCACAAAAGATGTTCTTTGCAAAATACATAGAAATCTGAATAATCTCAGTACTCTGTATAATTCCAATCTCACTACCCAGCCAGATAGGTGGGGTGTAAGTGATAAATTATTATCTTAACCTTAACTTAACCTTCTCTGCACAAGTTGTAAGTGTTGCAGGCTGCAATCCATTATTCATGTTGTTTAAAATATTTCTTAACAACTCCTTATTGGAAGATACCAGTGGTAGTGTGCTGGACCGTGAATAGAATTCACACAACATAAAAGTTCAGCTTAAAATCAAAATTTGGGTGCCACCACAAAAAAGGCCTTCTCTTTTGTGGTAGGATAACATGCCTCTGTTAAGTAAGTAATGTCTCTCCAGATTACTAGAGATCTTCCTCAGATGCCCCTCTTGCATGTTGCCACCTTCAGGTGCTTGGGGTCTCAAGCCATTTAGGGCATTAAAAGAATGCACCGACACCTTAAATTGGGCTTGGAAGCAAATAGGCAGCCAGAGTAGATCTTTCAGAACAGGCGTCTTAAGAGCTCTGGTTGTACTTGAGCAGCTGTGTAACACATTGCAGTAATCCTGCCAGAAGGTTATCAAAGCACGGTTCACCATGACTAGGCTATCCCTGTCAGGGAATGGTTACATGATGACAATGGCATCAGTAATACTCAGAAGGAACTATGAAGTTCCCAAAGCATTTCACATGCCTTATCTCAGTAATCCTTAGCTTTCCTGACAGACCGGGGGTATGTATCTTACCACTGCTGGTAGCTGTTTGCAGCCATTTGTCAATTTAATCCATCTGTTGCTAATTAAAGCATGCATTGATTGCCTACCTGCAAGCTGCCCATACTGTTAGCACTATTAATGTTTCCCTGGTAACTAACCTTGCATGGCTTGAGGGAAGCTTGAAAACAGCAGGAGCAAATGTGCAAAACTAGGTGGCGTAAAGAAAATGTAATGACAGGAGATGCCATAAATATGTGTAATGCCTCTTTTTAAAAAATGCTGTGTATTTGTGTGGGCCTCCTATTTGGGAAACAATGTTTTCCACCTCTGCCTTGTATTATTACCCCCCCCAAAAAAGCCTCTTTCCTGCTCTTATATTTTCTTTTCTGACATTTATGGGTTCTTTTTACCAGCAGAGTTTCTATACCTTTCCTCAGTGTTGTTGTTTTTTAACACAATTGGCCTTAAGTGATTTTCTTAGCCTAGTTTAACGGACAAAGGTAATTCCTTACTATGGATGCTGCTGACCAGTTTTCATTTTTGAGAAATCAGAACTCTTGTTTCCATTTTCCTCTTTTGTTTCACTTTGTCCTTTGGGTCACTATAAGATAATATGAACTTAGAAAGTGTGTTCTATATGCCTTGTAACTAAGGGAGTTTGAGCCTTTTTCTCTGAGGAAAAGCAACAGGAGAATCAGTATTCACTGAGTGGGTTGTCTATTAAGAACGGGAACCCTGAAAGGGATTTGCTGCTATTAGAATGTCCTGCTGTGGCAGCCATTTCGCTTACTCTCTGAATCGTTCATTTTGGTGGAACATAGGAGTAAGTGTTTAGATGAGATTGCCACTTATTTTTTAATTCTGAGGCTCAGGAAATGTACGCAACACACTTGGACTTTCTCCCTCATGCAAAATGATGTGCATAACAAAATGTTCAGGAATAGCCAGTCACACAATAAATTTAGTTTCATAGCTGTTAAAATTTATATTTTTTGGTGCTTTCCCCCTTGCTTTTTAGCTGAAGATGCCAACTCTTATTGTGCCAGTTCTGTGGAACAATATTATAGCTGGAATATTGGAAAACGGAGAGCTGCAGAGGTAAATCTTCTTAATGTGCTCTATAAAAATGAGCTTAAACCCTCAGAGAAATGTCTGGCTGGAAATCTGTGCCTTTGTGGAGCTGATTTTTATTTTTAAAATCTCTTCCAGAAGCCTAGGTTATATTTAATATATTTGTGTATACCCATTTTCTTTTTTCTAATATAGTGATATTGGCTTAATAAAATGTAAATAAATTTGAGGCTTCCAGATATTTTTAGCACTAAGTGTGAATCATTGTGTAAATTCCTATGACTAATTTGCGTTAACTGTTTTTTATTCTGAATTTTAAGTTGTTGTAACCTGCCTGCTGAAGGGTGGATGATGGCGATGGTAATATAAGAAATGGAAACGTGGTTCTTTGAGACTTCTACCATATCCTCATTCTGAGATGTCCAAGTTTTGTCTGAATAACCTAGATCATATGGAGTTAGTCAGGAGGCAGCATGGTTTAATGGTTAAGAGTTTTGGACCAAGAATTGGGAAGACAAGGTTCAGTTTCTTCATGCAGCCATGAAGCTTGCTGGGTTACCTCGACCAGTCATACAGTCTCAGTCTAACCTACTTTGCAGGAATGCTTTGCTAATAAAAGATGGAGAAACTGTATGTTGCCTTGAACTGATTAGAAGAGGGTGTGTAATAGAAATTGGACCCCCCCTGCTATGTATCCAAGGAAAGTGGCAAACACTTGCTAAACACTTCAGGGGGGGGGGGAATCATGAGAGCTGTAATGAAATGAAAGGCAGGTTTACATTAGTAAAAACAATGAAATTAAGGACACCTTCAATTTAATTTCCCATTGGAGATTTATTACCGTTGTTAAACATACTATGACTAACTTCTTGGCCCGTCTTTGGACAGAGGATTTGCAATTCATTTCTTCTTGTTTTGTTTTTCCCTTATTTGTTCTTCTGTTTCTCTTTCCTGTTTCACAAAATGACCCCTCTGTTGTGCACAGAATACAGGAAAGTAGGGAGGGCATCCAAACAAGGCACACATTGTCCCCCCCAGATGTAGCAGGCTGCAACAATAGACCCATTTGCCTCTCTACAAGTAACAAAATAGTTAGCAAGCTTTGTCAGACTGTTTCAGGCTGCAAAGAGGGAGGGAGGCTGGGAGCACGATTCATGAAATTGTACAGGAAGGGACTGTGCTGTGAGTGTGGCAAGGGGCTGGTGGTGCAAGTTTGTAATGCCCCCCCCCAAAAAAACCTGATGCTTGGGCCCTGCACAATTTAAGTATCCCTTGTTCTTTGAATGATCTAGAACAGGCATAGGCAAACTCCGGCCCTCCAGATGTTTGGGACTACAATTCCCATCATCCCTGACCACTGGTACTGTTAGCTAGGGATGATGGGAATTGTAGTCCCAAATATGTGAAGGGCCAGAGTTTGCCTATGCCTGATTTAGAAATACACTAAGAAATCACCATCAACCTTAGTTTACGGATTGAAAATCTAAGGCCATACACTGATCAAGGAACTGAACCCATAACTGTTTTTTAAGCACTCTGGGGGATAAGATGTAAAAGCAGCTATTTTCATAATGTTCTATTTTTCATCATGGATCTGATGAAATGCATTCCTGTTTCAAAAGCTTTTTGCTACAAGAACTATATCTGCAGTGCTCTTGGTTGTTGTTTTTCTGCAATGAACTACAATGGTGTTTTGTTTTGTTTTTACTAATTTACCATAATTGATCCTATTCTAAAGTTGTAAAAGATGGATAAAAACAGGGGGGTTTTGTTCTAAATCTTAGCTCTTGTCCTTTCTGGATTTCCCCCTGTTATAGTGGCAACGAGCACTGACAATAAGGAAGATCCTCCAAGAAATCATAGAGAAACACCCAAAATTTCACAGCATTGCCCCCTTGAAAACAAAGCAGGTTGTAAATTGGTGTCGCTCCCGTGGCTACACACCACCTGACCCGGAAACTCTGAGGAATGAAGATTCCATAGAAGATGTGCTGACACAAATAGACAACGAGCCAGGTAAGGAGTCTTATTTTAGAATCTCAAAACATCTGTACCTTGGTGATGATTTAACAACGCACCACCTCCAGAGTTCCATTTATAAGCCCCTGGCGCCAGTTTAGTTCTGTTCTGTCCATTTCAGTTTTTGCTTTTGGGATCCCAAAGGACCCACTAATTTTAAGAAAATTTGCTCTGATTCGATGCTCCTTTGGGTTTGGTGAGATTCAAAAGAAACTACAAGGTTTTTCAGGCCACCACCACCATTAGAGGCACAGGAGCCCCAGTGGGTGAAAACGTGGCAGTCCGGAACCTAAGTTGTACCTGATTTTTACAAAAGCGAATCTAGATTCCGTGTTGCACAGCATGGTATATTTATGGTGCACTATTTAACTGTGCTGGATTGCCTTTCTGTTATAAGGGGTGGGGAATCCTTTCTATCCCAAGGGCCACATTTCTTCCAGGTCAGTCTTCAAGGGGCCACCTTGCCAACAATGGCAATGGCTAAAACAGGCAGAACAATTGATGCGGTTCTTACCTCTGTGCAGTAATTCAAGATATACAGTGGTAGTTTCTAAACACCCACGTCTCTCCATCCTGCAGGCATTAGTGCAGTGCACGAACACATTCCAGCCAGGCAAAAACATGCATGGAGGGTGTAGATCAGGACTTGGGGAGAGGGGATGGCCTGGGAGGAAATCCTGAGAGCTGGATAGAGAAGCTTGGAGCACTACATTTGACCACCCGGCCTGAAGTTCCCTAGCCCTACTGTATAGACAGAGCATGCTGCTAATTTGCTCATTTGGAAGCTCTTTCAAATTGAGATAGGTTAGGAGCTAGCAAACGTTGTTTTGCAAAATCCATAATGATTTTGGAAACAGAATTGCTATCCTCCCTTACATTTCCAATCTGTCTCTCCTGAAAGTTTCAGTTTCATTTGGCAGACATAATTCAGAAGCTTTCTATTCCTAAATGACTTCTACTGAACGTTGATATTTTTTACACTCTTGCCAGAATGGCGGGTGCTTGTTGGGAAAGAGGGTTTGGGTTTTAAGTGGCAGCAGGATTAGGGATTAAAGCAGGAATAGGCAGAAGGAATGATTCAGCATCTGTTTATTCATTCTGCAGTGCAGAAGATGTATCCGGGTTTTTCTAACCAAAACTTGAAACTGCAGAAATAGAAGCAAAAAATCAGATTTTACTGGAAAGAACTTGACGTAATATTAAAAAGGAGGACATGGAAAGGGAGGGGAGGGGTGGGTTTAGGTTTCTGCTGACCATCCCTGGCTTACGTGGATCTAGAACATGTTCTGTAGGGAACTTCACATCTAGAAAGACTGCAGTCAAGCCTGGAGTGGACTAACACAAAAGGAGGCAGCATGCCTCAGTGGCCCAGTTCTTGCTATATGCACGACTCACTCTGATGTGGATTCCTGGAGTGTGTTTCTGTTGGTCTATAGAACTTCACAATTGTACCCTTTTAACCATTTTAAAGAGCTTGAAAAGGAAGTGCTTTCTCTTGATGAGAGTGGGTCAGTTTCTCTCCGTTGTCTACACTGGTTTCTCCTTGTGCTCTGCCAGAGGAGGTGGTGAGAGAATGAGAGCAGGACATTCTATATGCTTGCCCACTCTGTGCATCTGCCATGTGTTTGTTTTATGGGTAACTTTCCTAGAGAAAAGCTCTAGACTTGCACATCTGACCCCATAGGCATCCATATTGTTTCCTTCTGTCCATAACATGTGATCAAATTTGTAAAGTTAGTGCCCGGTTCTAAATTAATGTGTTGCAAATGGAAGCATTTTCTTTCCCCCTTTGTTGCTACCCTTGGATCCAGATGCTGGGGGGGGCACCTCCTTTTCACTTTGAAAATATTTCTTTCACATTTGGAACATTGGTTCTACAAATCATTTTCCTTAGGGGTAAAAACAGGTGTGAGTCTGTAACCTCTTAATTTGGGCCTGGAAAGCAATGGGCAACCAATGCAAAGTGCTGTCTTTGGCCCTTTAATGTCCTATGCAGTTTGAGGCCAGGATGCCTGAAGGACTGCCTGCCTTGTATTAGCATGCTAAGGTTTACAGCAGGGGTAGGCAACCTAAGGCCTGGGGGCCAGATCCGGTCCAATCGCCTTCTCAATCTGGCCCGTGGACGGTCTGGGAATCAGAGTGTTTTTACATGAGTAGAATGTGTCCTTTATTTAAAATGCATTGGGTTGTTATTTGTGGGGCCTGCCTGGTGTTTTTACATGAGTAGAATGTGTGCTTTTATTTACAATGCATCTCTTGGTTATTTGTGGGGCATAGGAATTCATTCATTTTTTATTATTATTTTCAAAATATAGTCCAGCGCACCACATGGTCTGAGGGACGGTGGACTGGCTCACGGCTGAAAAAGGTTGCTGACCCCTGATTTACAGTCAGCTATTAAAAGGCCACAGGTTCCCCATCCCTAGACAGAGACCTGTGATATGACTGGAGCCAAGTACCCCACTCCTCCAGAAGGGACGCGGGTGGCGCTGTGGGTTAAACCATAGAGCCTAGGACTTGGCAATCAGAAGGTCGGAGGTTCGAATCCCCATGACGGGGTGAGCTCTCGTTGCTTGGTCCCTGCTCCTGCCAACCTAGCAGTTTGAAAGCACGTCAAAGGGCAAGTAGATAAATAGGTACTGCTCCGGTGGGAAGGTAAACGGTGTTTCCATGCGTTGCTCTGGTTTGCCAGAAGCGACTTAGTCATGCTGGCCACATGACCTGGAAGCTGTACGCCGGCTCCCTCGGCCAATAAAGCGAGATGAGCACTGCAACCCCAGAGTCGGCCACGACTGGACCTAATGGTCAGGGGTCCCTTTACCTTTACCCCACTCCTCCAGAGCAGTTTTGCACTTGTTAGTAAAAGGGTCTTGAAATGTTGATGCCCACTGCGTATAAGTTGCTTTTTAAAGCTTCCTCCTTCGTCACGGTAATATCTATAAACGAAAACATGCTTGTAAGCCGCTCTAAGCCCGGCCTTGGCTGGGGAGGGCGGGGTATAAATAAAAAATTATTATTATTATTATTATTAAATCTCTTATGTTTACCGAACAGTGTGTTTCCTCGTTCCAGTTCTAAGTTCAACAGCTCTGACTTGCATTTTTTTTTACACGGAAGGCAGTGAAACAGGCATTTTTATCCATAGGCACGCTCCCTCACTTTAGGATGAATCTGGACTTAAATTAGTTCTGTCAATCAATGGAACAAGTTAATCAAAAATCCCATTTATTTCAATAAGACTAAAGCTTGACTTAGTGTGGATGCAAACCTGCAATGTTTATCTGGCTACCCAGCTGCTGTGGGACTGGAGTCATTGTAGCAGAATGAGGCATCACTTTGAGAAATGTCAGTCCATCCACAGCATCAGTGTCTCTATTTTTATGGACTCCTTTTCAGTCATAATGATGATGGCAACTTGAGATGGCAGGATGTTGTCACTGGAAACCATGTTCTGGTGTTGGGCGGTAGCAATTAGGGCTTTTTCCTCCTTGCAGTTCAGCACGAACTCCGAATTCCTTTTAGTTGCACCCATCTGTCACTAGATACAGATCTGTTTGTAAATCCTCTTTCTGTCTTCCCGATTGCTTCTTGGGAAAGAATGCTCATCTTCTTACACCACTGGGGAAGAACTATGTCGAAAGCTGGAAGAGCTGGAGCGGTTCCTCAAGCAAGAGCCAGACAATGACGAGGAAATAGACATTATCAACGTTGCTGAGCCTCTGAAAATAAACATTAAAAAGGAACCAGAGGAGAAGCAAGAGGAAGCAAAGTTCTACTTGGCACCCCAACCTACATCAGAGTTTGTGCGCGAGACAGTGGAGCAGGTACAGAGAGAAATGCTCTTCATAGCTAGATGAAGAATTATTCACTGCCTCAAGCTCTTGACAGTATAATACATTTGTCCTGTGATACTTGCAAGCTGTGTTGGCTTTTTCTTTACAAGGTTGGTTGGAGCTTGCTGGTACTCCTAGACTGCCTATAGTGTCTCTTTCAGGGTTTAATCCCCACCCTCAGTTTGCCTACACAGTCTGGTATCCTCCCCATGCTTGTCTGTTTTGCTGGCTGGAGATGATGGGAGCTGTAGCCTGAGACATCAGGAAGAGGCACTAGGTTGAGGAAGACTAACTTAAACTGATAACAAGAACCCCAGGACCTGATGTGGAGATGGTAATGTTTAGCCCATAGCAGAAAGATAACGGGGCTCAACACAGAGTGGGCAGGCCCAACTGGGGATCCAGAAATTTTCCTGTGATGTGCCTTCCACACATCTCCCCCTCCCCACCATGCCAGCAAGTAGTTCTGTCAGGTTGTCAGAATCCCGTTTTAACAGAATGTTTTGGTCCTATTTGTCTGCTCCTTTGTTTAGTAGTCAAGAGCAGTAACCTTTTTTTAATTCACCCTCTCGTTTTATAGATAGGAATTTCCTTTCAGCCTGTAGAGCTGCACAAGAACGTCTATGCGTCCGTAATAGAAGATATGGTTTTAAAGGTAAGCTGTTAGAAAACTTTCTGTCATTTGACTGTAAAATCTAAGTCATAGCTTGTTGAGTGAAATGCAGAAAAATCAAGTTGTGGCTTATATGAGACTACATGTCCAAAGTCCTGTTTTTATATACATTTATATAGGTATGGTGTTGACAAGTTAAACAAACGTATCGTTCTTTGTAATTTGTGCATGGGGATGTGTCGATTTTATAAGACATGGTTTGTGATGATTAAAAGCATTTCTTAACTCTTTATGTTCTCTGTCCTTGAAACCCTCTTTATAACAGGCCACAGAGCAACTGGCAAGTGATATACTAAGAGAAGCTTTGGCAGTTGGTTACCAAGCAGCACCTCACAGCAGGTATACTTGCTTAGGTTTTACTTATACAGTGGTACCTCTGGTTACGTACTTAATTCGTTCCAGAGGTCCTTTCTTAGCCTGAAACTGTTCTTAACCTGAAGCACCACTTCAGGTTATATAATGGGGCCTCCTGCTGCTGCCGCGCGATTTCTGTTCTCATCCTGAAGCAAAGTTCTTAACCTGAGGTATTATTTCTAGGTTAGCGGAGTCTGTAACCTGAAGCATATGTAACCCGAGGTACCACTGTACTGTATAACTTGTGTGGTATTTGTGCATTAGACAGAATCTATGTTTACTTTGAGGGCTATAAATTTAAAATGGTTCAGAACTACGAGGCACCAGAGGTCTCCAAATCACTCACAGACTGATAAGACCTGGTTCCGTGTCTTCTGGTTGCTATTCTGTGCGCCCCCAAAATCCACTACAATCCTTGATTTCTCAAGTTATTTTCTCTAGGCAACAATCACTTCTCTACCAGGGAAGAGAGAAAAACAGCTTCTAAATGGACCAGGCAATCCTGATTCTAGAGAGAGAAATGTGCACTGAGGAATATGCAAAAATGGCTCCTCTTTTCCATTGTCTTTAGGAGGAACTTCCTGAGTCATTTTCAAGCCATTTTTGCATCTTCCCTTGAGTTTGTGTGACTCTCTCTAGCACTCATCAGCCACAGCTCTGATTTGTTAAAAACCACTGAAAGGCAGGATTGTTCTCACAAAGCAATTGCTTCAAATGGAGCCTCACATTTTGCTTTGTAACTTTTGTTCTTAAAGGGCTACAGGATACTGCTATTTTTAAAATGAAAGTTCAGAGTCTGGGCAGGCCCTGATAATAGTAAGAAATTAAAATTTGCTCATGATCCAAATCAATACCAGCTTATAGCTGCATTTTTATTTGCAGAGTTCATCCTTGTGGATTTTGCTGTTGTTTGCTTAACCAGGTGCTTAGATAGAGGCTTGAGGACTAACATTCCCTTGATATATTCTCCCTTCTCCCCCCAGGACTCCAAGAGAGATCACCGTGATGAATATTCACCAAGCCATCTGTAACATTCCCTTTCTGGACTTCCTCACAAACAAGCATATGGGAATATTGAGTGACGAACAGTGATCTGGACTGGAAAGCAACATGAACAGCAGAATAAAGTTCTTGGCACAATCCCATTGTGTTCAAATAAATATATATTTTAGTGTTTGGTTTAGGCTACCTTGAATACTACAAATTAGTGTTTCAAATTTTACAAAAAGAGAGAAAGCATAAATCTTAAAAAAAAGACCTGTTCCAAATTCAGCTGCCTAATTTCATTAGCAGTTGCTCCTAGGTGAGCTACCTGCGAAAATTATGATAGCACATTAGATCATGGCCTAGACTGCTGGACTCCTGCTTTATCAAGGAAATGATTCATTGCATAGGGCTCAGTTAGTGTAATTCAGAAATAAATGCAAGCTTCCTTAATTCTCTTTGGAGCATAGCTTCCCCTGACATTGGTTGTTAATTGTAATGATGGTTAATGGAAACAAGCCAAATTCAACCTATAGTTAATGAAGCTGGCTTGTTTTCACTTTCCATCAGTTGGGCAATATGTGAAGCTCTGGTTAGTCTAGGACAGAAACGAAAGCTTCTGATATCCTTGCTGTTGCACCAGAGGAAGGAAAGCATACAAGCCCCATGAGAGGCTTGTTCTTGTAACACTAGACCAGGCTTCTTCAACCTTGGCCCTCCAGATGTTTTTGGCCTTCAACTCCCATGATCCCTAGCTAGCAGGACCAGTAGTCAGGGATGATGAGAATTGTAGTCTCAAAACATCTGGAGGGCCGAGGTTGAGGAAGCCTGCATTAGACCATGACTGAGCATTACATACCAATACAACCAATGAGTGGCTTAGGTGTATAGAAAGGCAGCAAATTCTGTTACGGTGTAAGATGACATAATGAAACATGGTAAGAAGAAGTCTAGACTAGGTTGAAAGCTTATCCAAGTTGACAAATAATCCAAAATTGGCTCTTGGAAGGAAGTTGTTGCCAACCCTCAAATCACATACCTAATTTTTCATTTATGCTGCGAAAATAATATTCTGTCCACCCCCTACCCATAGACCACAATTGGATCCTACTTGACCAGTAAAAAAACAAAACTTAAGTTATAGCATACTGAGTTTTCCTCTAATTTTTTGCTGAGTCAGTTCAAATCTTGTTTTATTTTCTGATTTTAAAATCTTCAATTGTGAGGAGACATTTGTTTGAATTCCAGATAATAGGAATTGTTTAGCCCACATTAAAGTATGTAATTGGAATATAATAGCTTCTCTAGGAGAATACTTTCTCCGAAATTTGTTGGTTTTCATGTATGTGGCTCTTAGGCTATTAGGGCACAAGGAAGTACAGTTTTTAAAAGATTTTTTTTTTTAATCAGTCCATTTGGTGACCTAGATACAGTGGTGCCTCGCAAGACGAAATTAATTCGTTCCGCAAGTCTCTTCGTCTTGCGGTTTTTTCGTCTTGAGATGCACGGTTTCCCATAGGAATGCATTGAAAATCAATTAATGCGTTCCTAGGGAAACCGCCTTCAGACCAGGTCCGGGGACAGTCTGTCCCCGGACCTCTTCTGAAGGCTGGGGGGGGGACAAGGGCTTTTCTTCCCACCCCCAGCATTTTAAAAAACCCTGGGACAGCGGAGGACTTCTCCGCTGTCCGGGGCGATCTTAAAATGCTGGCGGGCGGCATTTTAAAATCGCCCCGGACAGCGGAGGACTTCTCCGCTGTCCGGGGTGATTTAAAAGCCCCTGGGAAGGCAGGCAGGGGGGACAAAGACTTTCGCCCCCTGCCCGCCTTCAGAAGGTGTTCCCGCCCCCCGCCCCGCTTCGGAACAGCTTTCCGAAGTGGGGCGGCTGGGGCAGGTGTCCCCGCCCCCCCCGCCCCACTTCGGAACAGCTTTCCGAAGTGGGGCGGCTGGGGCAGATGTCCCCGCCCCCCCTCCCCGCTTCGGAACAGCTTTCCGAAGTGGGGCGGCTGGGGCAGGTGTCCCCGCCCCCCCTCCCCGCTTCGGAACAGCTTTCCGAAGTGGGGCGGCTGGGGCAGATGTCCCCGCCCCCCCTCCCCGCTTCGGAACAGCTTTCCGAAGTGGGGCGGCTGGGGCAGGTGTCCCCGCCCCCCCCACTTCGGAACAGCTTTCCGAAGTGGGGCGGCTGGGGCAGGTGTCCCCCCCCCCTTCAGAACAGCGTTTTAAAATGCTGGGGGTCGGGAGCGAAGCGCTGCCGACCCCCAGCATTTTAAAATCTCCCCGTGTCCCGGGAAGATTTTAAAATGCTGGGGGTCGGCAGCGAACGCTTCGCTCCCGACCCCCAGCATTTTAAAATCTCCCCGGGACAGAGACTTCTCTGCTGTCCCTTGGAGATTTTAAAATGCTGGGGGTCGGCAGCGAATGCTTCGCTCCCGCCGCCAGCATTTTAAGATCGCCCCGGGCAGGCGGGGGGAAGGCAGGCGGGGGGGGAGCAAAGACTTTTGCCCCCCGCCGGCCTTCAGAAGAGGTCCTCTTCTGAAGGCCGGCTGTGGGCGAAAGTCTTTGCTCCCGACCGCCAGCATTTCCCTATGGGCTTTCGTCTTGCGATGCAAGCCCATAGGGAAATTCGTCTTGCGAAGCGCCTCCAAAACAGAAAACCCTTTCGTCTTGCGGGTTTTCCGTCTTGCGAGGCATTCGTCTTGCGGGGTACCACTGTACTGTCCATGTGCAGCTGCCTTACGATCTTTACTGAAAACATGCAGTGCCTTGCCGAACATTTCTCCAACATTTTACTGACCCCACTGAACAACCAAATTATCAAAGGGGAGATAAATTTCAATGAAATTAACCTGGGTAGAGTACAGAGTTTTTATTGTGCTCAGCATACTTTCAAGGTGGCTATAGGGTGTTTGTAGGGGACGTGGGTGGTGCTGTGGTCTAAACCACTGAGCCTGTGCTTGCTGATCGGAAAGTCAGTGGTTCAAATCTGCACAACAGGGTGAGCTGTTGCTCTGTCCCAGCTTCTGCCAACCTATCAGTTCGAAAGCATACCAGTGCAAATAGGTACCTCTGTGGCAGGAAGGTAAATGGTGTTTCCGTGTGCTTTGGTTTCCATCATGGTGTCCCATTGCGCCAGAAGCGGTTTAGTCATGCTGGCCACATGACCCAGAAAGCTGTCTGTGGACAAACGCTGGCTCCTCGGCCTGAAGAGAGATGAACGCCACAACCCCATAGTCACCTTTGACTGGACTTAACTGTTGAGGGGTCCTTTAACGTTTGCTTTTTAGGGTGTTTCAGCATTGTTTTCTTTCATTCTGTAAGTCATTCTGCAGCCTTCCTGGATGCCCACGCATCCTGAAAACCCCATAATGTTCCTCAGCTGTGCAGAAGACAGTGATGCTGAACACCAGATGCCTGGCCTGCTGTTCAGTGTGTTTTTTTGGGGGTGGGTGTAAGCTGGGTTTCTCTACTTAAAGAAATCAATGCAACAAGGTTTTTGGGTGGTTAGAAAAAAGCTTTCATTAACAAAATAAAATCAGCATGTGCACCAATCTTAGAAGCTCGGTAGCACACATCCTGGCTTCTCACACTTCAATTGAAACTCGGGGGAAGATATCACAAAGCTATCCCACTGGACATTTTGAGATTTGGAATTGCAGGCAGTTAGGGAGGCTGTAGAGTATTGCAAAAAAGTTTTAACGGGAAGGGGAAAATACCAACATACACCCGATGCTCAGCTGCCTCAAACAATAAGGTAAGCTAAAAATAAACCCACACAGTATAAAGAAATTCTAAGGCACCCTGAGAAAGTGGCAGAAAAACAGACACCTGTTTGCCAGGTGGAGAGAACTTGGAGGGCATGTTTCGGCATGAAAATCCTTAACCTTGCTGTCAGGCTTGTTGACATTTAACTAGTCCACTAACAGGTCAGCAGCAAAAAGTACTAACATCTTATCAGTAGGTGACTTGTAGGTGAACAATCTGAAAATAAAACAAGAACACTGAAAGCAATATTAATCAACCTAACAAAGAGAGGCTGTTGTCTTGAGATGGCAAAGGAGCTGTTTCTTGATGGAAAGGGGGGCAGGAATCTGTCCCATCAAAGTTTAGCATGCTTCAAGTGATTTTTAAATGTATTTTGGGCAAACTTTTCCTTCATTGGGAAATGAAAATGGTGCCCATCACTTACTCTGTAATGATGGTTGGTTGGTAATGATGAAGTAAGAATGCTGCTTCCACACACCCAGATTGCTTTTGCTAAACCAAAGTGAACGCTTTCAAATGTGTTGAAGGCTACCATTGTCCAAAATGGTCCTTGGCTTAAATTCTTTGCTTTGCCTGTATCATAATGTATAATTGTGTAATATACATTTACAATAAATTTTCTTTATTAAACATCATGGGGCTGGTCTCTACTTTTTTCATGCTCTAAGCCTATGTTGCTTTCCTGTACATCTGCAATTCAGACGAGTCACGAGGTGAGTGGCAGCTGCCATGTCAATGCCCATCAGTCCTACTAAATTGACTACTTCTTGTACTTTAGGAATGGGGAACTGTGGCCTCCATATGCAGAGACTGCCAGATTCCATCAGCCCCAGGCAACCCCTGCTAATGGTTAGGAAGGATGAGAGTTGTACTCAAGCCACATATTGAGGACCATAGGTTACCCATTCCTGCTGTGCTCCCTCTTAGATGAATTGATTTTTTCCCCTTGGAGAACGCTGTTCAACAACAGTTGCATAGCATAGTCTAAACTTCCATAAGGAGTACAGAATACACTTGCAGAACCAGCTACCATAAAGATGGAACCACATAAATATAGGTGTTTACTTTTGTTGCCTGAAAATCACATTGTCATTGCCTAAAGCTACTTCTCCCCCAAAAATACTATTGGAACAGGGACCAAGATGAAGAGTTAATTTTTACTTACCTGCTGCATATCTTCCAAAATTTCAAAGATTAAAATGAGAGGCATCTGTAATAACCCATTTCTCCCATTCCTGCCTCACATACCCGTATGCTGAAGGGGTGTGGAGCTACTTGAATTTTTTGCCCTCCACTCTTACTAACAGAAAAATTTAGAAAAACCTTGGTTGAGTGCTTCTCTGCTGTATGTCCCACCAAGACTCCAAAGAAGCATTATTGTGGTAGTTCCTGACAAAATTTCAATGTGCAGGTTGTGTTCCCTTAACAATATTCAATCTTAATTACCAAGCTCTGTGGACGATTCTCCCAAGATTCCTGTGTCCCTTGACTATGAGAATATAATAATACAGCCTCTGTTTCTTTCTCTCTAGCTTTAAATAAATATCTAGGCCTTGAATAAAAGGATGCTCCTCTTCCCCTTAAATTGTAGACTTTCTCAAACAAGCCCACCTTTTGAATAAAGTCAATAAGACAAAGAAGTCAATTGTCATACTGATGAATAACAGCGAGGCTTGCAGAATGCATGTTGCCACAGCAACCAATTGCCAGTAAAACAGAGAGCTAAGTAAAGTTATATTGACAGAAAAATTCTAGGACTGCTTTGCACATTGAAAATAGTATGAAACACTCAAGTGCAGCAGCATGTCACCTTATATGCAAGTGTGCTGCTGTGATACATATATATATATATTGATAAATGTGGGCCAGCATATGTACTTCTATACTGCAAAATACACAGCTGTTCAGCCACTATCTATGCACAGAACTACTAACTAGATGGAAATAGCATCATTTGTGAAGAGCCCCCAACCCAATCCTTAAACAGAGGTGGATTCCCCCTCCTTAATCCTTGCCAGAATACCTGCCATTTATTCAAGCAAAAAGTACCTGCTGCTGCTTAATCCTTCTACGTTTCTTTCAAATAAAGGGGCATATTTTTATCAGAATACAGGAAACACTTGTGTATCTGCAAAGGCAGCTTCCTACAATAGTTTATAACATCCTGCATAAGGCTGGGAAACAATAGTATAATGTGTTCATAGTGTAGGAAGTGACTTTATGGAAAATAATCCCTCTCTTTCCCGCTCCACTACCACAGACAATAATGCCACTCAGTTGAGCCCAAGTATATATAAACTCTAAAGCATCACACAGAGTAAAGAGCACTGCCCTGATCTAATGTGAGAGAGCTGTGACCAGCAAGTGGTTTATTTCGTGAATCTGTTCTACCAGGACCACAGATGTTGTTCTAGATGTAGGGCGCCAAGCATGTACATGCAATGCTCTTACACACCTGTAGACCAACAGGATCAGAAATGTCAGCTCTCCCCATGCACAGACTACCTGCCATGTGGGGAGATGAGGAACAGGTTCAGGCACTCAATCCAGGCACTCCCTAGGGCTGGCCACATTTTAGGTTGTGGGGGGAAGAACTGGAATTCAACCAGTGCAGATTTCAGCTACACTCTCGGTTCCCTAAAGCAGATAATAGATTACCGTACAAATGTTATTGCAAACCATCGAAATGTTTTAGTACTCCAAACAGTTTCCATTAAACTGAAGACTGAAAAAGAACCTGTAGCCAAAATACATTTTTATTAAATTTATCTTTTGACTCCATAAAATACAAACTTCATGTATAGCTGTTTTGTTGTCATCTTTTTTTTTCCCTTTTAAGAAATCTTATTAAATTAAAAACAGAAACCAAATAGGCAGTGTGGTTTTCTTTTGTCTGTTTAGTAAAAGTCTGGATTGCAAATAACTGAACCAGTTAAAACTCAACTGCTTAAATATATCAGAAATCGTCAAGCAGAATAAACAGGTTTTTACTCAGAAACATTCAACATGCAACAAAGAATATTTTAACTATGTTCCTGAAAGACCATGATTCTTATCCCCATTCCCTTCCCCAAATTCTTTCTGCATGTGCTTACATTAGATGTAGGGCCATCTGTCAAATGGTCCCTGTATGAAATCTGAATGATTAGACAAGCACCCACTTATGAAGTAGATGAAGAATGAGTTCCAAAAGCAGTTTGTGATATGGCATGATGTACGAAGAAAAATGAAATGAAAAAAAACTCCTATTGGGCACACCCAAGCCTTTGACGGTGATGAAATCCTGTTAGGCACCTCAACATCCCCCTGACACCAGTAGAGGGTGAGCTGACAGTTATGTCTTTTTCTTGTAATAACTGGGAGTTTGGGACGCCCAGTTTTCTCAGGATTATACCCAATATGGTTCTTGCTTAGACACTTATGAACAAATTGAATATTTATGTTATCAAGAACTTCTTAATTCTAATGGGCAAATGTCAAATTCGAGTGCGCCAGTGCAAAGCTCCCACGACTCCAATACAAACACATACATGTATAATTGGAGTAAGGGCCTTGGGGCCTCCCAAAGATCAAGTATTGCTTTTGGTTTTTTCCAGAACCCACCAATACCCAGTCAGCATTTGTGTGGAGCACCATGAAGTCCCTGCTTGAATACAGCCCACCAGAATCTGTTCACCGGCAGTGGAGAACCTGTGACCCTCCACGTGTTGGTGAGACTACAGCTCCCATCAGCCTTGACCGCTGCCCGTGTTGGCTGAAGCTGATGGGACTTGGAGGCCAACATCATCTGGTGGACCCCAGCCTACCACCAAAGGAGTGACGTACACTGAAGTCCCTAGGATCAGGGCAATAGATCATTCTGACATTTACAAATGTCAGTTGGCAATTAGTTATTTTGATAAAATATATACAATATATGAGGAACTGAACTAACACTAAGAAATGGTTTATTAAAAGAGCCTAGGCAAAAGCTGCTTTTGTCTCAATACGATTCAAAAATGTAGAATAATGAAATTTTAAAATGATCCCTGTTTGCAAATTATGTTCTTATAATAGCCACTATGTAACATTTCTTTAGTACTAGCATTACCAATATGCAGGCAATAATTTAGGATTTTGAAGGCAATAAATTTTCTACCTTGCATTCTCAAAACAATTAATGATAACTAAAAGAATACTAAGCATACTCTTATTATTTTGAGGAAAAAATCATCTGTTCTCTCTATGTACAATATTTACATACATATTAAATAGCACTATTACAACTTGAATTGGTCATTGCTTTAACATCTGGTCCATTGCAATGTTGTGAGCTAAACAAGTTAGTGCTTCCAGTTTCCAATAAAAGCTGGTACTTTTTTGGGAATGTTTCAATTTCCCTTGCAATTTCCCTCTGATGGTTTTTTTCTCTCCACAGGATGTAATAGTTTCCCCAACCCTAAAAATGTAACAGGTACTTCAGGGCGGCTATACCAAAGTTGTGGAATGCACTTCCTGGAGAAATATATAAATATACCTCAGTGACCATAAATGTGAGGTCTACTATTTTTGACAGGTGTATCCTAGCTATTGTATGTAGGCCCAGCAGGAGTAGTTGGTGCTGGGTATTAAAATTAGGAAATGTTTATGGTGCTGTGATCCTTTGGCTGTTATCTTGTGTTTTTAGTTATATTTCTATGGTTTTTGTTTTATTTAGATGCTTTAATGTACGCTATCTCAAGGTCCTATTAAGTAGGCAGTGTACAAATAAATAAAGTCACCAAGCTTTTAAAAATCCCTGTTTCATTCAATAGTATTGCTCTGGGGATTCTTTTGGCCTACTAAAGATGTGGGATAGAAATAAATCTCGATCAAGTCTTGATTTTCAGTTCCAGAATAAAGTCTCTAGACCTTGGGGGGGTATTCTAAAATGGATGTGAATACTGAGTCTGTATGCACACCAACTTAAGAGAAGCTTGTGCTTTGCCTCAGAATGACCAAGCACTGGGCTCTTAAGGAAATAAAAGGTTTTGGCCTATCCAGGAGGAAATGAAGCAGAGATGTGAGACTGTGAGTCCTAGGAAAACCTCTCTCCAAAAAAGAAACAATCTTGAAACCAACCACAGCTCCTATCAAAAGAGCTCCACAGAAATGGAAGGAATTTGGTGAAGCATTTAACTGGAGTAAGGACCTCTGAAAGATAAAATATTGCTTCTGTTTGTTCAGAACCCTCTAAAATCCAGTCAGCATTTGTGTGGAGCACAATCTAGGGCAAACGGCTCAAGGGCCACCCTGTTCACCTTGAAAGACCCTCAGCAAGGAGACATCAAAAGTCTTTGCAACAATATGATATATGCTTTGAGGATGATCCCCAGATGTAAAAAGAAACAGCAACGTTCAAAAGCTACCGAGTCTCACTTTCATTTTCTTATCAGTGTGGCTATACAACATTGAGAGGGGAGTGTTTTACTATACACCTTACTCAACCCTGCCCCATTGTGTTCTTCAGCATAAGCTTATAGCTTTAAATGCTGCTTTTTTGCTGACCAGTGTCAATATCCGGAATACTGAAGCCAGTCAGCCCACTGTTAATGAGCCTATTTCTATGAAAGTAGGTCATTCTCCCCTAGTATTTTCCACCATCTCCAACTCAAGTGCTTTTTGATTTACATGTTCATAATAGATGCATAAATTCTGATATTCGCTGTAGCTGCTTTTAATAATCCTTGTTCTTATCTCAACACCACTCGTGAAAGTTGCATAGCTGTACATTTTCACAACCTTAACATTCAAGCTGCCTGGATGGGAAATGTGCATGATCCAGATTCATACATTGAGGATGCGAGATGGCGCCTGGAAAACGGCAGAAGGATTCGGAGAAAACTTAGTCTTCATTTCAGGAATCTGGAGAAAAGAAAAGACGAATGATTAGGTCCATTGCTACATACAAGAACATCATCATGGGCTCCAGTTACAGGCTGTAGACCTGTAGCTCAGTGGCAGAATATCAGTTTTGCATGCAGAAAATCGCAGGTTCGATCCCCGGCATCACCCTGTTTGAAACCTTGAATAATCACTGTCAGTCAGGCTAGACAGTACTGAACTAGCTGGGCAAACTGTCTGACCCAGTATAAGGCCTTTGTACCCATGTTCCTACCCTTCAAGAACACCAAGAAGGGACCCGCTGTATCAGAGATATGCTCCTTCAGATACTGATGGACTCCAGCTCCCTTCAGCCCCAGCCAGAATAGCCAGTGGAAATTACAGTCTAGCAATATCTGGAAGGCCACAATTTGCTCACCCCTGCTCTACATGCTGGGTCTTCTCACTATTCAAAAGATACTCTTATTGTCAGAGCTGCAGACAGTTCATATACTGATCTACAGACAGAATCCAGCCGTTATTAATACAAGGCCTGTGCACTGCAGAAATATGGTATGTGACATAATTCAATGAGGTTTGGAGTCAAGAAGCTGAATTTTATTCTTCTTTGTGCTTATATTAGGCTGAGGGGAAAGAAGTCTTTTCCATGGCCACAAACTGTGCTTTGTGGACAAGACGGGAGGCTATATTCAAGTGAGGTGCTTGAGGGCTGGTTCAAAGAAATTCGCCCACTCGCAGCTGCCGCTGAAAAGCCTTTTAGATTGGCATCCTCGGTGTCTTTCACATGCATGCAAGCTAAACCCCACACTTGGTTGGACCAGCTCACTGAGGAGAGCTCAGATGTTACTCCCTGCACATGAATGGCCAGGATGGGGCAGATCTTTTCAACTGCAATGATGGGCAAATGAGCTACGGAAAGGGCTGTACAGCATATGATTTGCATGCACAAAAGCCCCAGGGGCTCCAGGTGGGGCTGGAGAAGGTAACAGTTTGAAGAGAGAGCCAGTCAGTCAGTGTCAACAATATGAAGTTTGATGAACTAAAGGTAGCTTCCTGTAAGTACATTTCAACTGGTGGCAACCTTTCTGCCTGTGTAAGGCCAACATGCAAGCAGTAATAAGGTGGAAAGGGGAAGAGAACCCCTGAAAAACCCTTACCATGTTTAGAATTGCAGACTTTATTCTTCCTCAGATGCCTCCCTGAAGGAAAAGTGGTTTTTTTATTGATAGCTGGGGATAGGGTAGAATTGGAAGTAAAGCAACTCAACTCCGCTACGGGAGCCTTCTCCCAAATATCTCCCATCCCAACACCTTATGACATTTACATAGCTGATCATGTCCATAACATCAAGTTCATAATATGGCCAAGAGTTTAAATGCATAGTCAACTCAAAATATCCTCCTCACAAGTGGAATTTCACTTGATGTGTGGAAATTGATTGAAGGAATAGCACAGATGCAAAAGCTTGGAGCCTTAGGAAACAAACCCTCCAAGCTATACCTGACCTGTTTAAAATAATGGGTTAAATACTGCAAAGCCACTTCCGGCCTGCCCAGGAGGTGGGGTTGCAGGCTTCACGCCCACCCCACGTGAGCGGGGGCTGGTTTCAGCCCCCGCGAGAGCAGGGGAATCCCGGCCGTGTCTGCCCCCCCAGCCAGCCAATCGGCTGGCTGGGGGGGGTGCGTGACCTGCCCTATTTAGGGCCGGCGCAGAGGGGGCTCGCCCTCTTTTTGCCGGCTAGCCCCCACGTTTTCCCACCCTCCCTCCCTTTAGGTAGGCTTTAGGTAGGTCCGTCGCCGCAAGGGGCATGGTAGGAATTTTTCCCAATTGGCAATTTCAGCCATTTGGTTTTTTTGCCTACCTCGTAGCAACTCGTCACAACTTTTCGGCATTGGCGGTAGGCATTGGTAAGAAGGGGTTAAGAGGATGGGGGGGGAGGAACGCCATCACCTCCCCCCAGTGAGCGAAGGGTGGTCCGTTAAAGGACTCTGGGGGGCGTGGCCCTGTCCGAAGCCTATGGAGGTGTGGGCCAAAGGCACGCCCCAGAGCGGTGACCCGGGGGAGCTCCTAGTCGACGTGCCTCGGCAGGAGACTCCCCCAATATAGTGTTAACCCTTCCCCGTGTCTCCAGCAAATGGGCTGGAGCCGGATAGTCGTTAGGACCAATGCCTAAGCCAATGCCTCTCATTCCTGAATTCAATAAAGTTGTGGCCTAATTCGCCCATTTAACCTTAAACTATGGTGTCTCGTGTCTTTATTTATCCTGGTGGGGGGCGGGAACTCGCCACGCAAGTATATATTTTTGAAGATCTCCTGAATCAATGGGTCTTAATAGTGCTGAGTTGTGGCCACAGAGATCCCTCTTTTTTCTGCATTCCTGTTTTAACTTGTTTCATGTTTTTATAATGCTGTTAATTTTATATACCACATTGGGGTATTTTAAACTTAAAATGGCCTAGAAAAGTTTTCAAATAAGTAAGTCAAATCCTGAGACTTTTAAAGATGTACTGGTTAATAGCGTCTAGGTCTGATTTTTCTATATAATACCTATAGATCCAAACATCTTTTTTATTTATTTTTTATTTGTGAATTTATAAGAGTACAAAATACAGAACTGAAGAATAAAAGAAAAAAGTGAAAGAAAAGGAAGGGGGAAGGGGGGGGATAGATACATTACATCAATCCATAATTCTATTCCATCGACTTCCTGACCATCCTTTCATGGCTTCCTAAAGTTTCCCATTGCTGCTGAATATTCTATTTTTTCTAGCTATTTAAACATTCACATTCTTCTCATTATAAACTAAAACTGCTGAGCTTACTCCAAACTGACTACAGTTCTAACATTTTTACAATGGTTTTTTAGGTAGCCTACAAATGGCTTCCATTCCTCTTTTAGACTTTCTCTTCTTGCTCTCTAATTTTGCTAGTTAATCTTGCTAATTCTGCGTATACCAATAATTTCATCTGCCACTCCTCCTTTGTAGGTACTATCGCCTCTCTCCATCTTTGTGCATATAGGATTCTCGCTGCTGTAGTGGCATACATACTTGGTACCTGGGGCCTCATTATTCCTAACAGGAAAAGTCTCCCGAAATTTTTTTCCCAATTCATTATATATCATTTCCCAATATTCTTTAACTAATCTACAGGTCCTCCGCATATGATAAAAGGTTCCATCCATAGCTTTTTCCCTAAGAGCATAGTTGGCTGAATTTTAATTCTGTTTTCCATTGTTTCAATGGGTGAAAGCCATAAAGGTGTTTTCCTTTCTATCAGGTTCTTATGTTTTTCCCAAACTTGATAAATATTTTTCCTAATTACATGATTCATGTATTCTAGCTTTACTTTACCATGGACATGAATGCCAACCAAATTTAACACCGTACCACTCCAAGTCTAGTAGTTCAGTATTCTCCAACTTTATCCAATCTTTTAACCAGCAGAAACATGATGCTTCATAATATAAACACAAATCTGGCAGTGAGAAGGCTCCTATTTCCCTAGTGTCAATCAATATCTTATATTTAATTATTGGTTTCTTACCCTGCCAGATAAATCTAGAAATACTAGATCTAAACAACTAGGGCTCAAGTTCAGACCGTCTCGTTCCCTGGCTAATGCTTAATTTATTCAGGACTAATAAAATAAGTCTTGTGGACAACGTCCCGTGTGTTTGCTGCTAAATTAATATCTCTGCCCAGGAGGTTACCAGGTTGGAAAAGGCTGGTTTGTGGAATCAAGGGGTCATTGCTTTCTTGAGCAAGCTAGAAAAGTAAAAACTTATCCATAATCTGTGGACTTCCACAATTAGAAACTTAATCTTGCCTTCTGCATGGTTCATTTAGCTACCAGAATTTTGTCAGCTGCAAAATCCTTGGTTAAAAACAAACTGGGGAACCTTAAATGGAAACAGGACCTGGCTGCTTTATAATTTTATCAGGAGCTCTCCTTCTTCAAGGATGATTTTAAAATGGAGAGCTACCTACCTAAATTAATACATTGCCCTCCAGGGATGGCTTTTCTGCATTAAGATATCAATCACAGCCTACAAAAGTGCTTGAAGGTCGTCACCAGATTAGTCTTGAATGGCGCCAGTGTATTTGTGATTCTGGAGATAGCGAGGATTTCCCAGATATTAGAAAGAGATGGCTTTCTGCAGGGAGAATTAGTTCTGTGCCCATTATAGCCAAAATTACATTTAAATGGCATGGGGATTATGAGATGTATAGCCTTGTTTGCCCTCACAGCAAGCAGAATTAGAGCCAAACGGATTAGCCTTTAGGGCAGCAATTGAGTGAAATTACTGCTGTCTTACTGGTGCGATTTTTCAAATAACAGTTTGTTTATGAACTATATTGTTATAATAGATGGTTATGATAATTCTGTTTGAATTGAGTATAATGCATTTTTGTATTTGTTTTCTTTTCAATATACCCTTTCTGGCTCCTTTCAGTAACCAACCTGATTGACTGACTCTGCAGAAAAGCTATTGCGTTGCAATAGACCACTTTAAGCTGTCAGATCCTGGCCCTAATTCAGCTCTAGTTGTGGGTACCAACTCCTAGCTTCAAATTAGGTTATGAATCCCTACCTGCATAAAAAACACACATCTAGCCAGCTCAATGGGGCCCAGATGAGCACCATAATAAATATGGGGTGCACATCTGCAGAGGAGCTCCTTTGCTGCATTCGTCTTTTTGATAGGTTAGCTACTCTTTTGAAAGCTGAAGCATTACTCGTGATGTGTTACTGTTTTCCTGGGCTGAGTCCTACTCACATTAGCAAACACCTGCATTTCAAAGATTTTTGCAAAGTTCATTTACCTTAAAGTCTGCTTTGTAGCTGGATTCTTGCGCAAAGTGATCCTCTGGAATAATGAAACCCTGTGTCGTCTTTGTAGGCCTTGATCGTTTTGCTCCAGTCCATGGACGATATTCATGCCTAAAATGAATTTGTAAAGTGAAATAAAGGTGTCTAAAGGTACAAAAAGTGGGCACCGCTACTTGGAAGTAGACAAAATTAGCATGCTCATAATGTTGGAAAAGGTAAACTGGAAATATATATCCACATGTATTTTTTAAATTTACCTTGCTCTTTCATCCACCTCAAAATAATATAAAATTAACAGGAAACAATTTGAAAGCAATGGAAAATGAGGCATAGAAAACCGGTGCTGAAATCTCTGCCCCTCGCCTTGTATTGGAATACCTACAGACATTACCTGCTCCCAGGCAAATGCCTTAACCTTCCGTACCATTGATAACAGTTGAACACCTTTGCTATTTAGAGAGAGACACTTGATTCAGATTCAACAGCTAGCATTATCAATATACCACTGACATCCTATTAATTGCTTGGCCAGCATACAAAACCATGCTGTGCACAGGACAGCTGTCCTTTGCCAGAACAAGCTGAGTCAAGATTAAAAACAAATTAAAAGGGTTTTTAAGAGCCAGATTTCCAGAGAGTTAAATAATCTGGGGAGCAGGAAAGCAACCAGTGAGCCAGTCTGAAGGAAGTCTGTCTGCACTCAGAAGGGAAAAAAGAAAAGGAAAAGAAAGGGCTGGGTCAAGCCAGGGCTTTTTGAAAGCCTGATCTGATAATCTCACTGATTGCATGATGCCCTGTCTGTAGCATCAAGGTCTTGCTGGTGAGCCCTGCAAGATAAGGCAGAGACAGGACCCCAGCACCTGGAAAAGAGGCAGAAAGTGCTCACCTGAGAAAGAACAGGAAAGACAAAAACATGCTCCGCTATCTGTTTTCTATATATTCATTCAATACTCCGTGGAATAGTGATTTGTATTCTTCCCAGTGGATCATAGTGGAAGAGGGAGAGCAATGCATTTGGGAATTAAGTCTTGCAGACTGACAGCTGTATCCAACTATTATACTCAAGAGAGTAGACCCATAAAAAGAACTTTCTGGCAGTAAGAGCTCCACTGGCCACCTCAGAAGGCGGCAGACTCTCCTTCCTTGGAGGTTTTTGAGAAGAGGTTGGATGGCCATCTGTGAGGATTTTTTTTAACTGGGATTCCTGCATTGCAGGGGGCTGGACTAGATCACCCTTTCCAGCTGTATGATTCAATCAAAAGACTTGACTAATTTGTCAATTGATTTTGGTGGGTCTACTCTTGAGTATGACTTACGGTAGTTGGATACAATCCTACGTAATTCTATCTCCCTTTTAAATACAGTGGTATCTCGGGTTAAGAACTTAACTCGTTTTGGAGGTCCATTCTTAACCTGAAACTGTTCTTAAGCTGAGGTATCACTTTAGCTAATGGGGCCTCCCGCTGCTGCCACACGATTTCTGTTCTCATCCTGAAGCAAAGTTCTTAACCCAAGGTACTATTTCTGGGTTAGCAGAGTCTGTAACCTGAAGCATCTGTAACCCGAGGTACCACTGTAAATACTGGGGAGGGGAGGTTAGCAGCTGCAATATTTATTCATAGGCAATATATTTAAGTTGTTTGGGTGCTTTTTTAAAAAAGAAAAGCATTGGGATGATTAGGGATGTATATGGGTGGGGGGGCTGGGAAAGTATTTCAATGTGATTTGGAAAGTGCTATGGAGTTCTCAGTATAAGAGGTGCCATCTACCCAATGTAGATTGTCAGGTTCTGGAAATCCTTACTCCCTGAACCAAGATTTGGTTGTGGTGACCTGGACTACTGCATATATTGTGCTTTGCCTAACAGAAAACACTTCTGTATAGCGGAAAAACAAATATGTGGTCGGTGAGAGGGAGGGGGACCTGCATATATATTGTCACGTGTCAACAACTGCACACAGAAGCATGTTGCTTCACTGAGATGCTACAAGGACCCTACCCTTTCAAGTGAATGTACCAGGACTGGAGAGACCCAGGTTAACATTTCCCCCAGTCATGAAGCTCACTGGGCAACCTTGGGCCAGACATTCAGTTGCTCATCCTAACCTACTTCACAGGGCTCTTCTAAAGATGTAACTGGAGAAATGGAAGCATGTACTTAGTTCCTTGGAGGAAATGCAGAAAAAGTGAGCATGTAGATGGCATACATGCAATGTTAAAAAAAGCATTACCGTCAAGCAGGCAATGAATGCAATACGGAAACCTACCACATGCAGGTTCCCTACTCCTATTCCCCGCACAGAAAAGCTTTATCTGCAGAAAACGGTTAACCCTTGGCGAGGAAGATGACGTGAATGTGCTCCACACATGCTCAGGGACACCCTTATTCTTTGCGTCTTTATTCCTTCCAGGGCTGAGCTGTGGCCCATGTGTGTGTAAGGGATGGGGTAGGGGGCAAGTGGAAATGTTCTGCAGGAGCTAAGCCCTGCTAAGAAAGAGGACCCCTCCTTCTCCAAAAATAATCCCCGGCAGCGGTCCCAATTCAGCGCGTTACCTACCTGTAGGAGGAGGTTTCGGGGCCGCCTGGCGGCGAGGAGGAGGACCACACCTGCTTAAAGCCGCTGTACTTGCTGCCCACCACCTCCTGCCCGGCCGCCGGCAGCACGTACACGTGGGAGCCCCCCGGGATCGCGGCGTGGGAAGGGGCGGCCGGGGCGGCGGCGGCAGCAGCGGCGGGGGGCGCCCCGGGGGCTTCCACCCGCCTGTACTCCCCGATCCAGGGCAGGGCGTCCCGCTTCTGCACCGGCCACGCTTGGAAATCCTGCTGGTACTGAGTCTCGGCGGCGAAGGGCTCTTTCCGGTAGCCGCCGCGCGTCTTCTTCGACGGCTTCCTGGCGCCCCCCAAGCCGTCCTGCAGCGACGGGGCGGACGCCGAGACGGGCAGCGAGGCGGCGGCGGGCGCCCGCGGGTGGGTCTGGTGGGGGCGGCTGCTGGTGCTGCCACCTGTTGGGATCCGAGGCGGAGGCGGCGGCGGGGCGCCGGCCGCGTCCGTCCCCTCGTCGGCCGGCTCGTCGATGTCGGAGTAATTGTGGATGGTGAGCGGCACAGCCAGGTCCGACTTGTCCAGCTGGTTCCAGAAGCGCGCCAGGCAGCACACTCGGCTGATGCAGGGCCAAGCCATGGCGACGCCACCATGCACGGATGCGGGGACGGGAGGAGATGGAGAGAGAGGAGGGGGAGTTCTGCAGCAAGAGTGGCGGCTTCTCCCCCTGCGCGCAGCAACGCTCCCAGCTCGCCCCGTCGCTTGCCAATAGCAGCACCTCTTCCTGCCCACTTGCTCGCTGGCTCCCCCCCCCCACTCTTCTCTTTCTCCACCCCCCTCCCCACTTGGGTCAATATCAGTCCCTCTTTAGAAGGCTGCCAAACACGTGATGCCCCTGTGCACCATCACCACCGCCCCCCCCCCCGCGACAGAAGGAGCTTAATGCAGCAGCATCTGCCAGGGATACAAAAAGAACTGGGGGGGGGGGGAGAAGAGGGATGTGGGGGTGACACACACATAGCCCCGGTCCCAGAGCTTTGTGCCATCCCCTCCAAGGGCTTGGCGCTCTCTCTAGGAAATGCCCTGCACCGCTTGCCTCTTGGATCGAAGGCAGCCCGGCTCCATCGGTATGCAGATCGACGCGCCTTTAAAAAGATGCTAATAAAGCTTCGGTTATGCTGGAAGTGCATGTCCACTGCAATCCGTGATTGGCAGTTGGTGGGGGGGTGATTAGATCAGGCGCGGGTGGGGGGGCAATTGGATTAGTCGCTAGGGTGACCTATCATGAATCAAAGCAAAAGGGAAAAGAAGCAAGAGGCAAGGTCTTTAGGGTATTTTCCAGATGTTCACAAGAACTTGGTGCCATATGCACAAATTGAAGGAATATCCACTGCTCAAGCACCGAGATGAGCATTCCTTTTCCTCCAGGCTCTCCTTAGCTTGCTCCTCTAGTGGTGTACAGTATTTAGTACACAAGTGTTTTTTAGAAGCAAGGAAGAACGCACCTTCTGTCCAATAAGAATGCATGCCAAACACACACAAAAAGTAAAGGTGGCTGCTGCCGTACACTCTGCATGTAACAACAGTTCACACAGCTTAGTATATGCTAGAAGCAAACTTTTTTTTTGCATGTGTGCAGGAGATAATATCGTCTCCAGTGCACAGCAAAGCAACTGATCAAGGTGGAAGTTGTTCTTTGGAAAACAGGCTAAAATTATCTACTTTCCTGAGAGCCAGCTCCACTCAACACAGTGGGACTTACTTCCATATAAACATGCAAGGGATAAAGCTGTCAGCATCTTTACAGACAGCTAAAGGCTGCAATATAACTGACACTATCAGTTGCATAATTAAAATTCACCATTGTAAAAATGCTCCCAGCTGCAAGATATTGATTCTTATAAGATTAGTTCCAGTCAAGTAATGAAAAAGGCACAGAATACAGGATTAATTAAAAGATGCCTGTTTTAAAAGTGGATATCCCTGGTCAATGTGCTATGCAATACTGTTAAATAAAAACATCATACATCAAGATAAACAGAATAATAATGCTGGGTTGGAACCAGAGATGCATGAGCAAAATAAGTTCTGGCATAGTGCTGTTTTGTGAACTATTGTGCAAGAATTAGTGGAATGCCTTGTGCAAATACAAGCACGCCTTTGGATTTCAATTATTGTGCTGGATCTTGCCTCATGTCAGAACAACAAAAATCCCCTTTCTCTGTCCAAAAAGCACTTTTGAATCCAACCCATTTAGAATGCAGGACTCCTTTTCAATATGTTGCACTGGTTTCATTTTATACCACAGTAGGATCACAAATAAAACTGGGATCAGACTACAAGTATGGGGAAAGAAGAATTATAGACACAGGTGCATGCTCAACACTGTCTGTTTTTACGTCATCTACAATTATACCCTGCCCTTCTAACAAGTATTCAAGGCAGTTTACAATCAAAATCGCTCTTTCAATAAACACATCTTCTTCTTAAATCCTTTACGCTCAAAGAATGAGGACATCTTCAAGGGAGTAATGATGTCTTTGTAACTTCATTTACAGATGGGCAACTGGATCCAATCCTATGCTAATCCTCACTAAGCACAGCCTTAGCAGCTTTTTGTTCATTCATACTTATTTAAAACTGGTTTGACTTTTTAAAAAAGCTATAGATCAACCATGCAGAAGGCATTCTGTTGCTTTTTTTTCAAACAGTAGGGTTCAGAAGGAAATTGTGTTTATTGGCAGCAGCAAAACTTTTACATAGCCTGGCTTTAGAAAGAAGCAAATTTAGGTAATTGCTAAATATTTAGGTTATTGCTAACACAATAAAATTGATCAAATACAAAAGCCTAATTATTTCAAATACCTTTAAGTTATGGGGGAAAGGTGCTTAAACTTCCTGCTATACTATCTCTAGAATTTTAATAGGTCAGTAAATCTGAGTTCCCCATTCTATAGGATCTGCCATTTTTATGTATTGAAAAATGCTCTGAGGATATCTACTGAAGAGCAGAGCATAAATATATAAATAAAATGTAATGCATTTGAAAAATTCTAAAATAGTGTTATAAATATGTGTTACAGGTCGCCTTTGGGATATCCTTCACCACCATAAAAAATGATCTATGATATTTAACATGACAGCTTTTCCCTCACTATGGTTGCAGGAGTTAGTTTAATGATCTGACCAGAGGGTGGAAGGGTTGGCATTTGGCTAGCTAGCTAGCTGTTGTCAGAAGATGGCCAAACATCAAGTATTTAAAACCTAAGCCTAACAGAATCATTAGCAGAGACTGCTATTACAAAAAGTAACATATCCTAAGAGTCTCCTTCTCCCAAAAAGCTTTTCATTGCGCTATGTTAAATCACAAGGAGGCCCAACCCCTTTGTCACAAAAGGTATAGGTTCTGTGAGTTTTGTTTCTCAGGCTCTTGTAACAAGTAGGGTTGCAAACTTTTGTTTCCAAAATCCTGACATATAGGGCTGAATGCCTCTGAGCATTTTTTAGTCCTTTCCTCCCTTAGAGAAAATATTCCTAAAAAGAACCTAAGGGCAGCATACCCTCCAACATTTCTCCGATGATAATAGGTACGCCCCATTCCATAATGATAATTTTACTATTTATACCCCACACATCTTATTGGGTTGCCCCAGCCACTCTGGGCAGCTTCCAGCATATATAAAAGCATAATAAAACATTAATAAAAACTTCCCTATGTGGGATTGCCTTCAGATAGCTTGGGGGTTGGATAACCCCATACCCTCCAACATTTTCCCAATGGAAATAGGGGCATCCTATGGAAAAGTGGGACATTCCGGGATCAAATCGGAAATTGGGATGGCTTCTCTAAATCAGGGACATCCCTGGAAAGGCCTGGGGTCTGGAACAGGCCGCCTTTCCTCTGTTAAGAATGAGCTTCTTAATGCAGTGCCCAAGAGGGAGCCTGAAGTGAGATGTCAGGCAGCAATTTTAACAAGCGGGGGAAGGGGAGAGAAAGAGGTTGGTTTCTATTCTGGTCTAGCTAAGTCATCTGTGTAGTCTTAATGAATGCTACTAGCAAATGGTGCCAGCCCCCATATTGTGGGGCTTTTTTTTTAGTAAGGGACTCACCTGGAGCAGTCCACTGTGCATGCCCTTCCATTCACAGCCCAGACGTCCTACAGCAAATGCATTTGTACTACTCCTCCCCACCCCACATATTTGAAAGAGGCCATAGCATTTGAAAGAGGCCATAGCTTAATTGTAGAGCACAGCTCTGTGTGTGCATAAATATATATATATGCCTAATAATATCAAACATCATTGCAGATTAAGACAAGGAGAATGATAAAGCAGTTTCTTAACCAGAGCTCTGTAGTATCAGGATCTTACTAGAACTGTTGGCATCTTAATATAATTTATTTCTAAATGAGAAGCTATCAGCCAACTGATCAAATGTTATTTTTGCTCCAAAATAGCCAGAGGAAATAATACAGTCTCCCTTAATAAAGCAATGAGATACAAATCTTTATTGTTTTCTATTTGGTTATGTGTTTATCAATAAATGCATTTATTTTGAGTGTGGATTATCACATTTAGAACTGAAGATCCCATTACTGTGTAAGTAATGTAACAACCAATCCACTTTCCAGTCTTCAAAGCAGCACGCCATTTCTGTACAAGTTTCTTCTAAAAAGCACCAGTTGCAAGCCCCACCTCATTTATTTGGTCTCCAAGTCCTTATTGTGTGCCATGCCTTCACCACCGGTTCTCTATTCTTCCATATTAGATTATGCCCGTATGTTACATACCACCTAAAAAGCAACAAACACATAACTTCAACTGAAATTCTTTCACAGAACACATTATAGGTATATGTCATGAAGGCATTTGGGCCAAAAACACTTCTCAGTAGAAATTTTACAGGGCTATTTTAAATAAATAAAAGACAAACTACAACACACTGAAGCATCACTCTCATAGTACTAGCACAGTACAAAAACTTACATGCCAAAGAGAGCCCCTCCAACGTGTGCAGCATGGTCAAAAAACTTCCAACCCAAAATAAGTCCGGCCGTGTCCAGTGCAATAATGGCTTTTAAAGCCTAGAAATGAGTAAACAAGTACAGCATTGGCAAAAAAACACACACAACAGCAACACTGCCTTCATGTTTCAGCAGCTCCAACAATGATAAAATGAATCTAGTCCACATTCATAAATCCCATTTATGGATCCACGCCTAGTCAATGAGAACAAGGGCGAGGGTTGTAGCTGGATTGGAGTTAAAGCCCCATCTCTACCATGGATATATTGAGCAACTTTGAGAATGTACCATACTGGCCTGAATACAAGCCGCACTTTAACTTGGAAAAAAAGTGTGGCTTATATTCACGACCTTACCGTGCAGCTCCCTGCTCCCCCAAGGAAGCAGCCCAGGAGTGCGGGGACAGCGGCGGGTGGCTTCCCTTGGCACCGGTTTGGGGATGGAGTGCCAGGAGGCGGGCTGCACCCGCAAAGAAGACTTGAATTTTAAAGGTGCAGCTTATTTGCAGATGCGCATTCAGCCCAATACAGTATCTCTCTCCCAAGCCTCAGTTCTGTATTGGTAAATTAGAAGACCCACTCCACCAGCTCTGCTGAGAGACCAGCTCCTTTGGGGACCCTCCTTACCCATCACCTGACAGGAGCCATTCTATCTGGTTGCAGAAGAGGAAGACTGGATGCAGAGTTGTTCTGTTTCCTGGAAATCGCGATTTTCACTTTTTGAACTACATCAACCCTAGTTCCTCCCCTCCCTGAACTGCTTCCTTTGTAGATGGTCATTATAAGAATCACTATGTAATGTTTAGCAATAGGTGCCTGAGTTCTATTGTTTTCATTTTTCCTTCTCACTCCTTTTTCCTTTTCTGTTGTGTTTTTTTTAAAAAGTTAAGCCCATGAGACAAAAGCAGGCAACAACAGAGGAAAGAAGTTGCTTCAGTTCTTTCAAGTCACTTACATTTCCAGCTGTAAATGTGAACATTGGAAGGAATATTATGGCTAGCCTGGCTTCTGGCATCTTCGTACATACTGCTGCAAGGACCATCATTATAGCACCCGACTAGAAAACAAGCAAAACTTTAAAACATTTAAATTGGCTAATTGGCAATAAAAATGCAAACCACAAAAGCAAAAGAATTTCAATTTAGAATTGAATTTCTGTTGAAGTCAGAAAAGATTACTGCTTATCTTGACCAGAGGTTCAACAGAAGTGAGTGGCAAATCCCTTCTCCTTAAGAAAGCATAGACTATTTCCTGTCTGTGAATAAATCTTTCTGATATTCAAGATAGAAAGTATCAACGTGAAAACAATACAATCTGATAAAACATACCCAATTTATTCCTAATATTGACAAGTTCATTCATGTTTTACTCAGAAGACAGTGCCAATGAGTTCTATGAAACCTACTCCACAAGTAAAAATGTACTTGGGGATAAAAACTGCAGTGGAAATTAGTTGTTTTGCTGTGAATTAAGTCCTATTGATATTGGGACTTAATTCAGAATAAGGCTACAGAAACATGACAGTAAAACTATAATCCTAAAAAGCTAGTTAGGAATCTAATTGAAATCCATGGGACTTGTTTCCAAATAAGTGTTTAAATGGAAGACAAGCTGGAAATAGTTCTTATTGCTGCAAAAATGAAAGTGGACAAAACGAGCACTATAAAAATTTGAGTTGGCACCATCACTGATTTTACTTATAGCTTATCTGATACTGAGGCATCTTTTTTTTATTAATTATACAAACGATCTAACCCAGTGGTTCCCAACCGTTTTTTGGCCATGCCCCACCTAAACATCTCTAAAATCCTGATGCCCCCCATCCCCCTTGACATATAATTCTTATTATTTAAAAAGTGAACTCCTATTCACGTGGAGAAAGCCATTAACTTGGTCTAACTCATTATCGAACTGCCCCCCTTAAAAATCAAACGTGTGCCCCACGTTGGGAACCACAGATCTAAACAGTGGGGGGAAACAGTTAACTAAGTAACTTTTGCTGGGGTGAAGCTTATAGACCCCCCCAATATTTCATTAGATTTCTAAACTACTGTCCACTGTAGCTTTCCCCAAAAAATAACTTGACTTCTGAAAACAGAAAACAATCTGCTCCAAAAACCAGTCTTTCACAACAGACAGATTCGTTTGTACTCAGCAGGACTTACTGCTCCAAGTGATGATCCAAATCTTCCTGTGACCGTTTTGCAAAAATAACTCACAAATGTGGAAAAAACCCCTAGAAGAAAATAATAATGTTGTCAGAAGCATGGATTCAGTGAGGGACATGAAACATTTAAATATTCTTATTTTACTGTCCTAGTTTCATTTGTTTCATTAAACCCATGGCTTTCACAGCACACTGGACTGCCCTACAGAGGAACATGCAATTCTTAAGGCAGACACAGGTTCATCCAGAATAGAGTCTCCAAAGTTGGACTGATTTATGGCATGGAGAAAAATAGCTTCAGAAGTGGTTCACTTCTCCTTAGTTTTTCCCTCTAGGGCTCTGAAGCTTGATCTATGCCTAAGCCAAGAAATAATGATGATGATGATGATGATGATAATAATAGTATGATAATAATAATAATCTCCAGCCACTCTGGGCGGCTTCCAGAAAAATATTAAAATACTGTAATACATCAAACATTAAAAGCTTCCCTAAACAGGGCTGACTTCAGATGTCTTCTAAAAGTCTGGTAGTTGTTGTTCTCTTTGACATCTGGTGGGAGGGCGTTCCACAGGAAAGTAGAAAGTCATTTAAGTCAAGAAAGAAGTCATTTACCTTTTATTTATTTTTATTTATTTTAATATGTAATAGCACTTCTATATTTCCATGAACTATAACATTTTAGCAAGTGTAACTTCTCCTACCTAATTTAGGAAAGCTAATTCTGTGAAAAATTCACCCCCAAACAACTATTAAAAGGACCTCTAAACTAAAATGGTGGTGATGCCTAAAGGGTAGCCCACCTTAGATTAGGGTGGTTAATGGACCAAAAAAACCAATCCTAGTAGCTGGTCCCTTGATCCTGGGCCTAGGACAGTACTCATACTGGCTCACAGAATACTGCTTGGGAAGCTCATAATTTAATTATTTTAGAATTTTCTAAACTAGTCTTCATCTAGACATGTTTTGAAGAGGATTGTATTGATGAATGACAGTTTCTCTCCAATGATCAAAGAATGTTCATAACACATAATAAAAGCAACTTCAGTGTAAGTCAAAGACAAGTTTTAAATCACCTTAAAGGTAAAGGTACCCCTGCCCGTACGGGCCAGTCGTGTCCAACTCTAGGGTTGTGCGCTCATCTCACTTAAGAGGCCGGGGGCCAGCGCTGTCCGAAGACACTTCCGGGTCACATGGCCAGCGTGACGAAGCTGCTCCGGCGAGCCAGCACCAGCGCAGCACACGGAAACGCCGTTTACCTTCCCGCTATAAAGCGGTACCTATTTATCTACTTGCACTTAGGGGTGCTTTCCAACTGCTAGGTGGGCAGGAGCTGGGACCGAAAGACGGGAGCTCACCCCGCCGCGGGGATTCAAACCGCCAACCATACGATCGGCAAGCCCTAGGCACTGAGGTTTTACCCACAGCGCCACCCACGTCCCTAAATCATCTTAGGAGCCCATAAATCAGGCATCCACAAACTCAGCCCTCTAGATGTTTTGGGACTACAATTCCCATCATTCTTGACCACTGGTTCTCTTAGCTAGGGATGATGGGAGTTGTAGTCCCAAAACATCTGGAGGGCCGAGTTTAGGGGTGCCTGCCATAAAGAGATAACCAAGGAAGGCTTCTTACCTGCAGAAAGGTACGCTGCCATGAATTGTTCCCGTCCCAGAAGAGAGACTATACTGGTTGAGAAGCTCCACAGAACATACATGTTGGCTGCCATGTGTAGAAATGAGAAATGACTAAATGCAGATAGCAACATGGGAGAGCACACAACTCCTAGGGCAAAAGGAAGAAAACAGCTGTTAAGACTATTTTAGCATTTCATCTCTCCGTTCACAGTTTACAAGTTGAACTATTAGAATGGAACTTCTAGCAAAAGAAAACATGGTCATCATTGGGTTTTAAAAATCATTAAGCATTATGTTTTTGCACATGGTTTTACTTCTCAGAAGAGCCCACCACTCTTTAATCATAATTTTTAAAAGATTACCTTAACATTTTTGCCTGCAGTGTGCCTCTTAGGTCACACTTGTACACTGACTTTTACAGCTTTCCCTCCACTGTAGATTTTGGCATGCACATAAAAATATTTAACTTGTGTTTATACAGCATGGAACACTTTTTTCTTGACAGTTTAGTGATTTAGTTGAGAAGGATGAAAATGAACAGTAGCTAAATAAATCTTAATCATCCACTTTTTTGGAGTTGGGACTCCTCAACAGCAAAATACAATGAAACATTACACCATACATAACATTGAACAATTGGTCACAGATAGGACAAGTGAATATAGAGGAAACAATTAACTAAGATTCCCCTCACTTCTGATGCACTGTTAGGCAAGGTTTTACAAATTATGAAGGAAAGAAAACACCAAGATTTTAATCGAGAATCTGAATTTTATCCCATCTTTCTGCAACTAGTATATATTGTCACAGATTAACTTATAGTAAACTACTCTGAAGTGTTGAAAAACCTAGACATTTTTGTGTTTTCTATAGCTGGTGTATCTGCCTGGCATATTTTTCAAGGCTTTGGTATTCTCTTTCAGCATATTTGACTATCATCTTCTTTCCCTGTCTAGTTTAGAAGTGAGTGTATCACAAAGTAAGAAGATATTCTACTTCTGTAAGATATTTACATGACACTAAAAATATTTATGCAGGTAAACTGTTTCATTAGTTTGTCCATCCCAAAATATTTGTATTGTGGAAACCAATTTGCTTGGTATTTCCTTAAATCAGGTGGTCAATCCACAGCCCTAAAATAAAACAAAACACAGTCTTGTACAATTTTGCATGTATTTTAATGCACACTTACGAGAAGTTGGATTAGATGTGAAATATGTAAGCATTACTCGTTGCAAAGAGGGTATCCTCCATAAACAGAATACAAAGACGTTTGCAGCTATAATGCCTATGGATTTAACAAGAAAAGTGTAGTGACAAAACAAGAAGTGAAAGCATTCGAATATATAACATATACAACCCACAAATAAGTTATTGTAAACCCAAGCACCACAAAACAGTTATTTTCAAGTGGATTTTCTCTCCTCCCCAGAAAGAGATGTCTGGCACCAACATTACAACCCTTCAAGGGCCAGGTGAAATATATTTCTTCCTCAGACACTGCACGTGTTTATGTTTACTCTGCTTTATAAAGTTGTTACTGCTGCCTCTGACTTTGCTAGTTTGTTAGTAACGCTGCAGTTTCATGGTTTATTGTATTTGTATGAATAGCTTTATTCATGTCCACATACATGTCCAAATGGATGAAGGGAAGTCTAGAAATATATATTTCTGAAAAGAATATTTTCAGGAACAAAACAAAGCCAAAATTGCACTGTCCATCCAACACAATTCACAAAACCCAGAAGATATCTGAAGGTAGCCCTGTATAGGGCAGTATTTAATGTTTGATGTTTTATTATGTTTTTATATTTGTTGGAAGCTGACTGGAGTGGCTGGAGCATCTCAGTCAGATGGGAAGGGTGCAAATAAACTACTACTACTACTACTACTACTACTCAAGCACTAATGATGATGGTGATTATTTGAAATCAAACTGCACTGGGCTTTGTAAGCATCCACAATGAGCTGTTTACTGACACTTGCAAAACGCTGTGCCATTGCCCATGTGTTCTGAAACCAAACCATGAGGGCAAAGGAAAAGGGGTTACCTAGGGTCATCATGACACCAGGTGACTGAAGCAATGCACTGTCAGAGTTGACCTGCAGATAAGGACTTGGCCCATCAAGCAGTTCCTTCCCCCCCATGCCTTGGATGCAACCCAGTAATCATTCAGGTCACAAATAATTGTGCTCAAACATTCTTTAAAGACTTCTTGTATTTTTGCTTTCATATGAGACTTTTCAAAAGTTGCCTACAAAATACTAATGAACTGTAATCCACCCTTAATAGAGAGTGGAAATAAAACATGTTCCATCACCACCACACACTTACATTTGGAAACCATATCTTGATTTGGTAAACCCTATATTTTTCATGAAATATCAGTTTCTCAGTCCCCAATAATACCTAGGTTGTCAAACGTAATCCATTCCGGAAGACTGTTTGACTTCCGAAGCGTTTGATGACCTAGGCGCAAAGGGCAGTCAGCGAAGTCAATGGAGAAAAAGGAAAAAAACTCCCCAGAAGCCATTTGACATTTGAAAATGGAAGCAATTACTTCCGGGTTTTTGGCGTTCGAGTTCTGAAACGTTCGGCTTCCAAGAAGCTCGAAAACCAAGGTTCCACTGTATCATAATTATATTAAAACATTTACTAAGTAGTAATCAAACTATTTTTGACATTCTGTTACAACATTCTAGTAACAGAGCCAGCTTCTATGCAGGAAACAATCTTGTGTGACAGAGCCATAATCATGGAGAAAGTCTTACAGAAAGCAATAGGCAAGGGTCTTCAACCTTCTAGAACAGGGGTGAGAAATGTCTGGCCTTCATCATCTATGGCCATGCAGGCTGGGACTGTTGGGAGTCCAACAACAACTGGAAGGCCACAGGGTCTCCATCCTTGTTCTAGGAGGAATAATCTGAGCATAAAATTGCACTGCATCCCTCTAAGTTAGGGAGCAATATTACATAATGTTAGGCCAAAATATATTATGTAGTGGAGCAAACTAAACACATAGGTGGAAAAGACTGCCTTAGGTTTAACAACTTGTAAGCATGTTATCATAGCTATCTAGTGACATACTGTACCTGTTTGCCATAATTCTCTTCCTGAGAATGTCTAATACTTGTAAGCTAACACAAACCTGACACAGTACGTTGCCCGTTGCTCAGACTATTCCACCACTGGTTAACCTGAAAGAAAATGAGCAGTCTTAATCTGGCCTGATCCAATATATACAGTACCTCAAGACAATGGATATTAAACTGATTAATATGCAATTTAGTATTTTCAATACACAAAAGCATTGAAGAAATCAAGTTTACAAAACAAAAGAATATTCTATCCCAAAACTTTTCTTAGAAAATTGTAATTATACATAGGTAACAAACACCTATTTTCAAAAGATAACCGCACTCCTCTCTAGTTAGTGTAAATGAAGGCTGGGAACCTTTTTTAACCTAAGGCCAACATTCCCTTGTGGGTAACCTTTTGGGAGCTGCATGCCAACGATGGGCAGGGCCATAAAGAAAAGTGGGTACAGAGACGACTCTTACCTGTAACAAATCTAAATACTATATCCATGTAGTGAATAAGGATTTGTTCCTTTTTATGTCTGATTTCTAAGTGATGCATTTTCCTAATGAAATATACATATTTTTATATCAATTTACCTCTGGATTGCATAAACTAAACATTGTGATTAGATATATTCAACTGGTATGTTTCGAGTTTGTGAAATAATCTTCCAAATAAATGAAAAAAGTGCTAATGAATTAACACCATCTCTAATTAAAAATGTTATTTCTTGCCATTCTTCTTTAACCCATATATATATATATATATATATATATATATATATATATTCATTCCTCATGGGATTTTCCCTTGAGATTTGTCAAGAAAAGTACGATAATATCCAGAAGGCTTTGCAAGGTAAGGCACAATAGAAAAATTTTTGGTCATCATGTACAATAGTTTCAATAGTAAAATTATAATTAGTGCCCAAAATACCTGCCTTCTGAAGTCCATCCCTTTTTGTGGTCGCACCTTATCCATCCAGTCTGCTCGACTATCTTCAAAATAGTTCTGAACCTTGGATTTGAGATGTTCATATTGCCAAATAGCAGCTGATCCAAAAGCACAGCCTGAAAACTAATATATTTAATTAAGGTTTCAGGTAACACATAATTCAGATCATTTGTTACCATAAGCATTCAAATTAGCACCAGAAGACTGTTAACTCATTGTATGGTGTGACCTCTACAGTCATGGTGGTCTACAATACCAATATTTGATCTCTATTCCCTACATAGCTTTTGGAGTCTTTAGACTGGAAATACAACTTCTATTAAATGCTTTAATTTGGGTGTTATGCCTAAACAGGAACTATCCACATATACAGGAGGCATGGGTCTGCACACGCTGGGTCTGCTCCCAGTATCCCTGCGAAAGCTGGTCCCAACCATCTGTTTTCAAACTTCTTAGATTGACCAGAAAACATTTGAGGACTATCTACCTGTGTTTGCTTTAAAGTGAATAGAACATGATGGGAATCTTGATAAAGCAGGATTTTGTACTACACAAATGTTTCCACTCACATTTAAGTGAACATGGGTAGAAGCCTCATTCAGACCTACGGTGTTCAAAATAGAAACAGTGGGTAGGGATGGGAATGTAGGCAGCCTGTTCTTCTTACTCATGCATTATATGGACATGGATCCCAATACTTTAATTGTTCTACAGATTACAAAAATTTGATAAACATATCTTCAGCTGTCATGGTGCTGCAATGGGTCTGCCTGACAAAATCCCACCTCTATATAATCCTTGTTCTATATGAAAATTCTGTAGCTTACCACTAAACAAACCAGTTTTTGTTAAATACATATGGACTGCGGCACATTATCTGTAATATCAAACAATTATTACCCCAATTGTAAAGAAGAATGGCTTCACAAGGATTTTCACTGAACGGGAAGATTCTTGATAGGCTGGAGGAGACAAACTACTTTTCTGTGGCTTAATACCAGTTTTTGGGTTTGGTGTTTGCGGATCACTCTTCTGTGCTGGTCTTCTGAATCCATTTCTTTGTTGTGTGTATAGGGTATTTCTAAAAGTAAATACATATGGAACACAAAGTGGACTCATTCTAAATGTTTTCAAGATGTTAGGAAATACCAGTTTCTTATTCAGAAATACCAGATTAAGAGAAACCAAAAGCACCTTCTCACCACTCCAAAGTATTATGATCTTTTTGTGATTTGCCTATCCAGAATATACCTTTCAAAGTTTGTATGTCAACTTGTTTTTCTTACATGGTTACATGGTTGTTTTAGGCCACTTCAGATATAACACTAAACTATGATATTGTACTAACAGCAGTTTAGGAACCCAAACAATACTTTGTGTTCCGCCTATATAGGCAAAGTACAGTTTCTGTCTTATTCTCCTTTTCCTAATCATCCCTAGATGTTATGCCAAACAGCAGCTTGTGAGAAAAAAGAAACACCTAAGCCATGTTTTGTAATTTCAGTAGGAATATCAATTGAAACTTCAAAAAGATACAAACTGTCAAAAAGCTTCAAATTGTAGTTTCAGAATCATGATTTGTCAGATGGGACTGGATATCAGAACAATAAATGATTTTGTTTCTGGTTCTCACTTTGGATATTATTATTAATTACTGTTGTTGTTATATTTGTATCATTGCTGTTAGGCACCTTAGGCATCATTTAGTAGATGGGATGTAAGGTTAACAAATAAGTAATTATTATCAAGGTGCTACCAAGGAAATCTTATATTTTCATTTTGTACTAGACTCAGCGAAGCTACTTCAGTCCATTTGTCTACCAATGCACCGTTGTGCCATTGACACACCCAACTCTCTTTCTCCAATCCGTCGGAATAAGGAGAAGCTGTGTAACTGCTGGACCAATGACTGGAGGCATCGTACTTCCCCCATCCACAGCCACTTCTTTACTACAGTCTTTCCTTCTTCATCGCCTTCGATTAGGGAGGGTGGAAAGAGAATTGGATCCTACCCATCGTTCTGGATGCCGGATTTCTTTTTTAAAATAACAGACTCCTGGAAAAGTCGAGCGGCAAAGGTGACAACCCCACCGCTCTCCCAGGCACACCCTCGCAGCGAACTCCTCGATACCCGCAGCAGCACACCACCTCACCCACCCCCAGCCCTTTCCTCTGAACCCCACCGCCCTCCTCCTATGGGTAGCAGCTCCGCTTCATTCCTTACCTGTGTGTCCGGAATCCACTACTACCCCATAACTCCTGTCTAACCCAGACTCGGGCACAGCAACTCCACGCCATTTTCCTCACCCTCCGAAAATAACGCTTCCGGGTCGGCGGGCGCTTCCTTCCGCCATCTTGAAAGGGGCTGGCGCTGCCGGATGACGTAATAGCCAAGCGCCGAAGCAAACATACCGTTACCTTGCCTACCTCTCCGGGAAAAGGGCGGCGCGGCCTACAGCGTCGTTCAGTTGGGGCGGTCTTTCTTCCGGCAAAAAATTATTACGGCGTCCTATTGAGAGAGCTTAAAAACATATGGCGGGGGGGGGACCCTTTCGGGTTTTCTGTCGCCATTTTGAAGCAATTGGTGTTGGCCGGATTCAGTCCCCATTTTATCAAAGGCGCTGAGGCTGGACTGGGCACCGAGGCTGTGCCAGAGGGCCTTTTCTTCCTCGAGGCAGTAGCTTCCACTCATATGTTCTCATAGGAAAAGGAAAGCGCAGACATGGATTGTGTGGGCAGCAGCGGTAAATGGCAGAAGTAGGAAAAGATGCTGACGGAAATCAATGATCGCAGTTACCCTGCTGATCTTCAGTTGGGGTGGTTACCATTTTTTTTTTCTTTCCTTTGCAGGGCCTGTGTCAAGTAGCTTTAACTGGCGAAAATGGAACACGAGTTTTTCCATTTTCCAATCTTTTTCCAAAAATTTAAAACCGCTATTCAGTTACCTAAAACCTTACAACAAAAGCATATTTAAAAGTCAAAGTCAGGAACTGGCTAAGTATTATGGAAAAACTGCACCCTAAATTGCCTACATAAGCTTGATAAAATAAAAAACTTTCAACAGGCGTTTAAAGGTTGAGACAGAAAATGCCTGCTGAATGTCTCTTGGCAGAGTATTTCACATTTCCATTCTGCTAGATTTGTGCTTTTGTATAATGGTTAAAAGCACAGGAGCCTTGGCATAAAAAAAGTTGGGAGTACAATCTGATCATTAGCAGGTAGTTTAGTAGCATTTCTGTGGCAACAGTGACCTCTTTTTTGATACCCATCATTGAGAATGAAAATAAACATAGTATTGTTACAGGAAGGGAGAGAACGAACCTTGGCTTTAGGGAAGTGTCAGAAGGACTAATGCTTCCAAGTGAATGACTTGGAACCCAAAAGTACTGCACTTGTAGCATCCTACCAATATTTGAACACTTAAGTGAGTCCATGCCTCAGGACGTTTGCAGTGGACCCAGAATCACTGAACAAATAAAGGCACATCTTCCATCATTCATTCCTACTTTACATTCCCCATAATCTTAGCAAAAATGGAGCTGGAACAACATGTTTGTCAAGCTAATTCCTAATTTGGCCTTCAGTTTTAGCTACTCTCAAAATGGAGCTAACACACTGGCCTGTTTTACAAACTTGTTGAGTCAGATTAGAGTATATAAAGTGTTCAGAATCCTCTAAAAGTTGTGTTGTGGTTGTTGCTATATGAAGGATTATTTTGAAAATACTTGAAGTTTGGATGTTGTTTTTGCAGATTGGAATAATCTCATTTTTCACAGCATCATTTCCCTGAGATAAAATCATGAGTTTATTTTGGAAAACATTAGAACAGCGACAGCCAACATGGCACAATCCAAATATCTGAGACTACCTCTCCCATCAGCCCCAGTCAGCATAGCCAATAGATAGAGAATATGGGAGTTGTAGTCCTCAATGTTTAGTGAACACCACATGGCTTCTCTCTTTAAACGTAAGGAACGTTGGAAGTTAATATGGGGTCAGACACTAGAGGAATACTAATAGGTGATTTTATTCAGGTTCTGTAAGAACCCTTTAGCTACAGGGAAGCTAGCCGGGGGGTTTTGCCCCGGGTGAAGCCTCCAGATGGACATCAGTGAGGCTTCCAGCCTGTGTGTGTGGTGTGTGTGTATGCAAATACACATGGGGCAAACTGGGTCTTTGACATGGGTGAAATAAAACCTTGATTCGCCTCTGCTGGAACAGGATCCATTTTGAATAACATAGTTCATTGGATCAGCTATACGTCTTGCGCAATGGTGAAGTCAATGAACTGGCTGGAGGCATTGATTTTTAGAACAGGGGGGAAAGGTCCTAAAGTGTTACAAAACGTTCACTCTCAGTTTGGCAAAAGTGGCCCTCACAAGCTGCTGTCGTGTCTGGAAAAACTTCAAAGGGGAAAATCCAGAACACAGATACCTAAAAGTAAGTACATATATATTATACAGGACATTGAATCTACATTATACACTTCAGTAAATCCAGTAAAATTATTTAAATGTGTTAATTCAGTTAATTGGCTTTAAAATAAATTTGGAAGTTGCAAATTAATTGTTCATTAATGGTTTGCTGATAATTCTTTATGAAGCAAACAACATATAGCCACATTACTTCCCCAATCCTCACTTCTTCCTTCCTGCTCAAACATAACCCACCTCTATTTTTTCAAAGAAACAAATATTGAAATAGAAATTATTATTATTCCTATGCCAGAAATGCTGTCCTATTTACCATGTTTCCCAATAGTTCTGATTCTAACTACTATTCTGCATGCGATGCTATGTGCACCTCAAATGTATTTGAAGCTCCCATCTTTTCTTCAAATTACTTTTGAAGTAATTTTTTAATGAAATGATTTTGAAATGTTGTCTTATTTTATTGTTGTTAGCCGCCCTGAGCCCAGCTTCGGCTGGGGAGGGTGGGATATAAATAAAAAATTATTTATTTTTATTATTATTATTCTGCATTTTATTCTTATATCAGAAATACTGCTCTATATGCTATATCTCAAAATATTGACTGCTGTTCTGCAAGCAGTACTGTAAATCCACTATAAATGCATTAAAAATGAATCCATGCTGTATATCGCATAATAACTTTTAACCTAGCATGCAAAGAATATTCTGTGTTAGAACAGAAGCTAACAGTTTTGTTTTCTTCTCAGCAGAAATATTCCTCATATAACGAGTGTGCTATTACATGGTCTCTTATCAACTTTTAAAATAGGATTTTGACATCACAATTTGAGAGTGAATCTTTGAAAATTCACTTGCCATTGAAGGATGGTGTCGTCAGCTTTTCAAATCTCTGCACTGCTTCTGGCTTTTCTGGGTCTCATCCTTTTACTGGTTGCCAGTGTGTCCAACTGCTGGAAATTTTCTAGTCCATCAACAACGCTTATTACTGCAAGCTGGATTTATGAAGGTCTCTGGATGAACTGTGTAGCTACTTCTCTGGGCTCAGTTCAGTGCAAGAAATTCTTTTCCTTGCTCAGTTTGGAAAGTAAGTTAACACTTTTCATACATAAAATGCTGGATTCTTAGTCTGAATTTGTGCGCTACTTATGCGAACATCTGACATTGTGTGTTTATAGATACATAGGAAAGAACTTTAATGCAAGCCTGTAGAAACAAACTTTCATATATATTCTGTGATCAAATGTTGTGTCAACAATAATCTAAATCTGTCACTGAAAACATTTGTATTTTTAGAAGTACTGTATACAAATAGTACAGTTTACATGCATTTGTCCCACTCCAGGAGTGTTAATGCAAAGGAAGGAGCTCTGATGTACATAGTCAGTGGCTGCTCCCTTTCAATATTTAAAAATGCACATTTACAAAGTATATGTCCCAGGTAATCACTGCCACTATTTGATCCCTGTTTTTGCCTGTTGGGCAACATTTCGTTAACATATTGGGTGTGAGATACTAGAGCAGTCATTATCCAGGTTCAGCTCCCTCCCTAATGTCTCTAGAACAGAGGTTGCCAAACTATGGTCTGTGGGCCACCAGTAGTCCACAAGCTTCTTTCATGTCGTCCATGGTATGTGTATGAAGATCTGTGGCTAAAGATGGGCGGTAGCGCATCCATCGTATTAAATATTCATAATTGATTTTTTTTCTAGAATTCAATTTGTAATACAAAAAGATATAAGGAATAAAAAATGAAAGAGGTAATAACATACAATTAAAAATCATACAACATCTAACACATCACACTGTAATTGTTGCAGCAGGCAGGTCTGTGAAGATGTTTAGCAATTTTCAAGTGGTCCATTTGGGAAGCTCTGTTCTAGACATGAGTGAAGATGTACCTTTTGTCTAGTGCAGTGTTTCCCAACCGGTGTTCCGCGGCACACTAGTGTGCCGCGAGACGTTGCCTGGTGTGCCGTGGGAGGGAGGCGGGTGAGTCGGGCGGCGAGAGGCGGGGCGGCGGCGGCATCTCCTGCTGGATGCAAATCCAAACATGGCGGGCGCCTCCCTCGCTCCTTTGTAGGCGGACCATCGAGAGAGAAAGAAAAGGAGGCGAAAGAGTGAGAGAAGGCGCCTGCGCGGAAAGAGGAGCGAGCAGTGCGCCTGCGCGCCGCGGCGCCCGAGTGCAGTGAAATTCCGTGAAGAGGGGAGGGGGGCTGGAAAAGAGAGAAAGGAAAGATTTTTCATTTTTTTAAAAAAAAAAAAGGAAGAGGGAAAGAAGAGAAAAAGCGGCAGAAGCTGAGGGGAAGGTTTCCGTGAGGGAGAGAGAGAGAGAAACGCGGGGCTGGCGGGACCCCTCCTCTTCCGCCACGCGTCGCCCGCCACCGCCTCAGAATCTCCTCAGGAGCGGCGGCGGCTGCTCCCCCTCGCCCCCTTCCTCCCCCCAGCCCCCTCCCAACCCCCGGACGAGGGACGCGAGGCGGCGCCGCTGAGAGGACGGGAAGGCCCCCAGCGGCGGGGTCGGCTCGAGCAAGGAGGGGCGAGCGCTAGCCGGCCGGCTCTAGCCCGGCAAGAGGAGGAGGAGGAGGAGCACGCCGTTGCTTCCACAGCGGCCGCCCCACACTCCCCTCCCCGGGCACCAGCGGGGAGAATGACGGAGCTCCAGTCCGCGCTGCTACTGCGGAGACAGCTGGCAGGTCGGTCCGTCCGTCGGTTGGGGCAAAACACACCACAGCGCAGGCAGAGGCAGGCAGGCCCGTCTCTCCCTGCCCCCCCTCGGACCTGGCCGGCCTGGGGTTTGCACCCCAAACATTCATGTCCACCCCAGCTACACAAGCCACACCTTGCTCTCAGTTCGATCTGTCAAATAACTCACCTATCATTCACATAAAGAACCTAGTCTATCCTCAAACGTCAGAATGTACCTCCTCTCTAGCTTCCCCCACTTCATCTAGGCACTTTCAGCCCTTACTTAACCCACCCCAGCCTGCTTACTCTTCCTTCATTTGCTATAAAAACTTAATACAGAGAGAGACTGAGAGCTGTTGACGAAGAGCTACGTGTGTGTCTTTCTTCGATTCCAGCCAGAATATCAGCTTTGTGTTCAGCCAAACAGGCCCAGGTTGCGCACTGAATAAAGTATTTTATAATTTTTCATATTTCTGTTTACTTACTATTTCATAATAAAGTAATTATAAAATACTTTCTTTGTGTTTATTTGATTCCTATTAAAGAGAGTTACTTTATATATAGTCAATATAGGCACAGAGTTAATTTTTTAAACATTTTCTAATGGTGGTGTGCCTCGAGATTTTTTTCATGAAACAAGTGTGCCTTTGCCCAAAAAAGGTTGGGAAACACTGGTCTAGTGTTGCACAAGCATGTAAATCAGGGTGGGGAACAGAGTTTGGCTGGTGGGCTGTTTCCTGAGCCCTTACTCCACAGGCCATTTTGACAGGTGGGTGGCTCTCCAGACGTTATTTGACTCCCATCATAACCTACCATTTGGCCATGCTGGCTGGTGCTTGTGGGAGTTGAAGTCCAATTACATCTGGATTAGCCACCCTTGCATTATGCAGTGCTTACATGTTACTGTCACTTCTCCTGTATTAAACTTCATTGAGAGGTATTTAATTGCTGTTTAATTCTACAAAATCTGATAAATGTGTAGCACGATGGTAGTTGATTTTTCTGGATGTGGTATAAATAGCTGAGTGTTTACACAAGAAAGCTACCATTAGTGTAGTTGCTGATAGTTTATCTAGACACATTCATTTTCACTATTTTCCCATGGAACTTGACACCATATACTTAAATATCATCTTAACTCTTAGTTTATCCAGGGATCATTAAAAATAAATAAATTAACCATTTGAGTAGGTCATTATTTGTATCTTAAGTACTTTCTAATTATGCCTTAATCTTTGAGACTTTGTCTCCTGCTCTGATCCTTGTGCTGTGTTAAATAAACATAAAAATCATGTGGTGTCAGGCTTTTATTTTGCCCTGACGAAGATGCATTAACAAGGAATCAATTTCCTTATCAGTAAATCATTAAGACTTGCAAATTAAACATTCTGCAAACAAGTATTGGAGACAATGCTCACTCAGATCTTGTTTTTCTACATAGTCCAAACACAATCTAGACTTAGTATCTATTAAATGTTCCTGGAAAGTGCTTCTTTATGGGCCACTTTTATTCTAAAAAGAAAATCTCAATGCATATTAATTCTGCATTATCCCCTATTGTGCTCATTTGAAAACGGATAGAGGCAGTCCCAGAAACGGGGGTATATCTACACCTGCCCAGTGATGTGGGTGGGCATATAACAAGATAGCAGTTACCATTTCCACCTTCATCTGGGGCATAGGCAAGGGTGTGTGTGTGTGGATTTGATTCCTACATTGCAGGGGTTGGACTAGTTGATCCTCGGGATCCATTCCAACTGTACAGTTCTATGATAACCTAAACAAGGGAAGGGTTTTCAAATGTGCACCAGGTAACTACACCCATGCTTGTGAACAGTGGGATCAAAAATCAATCTAGATTAAAAGCTTATTGAGGATGAGCATGCACAATTCTGTATTGAGAAAAACTATTTATTTGCACTACAGATTGGTAAGTAACTTAGATTACTGTGCTAGTAAGCCAGTCCTTACAACTTGCCCAAACTGCGGGAGGCAGTGGAAGACATGAGTGCCTGGTGTCCTCTGGTCCATGGGGTAACAAAGAGTCAGACACAACTAAATGACTAAACAACAACAAAGCCACTCCTATAGCACATTGTGGGCAACCTTTTCTGTTGAGGAACCTGCTTGTTCACGGGTGAACTTTTGGGGTCTCTGTACTGGTAGTGGTGGAGCTAGACCTGATGATGGGAAGAATCGGAGACAGAGTGTTCTGAATTCACCAGTTCCTGGTGGTGCTTTAGATGGAGTTGCAGTCTTGCTAAAAGAAGCTGGCTTATAGTTTGTGGTAGGGAGGGAGGTCTAGCATTGCTTCTTGAGACTCAGCTGGCCTTGGTGACTTAGACCAGCTTTGATCAGCTTAAGCTAACCTAACCAGCTATGACCCATTTGGGGAGAGATCACCTTACTACAGTTGTAAATGATTTGATAACCTCCCTGTTGGATTATTTCATTGCATTATATGTGGCACTCCCTTTGAAAATGGTCTGGAAACGTCATTTGTTCCAAAATAAGGTGGCTGGAGGTATTGATGGGGAGTGGTAAATATAATCACATCACACCAGTGTGCTGACATACACCTGTGAACTGACTCTCATAGTCGGCTTCCAGGTTCATGTCAAAGTGCTCCTTTGAATCTTTAGTGCCCTAAATGGCTTGTGGGCCAGACTACTTGAAGTATTGCCCTTTCCTACACATACTAGCTCAAAGTGCCTACATTATGGTGTTTAGGTACCGGGTAAAGACCCTTCTGTATTCCTATTCCCTTTATATGCTGGTTTGAGATGAATTTGGTTGATTTTAAAATTAGTTTTGTTGTGCAAAATTGGATTTATACTTAGTATTTTTAATGGCTTTGTAAACCACTCAGAGTAGAAAATCTTGGGGTCTGAAATTTCAGCAGCACCCTATGCAAGGAAAAAATCTCCCCCGCCTATCGTGTTCCATTCTAAAGAATTGTTGCGGTGCCCCCTAAGCACCTTACCCAGTGCGAGTGAACTGGTCACGCTCCTCTAAATCGGCCTCTGCTGACATGGGTATCATAAAGGGCAACCTAAGCAGTTTCTGTGCCAAAACTGAACCTAAGCCCCAATTGAAATGGATCTAGAAAATCAATGTCTTCCAAGAGTGCCTGGATCTGGTCCATGACCTCTCACTCAAGAACCTCTCCCAAAAAGGGGAGATTGGCAACTGGCCAGTAATTGTTTAGACTTTCCAGATCCAGGGAGAGTTTCTTAAGGAGTGATCTTACCACTGCCTTCTTCAAGCAAGCAGGGACCACCCTCTCTTATAAGGAGGCATTGATAACCCTTCCTGGTCCAACCAACTGTCTAGTTTTTATCAGCCAAGAAGGCCAAGGATCTAGAATGCAAGCAGTCACTGTGACTGATCCAAGGACTG